GACCAAAGTTCATCGAATTTCGACTGAACTTCATAGGATTTGTACACCGAAATTCACAGTGATTTCCCCTTGGCCGCGCGCTTGCAGTCGTGCAGTGCACTGTATGGACGCGCGGGTGCACCGTGAGCCTCGCGGGCGCGGGGCGTGAGTCAGTCGAGCGATTCGGAACACACTCGTTTCGTCGGTCTGTCTCTGTCGCACTCACGGGGCTCCCGAGGGAGCTTCAAACCGCCCGTCTGAATCGCGCGGCAGGGTGACGCGGGTCTCCTGAGTCATCGGCACTACCGGCAGAAGGATGTCGTCGCGCTGTCTCTCTCGCTCGCGCTCGTGGGCCGCCGCGAGTGCCAAAGGCGTGCGAGCGAGAGAGAGAGCGACGGGCGCGGCGATCAGGAAGAAAGGACTCGGCAGCGAGTTGATAATGATTTGCACGGAAAGTGATTAGGGGGCGTGGGCGCGGCGGAAAAGGCTTGCTGGCCGCGATAGTGAGGGAAGCATTCGCTGGCGAAGTTCACCGAAAAGGACCAGGATGTGGCGCGAAGGGCTGGACCGCGGAGTGTGGGTGGATCCAGGGGAGGCGATGAGGGCGTCGCTCCTGAAAAGTAGGTGGCAGCAAGTCGCACTTTGCCGCTGCACTGTTAAAATTTGAGTCGTCACTTGATGACAATTTCAAGGCTAATTTTCCTTACAACAATGCGCAACAATGTCATCAAAAAAGTTGATGACATTGTTGTCACGCCCATGCAATAAGTATAGGAGCTTTGATGAAAACGTCATCAATTCGTGATGAGATTGTCATCATTTGAAAGTGATGAAAATGTCATCCACGTTTTTGTCATAAAGTAACTACAAATTTTCACACTGGGCAGGCAGACAACTTTTGTGCCCCCCCCTCAAACCCGTCTCTGGATCCGCCCTTGGTCCTTATTACAAAAAGCGGAGACCGGCCAACGGCCAGCAGGAGGATAGGATAGGCCTGCCCACACCACTCGCCTCGTCTGTCCGTCCGTCTGTCCAGACGCTGCCCGATCCAAGGCAAGCCGTCCATATAAGGGCCGCACCGGTTGGTGAGATTCGACCTCAGCGCCTGCTTCTCTCTCTCTCTTTCTCTCTCGTTGCCCTTGCGTGCGCGTGAGACGGTCTGTGCTCCGGTGTGTAGACCAAACCCCCACGCGGAGGGACCCGTGACTCGTCACCCGAACTGAACAAGGATGGGTCGTATGCGTTGCCGGGTCTCGCTACGGTTTCTGCATATCCTCCGCGCGGGCACGGCCGCCATACAGTGCAGGCGCGGGCAAACTTGACAGTGACCCGGTTACCGCCTCGCGAGGCTAGAGGCCTAGCCCCGCCGCCGCGCCGTGGGGGGCTCGGTGCGGCCCGCGGCTCGCGCTGCTGGGACGTCGCGGAGCAGAGCTGCAGAGCTGCAGCGCGGGAAAGACGGCAAAGAGCATAACCCGACCGCCACGCCGCCACGCCGCCTGCACGGACCGTGTACCTGCTTGTCACTTTGTCTCTCTCGCACTCTTGCGGCATGGCCCATGAGACCCATGAGTGTGAGAGAGACAGAACGACAGAAGCAAAGCTCGCAGTCAGTCTGCTGGCGGCATCCTCTGGAGCATGGGCCTGGCCGCGCAGAAGGTGTGAACTGTGGCGCCATCTGCGGGAGGAAGAGGCGGGGGTCCGCTTGGGGGTTCGGACGCACAGTGAGCCAGACGACAGGTGGAGGCGGCCAAAACTGTACACGCGCTTTGAGCTCCAGGGTCGCTAAAAAGGACTCGACCCCACCAATGGATTCCTCGTTCGGAGAGCAATCCATTGGTGGGGTCACACGTTCGGTTCCAGTCCCATTTAGCGACTCTGGAGCTCAAAACGCGTCCGGGACTTTGACCGCCTCCACCGGTCTTCGGGCAAATCCACTGTGGGACGGTTTGGACGCCCCGAGAGGTCGTTACGTTATTATTAAACGCACGGCAGGGCGGGACGCGGGACGCGGCGGGGAGTGAGTGACCTTATGCCTCACGCCAGCTGCCTGCCCTGCGAGTTACCCTCCCCGGAGGAACACCGGGCCGCTCTGCGCCACCACTGTATGCACCCGCATTCTGTGCCAGGACTGGCATGATAAATCAAAAGTCCAGCCAGCCGGCCCAGCGGCATGATTCCGAACAGCGTGTCGTCGCTCTGTCTCTCTCGCACCCCTTCGGCACGCCCCATGAGTGCGAGAGAGACAGAGCGACGAAAGCGATGTCCAGAATCGCAGCAGAAGCGATAGAGCCCCTGCAGACTGATTCCGGGAGTCGTTTTCGGCTGTCTCTCTCGCACCTATCCGATATCGCCCATGAGTGCGAGAGAGACAGAGCGGCGAGAACGACTCGCGCCAAAAGTAAGTGCCGCACTCGGGGGAAAAAATTTCATTCATTTCTTTTGCCGCCGTTTATGATCAAATATGACTGGACAGTTTTTCTCCTTCCTTTTGGTTGATGACCTGTGATGGTGGCACCGACCTCTCCTTCCGTATGTAACTCTCTGCCCCCCTCCCCCTCCCCCCTACTCTCGCTCACAGCATCGGACGCCCCAAGACGTGACAGCAGCAATATGGCCATAATCCGGCCACATGCAGCGAGTGAAACAAAAAAAATTGTGTATCTTCCGCTCCTTCTCCTTCTTCTTCTTCTTCTCCTCCTTCAACTGCCCGGGGCCGTTTCGTTCATCGTTCAGCGAGGTGCTGAGTAATGACCCGAGCAAGGTGTGTGTGTGTGGCGCAACGTGCAACGCGCAGCAACGCGCCAAATGTTACCTTTCCGAATCGGGATCTCCCGCACGTGTGTGTGTGTGTGTGTGTGTGTGTGTGTGTGTATGTGTATGTATGTGTGTGTATGTGTGAGTGAGGCCATCCAGCAGTAGTACGCACCGTCGCGCTGTCCTCGCGTTCGGCCCAGCGGGTCACAATCGTACACGGCAGGTGCGCACAATCATCTGCTGCTGTTGGGGCACCGAAAAAAAAACCTCTGCTGAGAGCTTTGCTTCAGCTCAGGGCCAGGTCAAGCTAGGGTGTGCGCGGCCGCGGTCCTGGTGGCGTTGGCCGGGAGGCGCCGGGCTCTGTTTCGGCCTAGCTGTGGCCGCGGTTTTGTTTCACTTGCGAACTGATGCCCGTGATTGCGCACAGAACGCATCACGCACGCTGAATATTCCCTACCGTCACATTTTTGTGTTGCTTGGTATCAAAATTGCCGTCTCATCATGAGCTATTGGCCTGTCACACTCTCAAAACAATTGGTGTGGTTGCGTACAAAATGCATCGCGAAGACTGAAGTCTTCCATATTGACGGCCGTAAAAATTGGGGACTCGCTGAGCGCCGTTTATGACGGCTCGAACAGGGGCCGCGGCGGCGCGGCCGAGGGGGAGGGGGAGGGGGGCGTCGGGCCTGTCGCGCCGCGCGCCGCTGTGCGCGGGAGGGGCCGGAGGGGTCACGCAGGCCGCGGTCCGAAGGAGGGCATATATGGTGCAGGCTGCATCAAAAGGAACTGTCGACCTCCTCAGCTTTCTTGTTACCCTGGTAGGCCTGAAGTCGAAAAACGGCCACGGCCACGGCCACGGCGACGGCCACGCTCGGGCCCCCCCTATATATATATATTCCTTTTTAGTATGTTTCTGAGCAGTGTACATTGCCTCAGCCCGGGCCTCCCCAGCCCCAGCCTCCACAGTTCCCAAACCTAGGCCTCTGACCAAACTGTACACACAGCCTCGCACATTTTGCGAGTAATAGCTCAAGCTTTGATACGCTTGACCTAAAAAAGAGAGGAAAAAACAAAGAGCGTGCGACGGGACTCGAACCCGGGCCCGCCGGGCCGGGGCGTGGAACGTGCCGGGGCGTGGCGTGGCGCGGCGCGACTGAATGGGTTAGAGATGATGGGGCGCCGTGGACGGTTTTACTAATGAGCTCAACAGGATGCATGTTCGACATTCATAAACACGGCTCGGCGGGCGGGGAGGGGGGAAGGGGTGATACGATCTGAGTCCCGCCACCTTGAGGAGGTGGACACGGGGAGGAGGAGGCGGAGGGGTCCGCGTCGAAGGACACCTTGCGTCGTCGCTGGAGAATCGAAGGAAGCAGAGCAGAAGAAGACTGATTGCGAGAGTCGTTTTCGTCGCTCTGTCTCTCTTGCAACTATACTGGACGCCCTATGAGTACCCTGCAAACTCAAGTGTCGACATATAGTACACTCCACCTGGAGTCAACCTAGCATGTGTACACTTCACCTGGACTGGAGTCAACCTGGCACGACCTGGCATGTACACTCCACCTGGCGTCAACCTGGCATGTACACTCCACCTGGCGTCAACCTGACATGTACACTGTGGCTACCCTTTGCACGTAAAGCAGAGCAACAGTGTACTTTTCGGGTAAACGCCACCTGGCGTGTACTTGGCAAGCATGCTCCAGCCTGGAATGTACTTGCCAGGTTGACTCCAGGTGGAGTGTACACATGCCAGGTTGACTCCAGGTGGAGTGTACATGCCAGGTTGACTCCAGGTGGAGTGTACTATGTCGACACTTGCGTTTGTAGAGAAGGAGAGAGACAGAGCGACGAAAACGACTCTCGGAATCAGTCTACAGAGCCCTGGACTTCCCTGTCGGCTATCCGCGTCGTTTCCACACACACAGCACTAACCCACTGCTGGAGTGGCTGGCACTGTCTACGCACTGTAAGGCCCGGAGCGCCACGGTTTTACGGCGCCGTTAAAATATTCCCCGCAAGAAAGTGGAATAGATAAGCGGCGATAAGCGGGGGCAGCGCGGCGCGCGGCGCATCCCGATGACCACCTTGTTCTCGGAGGGGAGGCGACGGACGACGACGCGCTGCCGATTCGGCGGGGGCCGCGTCACGGAGCCACGTCCCCGAGAGGCTCGACCCGCGCGCACGCACGCAGGCCGCGCACCGAGAATACTCGATCGCCGATAGCCATCGCGAGCTAATCGACTAATCGAATGCTTGTTTTGCAGGGTGCTGGTCGGGGCCCCCGAGGCGCAGACCGGGCAGCCCGGAGTGTCGCGGGGCGGCGCCGTGTACCGCTGCGACACCCGCGGCGCCGACCACTGCCAGGAGATCCCCTTCGACCGAACCGGTAAGTCTGTCACTCTTTTCGAACATTTGAGCGCAGCTTTTGTCTAGGTAGACCTTTCAGGCGGCTATTTGGGGAGGGGGGATTGTGATTTTTCCCCTTCTGGATCCGCGCTTGCCCGCGCGCGCTGACCAACCTGGGAGTCATGACCTCCCCCGCGCGCCCTGGCGTGCCCTGGCGCCGGGCCAGCCGGGTAACGCAAACAGCGGCCGGACCCGCCTTGTTTACCTGCCGCCTCATTCCGAGGATACAGTAGTTCCGTCTCTCTCGCACCCCTACGGGACGCCCCATGAGTGCGACTGAGACAGAGCGACGGAACGAATCCCTCGGACTCGGGCGGCTGGCCGCCTCAAAGTGCGTCAAGTGCTTGGAGGCGAGGTCCGCAGCGAGTTTGGCTAGCCGTTTCGCCGCGCGGCGAGCGGTCGCTCTGCACACTTTTCGGGCCTTCGGACGCCGAAGAGTCCCACACTGCATCAATGTCGAAAGGGTTGCCAACCTCCACCGCCCACTCTGCTCAGTGAGAGCAAGGCCCAGTACAGTACGCAGGCTGAGGTTGGCCACCCTGTCTACACTCACCCTGGTGCATCGTGGGAATTGGGGCCCGCTTGTGTGGCATCACTGCCTCGCCGTCGATAGCACCCCGCCGACGGCGCCACGCCTCTGGCTACGCCGCTGCCCCGCGCCGCGCCCTGGGGTTGGCGTGGCGGCCCGCCGTTTGGGTGGCTCCTTTCGCCCCGCGGCCCTCGCGGCCCCGCGCGCCACTTGCCCTGATTGAGCCGTGTGACCCCCGCGGGGCCCTGGCCCGCCCTGGCCGCGCGTCCGTGACTCAGCCACCGGAAATCGGCCATCGGCCGCCGCAGCGCCGCGCAGCGCGCCGTTCGAATCGAATTTAGCGCGCCGGAAAAAACACCAGCGCGTGCTCCTTGGTGGCGGTCGGCGCTTCGCGGACGATTCGGTGTTTCAGCGACAGCTCGTCGCGGCGTCGCGTTCCTCGACGTGCTCCGACAGCCAGTGCGGTGCTGGCCGCGCCGCCGGGCCGGACCTGCCTGGGCCTTGCTTGGCCTGCTCCGGCGCGGTCCGCCCGGCCTCGGCCTCAGCTGCCGTATTAGGACTCGGGGCGAGTCTGCTGCCCGTTGTGGTCACTGCCCCGGCGACCCCGGCGCCGCCCCGCCCCACTTGCGGCTCAAAAATGCAACCGACGCGCTGCTGCAGCGAAAGAGACGCGTCAGTCGAGCGATTCCACCGCCCGCGCCTCTCACTCTGTCTCTCTCGCACTCGCGGAGTGTGTCGTGGCGGTGCGAGAGAGACAGAGCGAAAAGTGCGGGCGGCGGTATTGCTCGACAGGGGTAGTTGAGTTGATTTCGTCGCGACGGACGCGGCCTGATCTAGACGCAGGGTGGAGCGGTTCGACGCCGTGGTTCGACTCGCCTCGCAGCGCCACGCCCAGGATCAGCGCGACAACGGGATGGATGACCGCGCCGCGCGGTTCGCGCTCGCGGCCTGGCCGAGGGCTTTCGTCGACCTGTCTCTCTCGCACTCACGGGGTGTCTCGAATGGGTGCGAGAGGGACAGACCTCCATCCGGAATGAGTCTGCTGCAGGGCACGGCCAGGGCACGGCCAGGGCACGGCCCCGGTGCGCGATGGGAAAGGCAAGGACGGGTCCAGCGGTCCGGCCCTGGGAAGTGCCTGCACGCACAAGCGCGCAGCGCACTAGAAAGACAGGTCCGCGTCAAGGCCATCCACCCCGGAGCCAAGGACAGGAGGATCCCGCCAGGGACTCGGCGACGTCCTTATCAGAAGAGTCCACCGCTCGGTCTGATTGGCAGTGTGGCGGCTCGCGGAGGACGATCGGCGCGTTGATCGGCGTGGTGGTCGGCGTGGTGATCGGCGCGGTGATCGGCGTGGTGATCGGCCCGTTGATCGGCGCGTTGATCGGCGTGGTGATCGGCCCGTTGATCGGCGTGGTGATCGGCGTAGTGATCGGCGCGGTGATCGGCCCGTTGATCGGCGTGGTGATCGGCGCGTTGATCGGCGCGGTGATCGGCCCGTTGATCGGCGCGGTGTACTCCGCGTGCACCCGGACATGACGCGCCGAGACGTCGTACGGCGAAGAATGTGCGCCCGGAGTGAATGCCAAACCGGCTATAAAAAGGCGCACAAAGGAAATGCCCTCCCCCGCAGCCGCAGCACCACCTCGGCTCCGCCCCGCCGGGACTCGAACCGTGGACCTTGCCGCCGCTGCGCGACTTCAGTGGACTGCACACTGCACTACACTCGATGGGCGCTCTCTCCGCGATCCGCGCTCGCCGCACTGCTGCCGGCAGACTGCGGCATGGGCGCTACCGCCCGGTTGTCTACTGCCGACCCATCAATCACTGATAACGCCCGACCTAACGCGCGACACACCACTGCAAAGAAAGCGGATGCAGCGCGCGGCGGCGTGCGCCGCGAAAACAATATGTTGTACTTACGTCGTGTACACTCTACTTTTTGGTCTGCCCTGTCGGCGTGTTCGTCGGCACCGCAGGCGCGGCCGCCGCGCCGCCGCTCTCCCTCCCGTTCCGTTCGTTCCCGCTGGCTCCTTTTCGAATCGCTTCGGCCGAGGCTTTGGCGCTGGCCGCTGCTGGAAATGTATTAATTCAGATGGCAAGGAAGGGCTGTCATGCCTTCGCTGCCTTCGCCCCGCGTTCCATATGCACGGCGGCATGCCCTGCGCCGCGCTGGCCGCGCTGCGTGCGTTTACCACACAATGCCCTCCTGGATCCCGCCCCTGGGCCCTGGGGCCCTGGGGCCGGCGCGCACGCTTGACCAGAGGGCTCCTGGCAGCCCGCCACTGCCCGCCGATCCGAGCCGAGCCCCGCAAGTGCCAAGTGCCGCAGAGGGCCGCGCGAAGGCCCCCGCCAACTTGACGACGACCATCTTGATGACGTCCACCTCTGTTTCCTCTGTCCGCAGGCTCCAAGAACAACTCCCAGGGCCAGCAGATCGACGAGAAGTCCAACCAGTGGTTCGGCGCCACGCTGTACAGCTCGGGCGACGACGGCGTTGTCGTGGTGAGTACTGCACTGTGAGAGGCCGGCCGCCGTGCTGGGTAGGCAACCCGCGGTCGCGCGTGTGCCCGGGCTGCCTGCCGCCACGGCGCTCTTCTCGCTCTCCGTGTCCGGGGCCGCCGTCGCCCTGGCCGGCCAACGCGGCCAAGCGGTAGCAGTTACTCCTGTTAAATCCCCCCCCCCTCTCCGCCGGGGCACCCAAGCCAGCAAGCACCGCGCTGCACGCGAGACCAATTTATTTACGACTGGCGTGATCATGCGTGTTTGTCACGCCAGTCTCGCTCCTCCTTCTTCTCCTCCTTCTCGGTGTTCGTCTCCACGCCATGTATCTGTCGGCCGATCTGGTGCATTTGTCGTAGTGCGCGTCGCCCTGCCCTGCGCGCCCTGAGAGCACCGTGTGCACAGTGGCCATTGTGTGTCCGTCAGCGTGGTCTGCTTCGCCTCCTCCAGCAGCCCAGCGCGGCCGCAGGCTCTATGTGTCCGTGTGTATGTGTGCCTGCGCGCGCGCATGTGTATAGTTGTGTGTGTGTGTTGGTGATTGAGTGAGCGAGAATACGCGTATGTGTGAGTGTTTTGTTAATGTGGCAGTACAACGGAGAAAATTTGGTCAAAGAGGTCTCTGAACATCAACACGTCTAAACGTGGCAAAAACAAGAAATAAACATCCTGCAAAAAATGACTGCGAAAACAGGTCGATGGCGCGCGGGTATTCGAACCCGGGCCGCCTTGCCATTATCCAGTGTCGCATCGCGCGGGTCCGGCCGGCGCACGTGGCCGCCGTGCACAATCGCCGTTATGATAAAGATATCGCGGAGACAAGGCATGCAATGAGCACGGCAGTCCTGCTAGCAGGCTGCTAGCCCGGCACAGCATGCATTGTGCTCAATGGTACGGCCCGCGCAGCAGCCCGACAGCCAACAGGCAGACAGACGGACAGACACACAGACAGAACAATGTAGATCTATCGCCTTGTCGCGGCGCCGCCGGCCGGCGTGGACTTCCCTGAAGACGGAGTCCGAATCCACGGACGGCTCTCGGAATCGGCTCGATGTTTATTTATTTCATATCTGCGAGCATGCCGGCTGCAGCGGACTGATTCCGAGAGTCGTTTTCGTCGCTCTGTCTCTCTCGCACCTATACGGGACGCCCCATGAGTGCGAGAGAGACAGAGCGACGAAACCGACGCTGGGAATCGGTTGCGGGCGGGTGAATAAAAACAGAAGCAGCGCGGCGACGGCGACAGGGCCGGCAGGCGGCTGGCGCGGCGCCGGAGGTGGTGCACTGGTACACAAGCGCCCCGCCGCCGCCGTGCCGCTGCTGAGAGCCTTCCGTGGTTCGGTTGGGACGGGATGTCGCGTGTTGCCGCATCGTATCGCCTCCGTGAGGCCGTGAAGGCTGTGAGGCCGGTAAGGCGCCGCCGCCTCGGCGAATCCGCGCCAAAAGGACTACAGCGCGAAGGGCGTGCGACGGTGCCGCCGCCTGGTGGCGAAGTGAAGCGCTGGCGAAGCGAAGAGCGTCGTGCGGCTCGGCGTGGCTCGGCACGGCCCGGCGGTTCGAGGGCCTCCTTCCTCTTAATTTAGTGAGCCGCTGACGAATGGGACGCGCGTCATATCGAGACAAGGAACAAATTACCCTCGCGGCCATAGGGCCCATGACGGCTGGCCGGCCGGCCCCATGGGGGTCATGGAGCCGAGCGGGCCATAGGGCAGCGCAGCAGCGCGCCCGAGTGGGGCATTTAAACCCGCTGTCCAGTTCGCGTCGCTCTGTCTCCCTCGAACCTCCACGGGACGTTCCATGAGTGCGACAGAAACAGAGCGGCGATCCTTCGGAGGCTGCAGCACCACGGACATCGGCTTCGCTAGGCAAAGTGCGTTCCGAACGCTCTGCAGACCGATTCCGAGCACTGCCCTCGTCGCTCTGTCTGTCTCGCACTCATGGCGCGTCCCACATGGGTGCGAGAGAGACGGACCGACGAAAGCAGTGCTCGGAATCGGTCTGCAGGCGCGCTCCCGTCTTGTCCTCCTCCGGGATGCCGCCGCCTCCTCGACGGACTTGTCGCCGCCGCGGGTCCGCGCCGCTGGTTGGTTTTTGTCGCGCCACTGCAATATAAGACTCGGCCGCATTTCGTATTCCTTGTTTTCCCCGAAATGCGACATGAGGCAATCCGTCAATCAATCAGCAATCACTCAGGGCACGCCGACTTCCCGGAACGGGCCGACGGCGAGGGTCCGACGGCGAGGGTCCGACGGCGAGGCCGAGCGCGCGTGGCCGCCCTGCGCTGCCCTGCGTCCACAATAACATTCCTGGCCACACTAAATTATTGAAAGGCCCTTTCCTGACGACGAAGACGACGCGCGGCTCCCCCTGCCCGCCGTTTTGGGCCCCCGGATTCCCACACTCGAATTTGGCGCAACCCGGCTTTGGCTCGTTTTGTTTCTGGCGGCTTTTTCTTTGCTTTTTATTGCTCCTCCCCCTCCGCCCCTGCGAAAAGCACCGCCAACGGCGACGGCGGCCTCGACGGCGTGCTGCTATGCGGATGACGGCGAGGACCTCGTCGTCGACGGGGTGGTGCGGCGGTCCGCGTCCAGCCACTTTCCATATCGAGTTGCATCCAGCGAGGAGCAGTGCATTCACTGATGCTGTTTGCAGAAGGGGTCAGACTCGTCGCCCTCCAGGAGGCGCCGGCAGGGCGACGGCGGCGACAGCAGGGCCAGGGCCTTCGCGCCCTCCAGCAGCACGCCGCAGCGGCGGGCCGTGTCGGGACTGGAAGGACCGCCATTGTCCTTGTCACGCGCCATTGTTCTTAGTCGGTGGGCGAGTGTGTGTGTGTGTTGGTGTGTGTGTTGGTGAGTGAGTGAGTGTGTGTCTCGGCGATGAAAAACGAATGGGAAAGGGGTGCACGGGGGCGTTGCAGGCGTTGCAGTCCTACCTTAGCGCCACATATCGCGTCGCCGCGTCGCCGTGCGTGCATGCGTGCCGCGCGGTGCCGCGCGGGCCGCGGGGGCGTGAGGGAGGCCGACCAGGCCCGGCCCTGCCCGTGGAAGACGGAGACGGAGTGCTCATTCTCGGCTCCACGGAAATAAAGTCTTTCCGAAAACATCCTGCGCGCCCAGCGCGCCCAGGAGAGGAGATGCTCCCCGTGAGCGCGCCCACCGCGCCCACCGCGCCTGGCGCCCGCTTCCAGGAAGGCCGCGGTGCATTGTTTCTGTGTGCGCTTGTGTGTGTGTATGTGTGTGTGTGTGTCGCGTCGATCGGCCGGCAAAATGTTAATTGATTAATTGCTTTTACGCCCCGCTCTGGGAATGCGGCCCGGTTCCTCTCCCTCTCTCTTCGCTTTCGTCGGCGCGCCCATCTTTCTTCTTTTTCTTTTTCTTTTCCTCCTTTTCGGCCCTGCCCTGCCCCGCCCTGCCCTCGGCTGCGCTGCGACCCCCGCGCCTTGGCGCGCTCGGCGCGCGCGTGCGGCCGCTCCGGTGTTTATTTGTGCGCGCGTTGTGTGTATGTGTGTGTGTGCGTGTACGCCCCGAGTATGGACTGCCCGCCCCGACCCTTCCCCGGCAGGAATAACTCGCAGAGCATCGCGGGGCCACGAGAGATCTCCCAGGCCATAAAGGTGCCCGCCATCCTTCTCCCGTCTTCTGCCGCTTGCGCGCGCGGCGCGGTGGGGCGGGGCGGGGCGGAGCGGCGTGGCGAAAAGCGGATCGGCCACGACCTGCGCGATCGGTGTCCCGGTGCCCCGTCCGTGGGAGAGTGCCGGCCGTGGCCGTCCACCAAGGTGAGGGCCTCCGTGTCGCGCCGCGTCGCCACCAGCATGATGCCGCCTCGCCTGGCGCCGCCCCGGTACTCTCTCCGCCGCGGTCCTATCCGAGCTAAACTTAGCCGCCTTCAACCTGAGCGCCCCAGTGCAGTGTCTCAGCCTGACTCCCGCCTGCGCGGCCGTTGCAGACTGATACTCCGAAAGTCGTTTCCGTCTGTCTTTCTCGCACTCCATTGGTGAGCGATTCTCACGTTTCGGGGTAGTTTCGTTTCTTCTGACTCCTGTGCCCAAACGAGCGCAGATATCGACATGGGGTTTGTTTCTGATGTTAGGGAGGGCCATTGCCCACTAAACGCACACATTTCGAAAAGTTCTCGTTCGTTGGATTCGTCTACGTAGCGTTTGGAATACCTCAAATGTAACTTCCGTGATTGTCCAAAGAGAACATACTCGAACTTTCCGCCCCCAGTGTGGCGGTGTGGTTCGAAAATGCTGCCCACTGTCGATGGGGATTCGAAGCTTGGCATGTCTCGAGCTAATTTCAACCGAAGACCAATACGCCAGACTTCTTTCAAAGGTACTTATGCTGCAACGAAAAATGTCCTCCGTATATTCAATTTAACTACACAAATTTCGAAAAGGCAGCTCTGGACTTCTCCCCAAGCCAAACTTTTAACTTTCCATGACACAAGCCATTAAAGTGGAGTCCCTGGGATATAATTGCATGGGTCGCGGAAATCTAAGATGCTGTACACGGTCTCAAAGCGGGCTAGAGCATTATAAAATGGCGTGTATCAACAATTACCTGTTACTTCCGTGGCACCCTTTACCCAATGTTGCAGCAGCACTAGGTGAAAAAATTTTCCGCTGAAATGTCGGGCTTAGAGCATCATTTGACCCTGGAACGACTTTTAAGCCACAGCAAGCCCGAGTCAGCCGTTAAAGCTGATTTTCACACTTTGTAACTTCCGTGATAACGTAATTTCCGTGATCAAAACACCCACTAAAACGTATGGGAATACCTTATGGCTCATGTTTTTAGGAAGATAGTACAAGGTCTTTACTATAAATACCATTGCCATAACTCTAGTATCATCCAGGACCCCAATAATCAGAAAAACTTAATTGGATATTTCTCACTTTCGGCAAATCAGAGACGCCAAAACTACCCCGAAACGTGAGAATCGCTCTGGTGCGAGAGAGACAGAGCGACGAAATCGACTTTCGGAATAAGTCTGCTACCGCACTCGCTCGATATGGGAGGGTTTTTGGAGGGCTTTGGCAGTGTGCAGCCCGTCTGACTTTCTCCCTTGTGTCTTCTGCCCCGCAGGCCTGCGCGCCGAGATACGTGTACTTCGCCAACTCCGTGAACCGCAAGGACCCCGTCGGCACCTGCTGGGTGTCGCGCGAGGGCTTCTCCGACTTCGCCGAGTACGCGCCCTGCAGGACGAGTAAGTACGCCTCGATGACCCCCTCGGCCCCGGACACCAGGACGCCCAGCCCGAGGGCCTCGGCGGCGTCGTCCCTGCTGCAGCTGCAGCCGCCATCGGGGGGCATCAGGGACGCGCGGCGCGCGGCGCGTTCCCGTTGCCGCCTATCTCGCCTCCCGGTTCATCGCGGAGGGTCAACCTGGCGGTCGGCGCGACGCGTGTTGCCGTTTCGCGCGGTTGACGCCGGCCTTTGACGGCGTCCTCGCCGCCTTATCAACCCAGCCATCCCGAAAGAGTCGTGTCGTCGCTCTGTCTCTCTCGCACCCGTGCGGGTCGCCCCATGAGTGCGAGAGAGACAAGGCGACTCTCCGGAAATCGGCGTTCAGAGCATCGCGGGCAATTGCGCGTGGCCGCGACAAGGGTTCAAAACGAGGAAAATGGATGTTTTTGTTTGGCTTTCTTTTGAATGGGCGGGGCGGGACGCCTCTGCGCTGCGCCATGACTGCGCCATGGCTGCGCGCTGCGCGTGGCGGGGCGCATGTGCGGCGTGTGAGTAAACACGGAGGCCGTGGATGTGCTCCAGCAGCAGCTGCTGCTTACTCACAAGGGAGGGGGCGCGCCGGCCGGCCAGGGAGTGAGTGCACTTCCTCAAATCCGTCACTCTAATCCTTGCCCTCGCATCGCTGGCCTGCCTGCGTGTAACCCAACCCTCGCCGGATATCCCAGCCTGTTGCAAGTTGAAGTTTGACCAGTGGCGCTGCGGCGGCCATACTCCGCGCCTCAGCTTCATTAGGCATATCCGCGCAGGGGGTACCGACGTACTCGGCATTCTCGGCCGCAGGCAGACGCACACTGCTTGCTGGGCAATGCCGGACAGTGCTTCGACGCGTGGTCTCTCTCGCACTCGAGGGAGGCCCGTAGGGGTGCGAGAGTGACGGAGCGGCGAAGCACCGTTCGGAGACAGCCCGCTGTAGGTCGGCGCGCGGTTCTGCGGCCATCATTAACCTGGGACGTGAATTAATAGCCCTTTGGAGTGACTGTTCGCCCATCGGTGACTCTCTGTCTCTCTCGCACTCGAACGGGACGCCCCATGAGTGCGAGAGAGACAGAGCGACGAGATGGTCCCTCGGAATCGGGCGGCAGGCGCAGTGCAGCGCAGAGCGAGACGAGCGTGCGCCCACACGGGCGGGAGGGCAGAGGTAGCCCGCCCCACCCCGCCCAGCCATGCCCTGCCCACACACGATCCCGTGCTCCTGCCCACGCCACGCCGCCGTGTGTGCGCTAGGCGCGCTAGGCCGCCAGTCCGCGAGCGGACGTTGCCAACCGCGGGCCGCTGGCTGGCCTGCTAGAAAAGCTCCAAACGCCGCACGCGGCATCCACCCGTCGGTCGACAGCAACCCTGCCTGCAGACTGATTCCGAGAGTCGCTTTCGTCGCTCTGTCTCTCTCGCACCTATACGGGACGCCCCATGAGTGCGAGAGAGACAGAGCGACGAAAGCGACTCTCGGAATCAGTCTGCAGCCTATGCCCCCCAGGGGGTGCTCCTGGCGCGCGCGCTGCGTTTGGGTTCCCGTGGGACGGCCCGGGGCGGGGCTGTGGAGGGGCACTACCGGAAGGAGGGTGCGCGCGAAGAGAGGTGCCAGGAGAAGAGGAAGTGAGGTCGGCAGGGCGCAGAGACAAGCGGCCCGTAATGAGAAACAAGTAGCCTCGTGGCGCCGCGCGCAAAAAAACAAGAAACGCTCAGCAAACAGCCACCTGATTCCGAAGGATCCTTTTTCTGTCTCTCTTTGTACTCACGGGGTGTCCCGTCGGGGAGCGAGAGAGACAGATCGATGCTTCGGAACCTTCAGCAGACATATTCCGAGAGTCCTTTGCGTCGCTCTGTCTCTCTCGCACTCATGGAGCGTCCCGATTAGGTGCGAGAGAGACAGAGCGACGAAAACGACTCTCAGAATCAGTCTGCAGGCGGCAGGCGGACTGCATCATCTCCGTCGCGCCGCTGCCGCTATCGCGCCCTGCATCCTTTCGGCTTTCGGCCCCCTTGCAGTGGCCACGACGGCCACGCCGCGGCCCCTCCGAGACGCGCATCACGTCACATCCAGCGGCGTGACGGCCGTGTGAAGATAGGCGGGGCGCGGCGGCGGGGCGGCGAGGCCCGCGTTGTTTGGACAGACAACACAGCACTGCATGGACTGCGTGCGCCGCGTGTCCCTGCGGCGGGGCGGTGCCGCTGCCGGCCAGCCCAAAGGACCGAGGACCGAACTGCAGTTATTCCATGATTTCATTACGGCCAAATTGGGGGACTGCGCCGTCATGGCCGTCATGGCGCGGGCGGGCGCGGCGCACTCGGCCGACACAATGACCGTCCTGATGAGAGCTGTCACGCCGGCCGGCCGCACCGCGCACCGCCCCGCCGTCGGACCGTCGTCGTCGCCGTGCATGCCATTCGCCGGGTTTAGAGTCTGCGGTCTGCGGCCAGGGCGGCGCGTGCGTGCTTGCGGTTTGCATCGGGGACCAACAGGGACTCGCGGCGCCTGTCGCCTCACCACGCCGTCGTCGCCCCGTCGCGGCCTCGCGGTCTGCCCGGGGTGCCCATCTGTCAGGCCGGCCCGCGCCTGGCCCTCCAAGGGCCGCTGATGAAGACGTCCTGTCTGACGGGAGGTATGACGTCCGCCTCGGCGGGTCGCGGTGCTCCGAGGGAAAAGCGCCTTGTAACGACCATGGCGCGCGCGCCGCGCTCCGTTAGGACCTGTCTCCACTCGGATTGGTCGGTGCTGTTGCGGTTGTGTATTTTCCGGGATTCGATAAATCGAGTGAGATTGTGGTTCAAGACGTAAGACTATATTCCAAAACACTGTTCCTGCTGGCTCCACACACACACCCTTACTCTAAGCGTTCCTCCAGGCGACTGACCGGCCGCCCGTCACTCGGCTCGGCTGTCGCCCTGTTCGGCTTCCGCGGTCCGCGGCTGATCAGTAGCGGTAGGGTTTTCTATTAGGGTCAGCAGTTATGCCGCGCGCCGCGCGACGCCGCTTCCCCCAAATCGTCTTGTCTCCCGCAACAGTGCGGATCGGCCGTGCTCTCCCCCGCGTCCTCACAGTGTAGTGTTGTAGAGAGGCTCTGCCGCTCTACATTGTGTTTTGAATTCTCAGCCCCGGCCGCGACACCGGTAGCCGTCTCGTCTCGTCTTCTCACCACCTTGTTGTTCTTGTCTTGTTGCAGAGCACTGGGGCTACCACCGGCAGGGCTCCTGCCAGGCGGGCCTCGGCGCCGCCATCTCCAAGGTACGTAAGTCGGGTGGCAGCCCTAGCGGCGGCGCTGCATGCCGAGGGCCAGGTGGCACCCCTATAGCTTCGGGCGACGCCTTTACGGCCGCGTCGCGACGCGGGAATGGCGCCGTCGCCGCCCTGCAGCTCGATTCCAAACAGCGCCCTCCTCGCCGTGTCTCTCTCGCACTCATGGGACGGCCCGATGAGGTGCGAGAGAGAGAGAGAGAGAGAGAGAGAGAGGAAGGCGAAGCTCTGTTCGGAATCGAACCGCTGCGCTGCGCTGCGCCGCCTTGTAACCGGCCCGCCTCGCCTTACAATATCGCCGCCACAAACACGGCCTCGTCGAGGGCGGCGGCCGCGCGCCGCTTTTAGAAGCGCTTCTGGGGGTTAATCCCGCCAAGAAAGAAGACCCTTCCTCTGGATCGAAAACATTTTCAGCCAGGCAGGGGTCTCGCATTGCCGTGCCGCGCCGCACAGTGGGCCAGAAGACCGATGGAGGCGGCCAACCCTCTCGACGAGTTTTGAGCCCAGAGTCGCTGAACAGGACTCGGACCGAACGTGTGACCCCACCAATGGATTCCTCGTTCGGAGAGCAATCCTTTGGTGGGGTCACACGTTCGGTTCGAGTCTCATTTAGCGACTCTGGAGCTCAAAACGCGTCTAGAGTTTTGGCCGCTTCCACCGGTCTTCTGGCCCACTGTGCGCCGTGCCGTGCCGTGCCGTGCCGCGGCGGCCTGTTAAGCCCTTTATGTGGCGACGATAAAAGCGATCGGCCAGACACACGGCGTTTAGGGCCTGCGCCGCGCATTAGCGGGGAATGCAATGCCGGCGGGACGGCGCGGCCCTCGTCGGCGGCGCTTCCGTCAGAGGCCGCGGTTCTCCATAAGGTTCAGCAAGGTGCACAGTGGGCCAGAAGACCCGCGCAGGCGGCCAAAATTCTACACGCGTTTTGAGCGGTTTTGAGCTCTCGAGTCGCTAAATGGAGCTCGAACGCGTGGGTCGTGGGCTTGTAGCGCCTGCGACGTAGGCCACCCATCCGTCTCGCAACACACCGGAGTGGAGACGGTGGCCTACCTTGCGCCTGTCGTCTCCACAGGGGCACGGTAGGCCACCGTCTCCACACCGGTGTGTTGCGAGACGGATGGGCGGCCTACCTCGCAGGCGGCCAAGGCTTCCAATTCGATGACTGGCAATCTTTGAAGGGCAATCAGCTCCTTGGTCGTATCGTAGCATTCTAGCCGAACGTGGCGTGTGACCGGGCGACGATACCCCACGTGCGAGTAACCTTTAACGCGGTCCTCGCGTGCGTGGGGTAGAGCCACGACGCGATCTTTCCCGTCCCTACCTCTTGATTCTCCAGACTGATTCCGAGAGTCGTTTTCGTCGCTCTGTCTCTCTCGCGTCCATACAAAGTGTGAGGGAGACAGAGCGACGGGAGCAAGCTTCGGAATCGGCCTGCTGACTTACAGTGTCTCACTAACGTGCGTCCGTGTCCCTTTTGCAGGATGGCAATCGACTCTTCATCGGGGCTCCGGGCAGCTGGTACTGGCAAGGTAAGGGACCGAGACGCTGGGACCGGGGCGTCGTCATGTAGTACGACTTGGGTTGATGCAACTTCGAACGTACCAGGATGTTTGGTGTAATTACGTGTCGTGTTTTTGTACACTGTGTAAAGGCTGGCGGTACGGGCGCTTTGTGTCTCCGGGTCCATCCCTTGGTTCTTGCTTTTCCTGTCGACCTTGCGGGTGGGCCTGTTTGTTGTCGAGTCTGTCCCCGACAATAGGGACTCACGGACGTGAATGATACAGTGCGAAATTCGTGGGGCGCTCGCCGTTGTGAATACTAGCGCGCTCTATCGCTGGCTGTGTCGCTCTATCCTCCTCCGCGCTTGCTGTGCGTTCTGCGAGCAGTGCAGGGCAGTGCCTGGCAGTGCAGTGCCCCGCGGGGCGCGCTGGCGGTGTCATGTCGATTGCCTATTGCCTCATCTTGTCACTTATTCCTCTTTATTCTCTCTGGGGCCGACTGGCCGGCCGACCACACCAAGCGCAGCATTCGAGTTCCGAGTGGCGCGGCAGTGGACGGACTCCGAGAGTCGTGTTCGTCGCTCTGTCTCTCTCGCACCTGCACGGGACGCCCCCTGAGTGCGAGAGAGACAGAGCGACGAAAACGACTCTCGGAATCGGTCCGCAGCGCATGCGGCAGTAAATCGCGGACGACGCGGACAACGCCGAACGCGAGGCGCGTAAAATAGCCTCCGTCTCACCGAGTGATTTGCAGTCTGGAAGAAATCGCTTGAAATTAAATTCCCCCTTTTTTCCATTTCCCTCGGTCTTTTGTGGTCGGCTGGCGCGCGTCAGACCCTTTTCCCTCGACAGATGGCTGGGTGGCGGTGCTCCGAGGACTCTGTATCAAAAGTGTGTGATGGATTGCTAAGGAAACATTTTGCTTGCAGGCCAGGCCTACTATGTAAACACCGCGTACAAGTTCCCCTTCGTTCCGTCAAGGAACTTGCCGTACGGCTCCGGCGCAGGTAAACACGAAAGAATAGAAAAGAAAGATTGACAAAAAAAAGCACAAGAGCGTCAATTGTAACCAGTAACTCTGGGCATCATTCTGACTATAAAAGAATTTCCATTTGGACCCTAATACGTGTATAGCGAAAATACTAATCCCCTAAAAGGTGTAGTTGTTTTCCTTTCTTTGATTAATTCGACGAGGCTTGGTGAGAGAAACGTAACCCAGGTTTGAGAACTCATACCATAGTGGCCTAATAATCAACCAAAACCCCTCTTGTACATAGGTGCGTGATGGTGTAGTGCTTGACTTTCCAGCCGGTGCTCTGCCGTCCGAGACCCATCGGAGCCACAGGCTGTTTTCCTTGCTGTACATAGTAGCGCGGCGCGTTTGACGGTGTGGTGTGCTGTGGTGTGGTGATTGGTGTTCTGCTAACGTGGATTGTCTTGCAGGCCGCAGATGGGACTTCCCTGCCTTGTACAGGGTGGCGGGATTCCTGCTTCTTTTTCAGTTTTTATTTTTTGATTTTTGTAGAGGCTATTTTTCTGCTGGTTTTATTTTATCTGCTGTGACAGCTAAGCGCAAATCTAAACCTAAACCGCTTCGCAGCTCGCCTTTTGCCTACCTAACTACTATACATGCATTTGAATGTGACGAAACGGCAGTTTTGACTTGGGCTTGAGCAGTGTCCGGCAGTGTCGCCACACCAGTAGGCAAAAAATCCCGGTATGCATCAGCATTTTGCCTACTTGTGTGGCAGCACTGGTACTTGAGCGTCAACGGTTCCAAGTTCAAAATTGCCGGGGAAGAGAGAGAAAGACGCGTGTGCTGACGCGTGCTCGTGGTGCTGCAGGCCAGGTGCACTCGCAGTCCCTCAAGGACAGCCAGATCGTGGTGGCGACCAGCGAGGGCTCCGCCGTGGACGACGACTCGTACCTGGGCTACTCCGTCACCACGGGGGACTTCGACGGCAACGGCGAGGTGGACGTGGCCGTCGGCATGCCCAGGGGCAGCTCACTCGTCGGCAGGGTGAGTGATGGTTCCTGGCTTTTTGATCGCTTTTGTTCTTCACTTGGTTGGCGACGACTGAATGGGTCTCTACGGATCTCAGGGCATGTTGGTTTTGGGCAAGGGAAACAAAATAAAATAAATAATTATGGCAACCTTTCTGCTCGTTCAGGTCGTGGTCTACAGCTGGAACATGGTGAACCTGTTCAACCGCACCGGTGACCAGATGGGCTCCTACTTCGCGTACTCGCTGTGCACCTCCGACGTGGACGGCGACGGCCTGGACGACCTGGTGATCGGCGCGCCCTTGTACACGCACTACGACAACAACGACGGCAAGTACGAGACGGGCCGCGTGTACGTCATCTACCAGGGCAGCGGCGTGTCCAAGTTCCGGGAGGTCACCACACTGGACGGCAAGAACTCCAAGGCGCGCTTCGGCCTGGCGCTCACCTCCATGGGCGACGTCAACAAGGACGGCTTTGGAGGTAAGTTGGCGCCTGGCGGGCTGTCGTGTCGAGCGTTTCCGCGGCGCGCCGCAGTGGGCCAGAAGCCGGTGGAGGCGGCCAAAACTCTAGACGCGTTTTGAGCTCCAGAGTCGCTAAATGGGACTCGAACCGAACGTGTGACCCCACCAAGAGAGCAATCCATTGGTGGGGTCACACGTTCGGTTCGAGTCCCATTTAGCGACTCTGCAGCTCCGCGTCCTGAGTTTTGGCCGCCTCCACCGGCTTCTGGCCCACTGTGCGCGCCGGTGCGCGCACTCCTCGCTGTGTCTCTCTCGCACCCCTTCGGCACGCTCCATAGTGCGAGAGAGACAGTGAGAGGTGCGGGGGGCGGATTCGCTCACTTGGTCAGGGAGGGTGGCACTCGGTGGCACTGCTGGGTCGGCGTCTGACTGCTTCTTCGTGGCAGACTTCGCCGTGGGTGCGCCGTACGACGGACCGCGCGAGCGAGGCGCCGTCTACATCTTCCACGGCTCCAAGGACGGCGTGCTGGAGAAGGCCTCGCAGGTCATCTTCGCCGAAGACATCAACTACCAGCTGTCCACCTTCGGCTTCTCCATGTCGGGCGGTCACGACCTGGACAACAACGAGTACCCCGACCTGGCCGTCGGCGCCTACGAGTCCGATTCAGCGGTCTTCTTCAGGTTCGTCAGCCAGGCACTGATCTTTGGACGGAATCCTGATCGATGCGCACCGTGACGAGCCATGAACATGAACCGATGTTGCAGGTCTCGCCCCGTCGTCCAGATGACGGGCCAAGTCGCCTTCAGCATCGACTCGAAGCAGATCAGCCTGGAGCAGAAGAACTGCACGCTGCGCGACGGCACCCGCGTACCCTGCGTGCCCCTCAACGCCTTCCTCAAGTACGGCGGCGTCAACGTCGACGACTCCATCGGTAAGGCCGCGCGTTCGATCCCCGTCGCCGCCGCACTTTTGGCACGCCGCGTGTCCGCGACAGTAATGATTTTGTTCCTACTCCAGAACTGGAGGTGCAGTTCGTGCTGGACGCCCGCAAGCCCAAGAGCCCCCGCATGTTCTTCGTGTCCGACTCCGGCCGCAACGTGATGAACCAGACGGTGCGCCTGGACAAGAACGTCCTCTTCCAGAAGAGCATGTTCGTGTACATCAAGGTGCGTATGATTGCCTTTCCCCCCTGACCGAGACGTCTTCACCCTGTGTATTCCTGTCTTCAACGCGCGCCCCGTCTCTTCGCAGCCGGACTTGCGCGACAAGCTGACGCCGCTGGACGCGGAGATGCGCTACAGCATGAACATCCGGCGCACCAGCTCGCTGCCGCCCATCCTGGACCAGGACACGGCGCCCGTGCAGAGGGACTCCATCAGCGTGCAGAAGAACTGCGGCCGCGACAACGTGTGCATCCCCGACCTGCAGCTCGTCGCCCACTCGTGAGTACTACCGTGTGCAAAAGAATCCGACCGTCACTACTCCACGCGTCAGAGATTTACAACGCTGGCCTTATGGATGGTCTCTTGCGCGCGGGGTAGCGACGGTCGGATTCTTTTGAACACGGTAGTACACCCAGTCCCAGTGGACCAGTGTGCCACCTCTGTGAGGCTTCCGCTCACGGCCGCCAGGCGGCGCCACCACGCTGTGGCGTGGCGCGGTGCTGCCGGTGGACTTCCCTCCGCCTCCGCCGTTCGTAATCGGCCCTCTCTGTCACGCAGGAACGTGAGCACCTACCTGCTCGACTCGGAGCAGCTGCTGGCCATCGACGTGGAGGTGCGCAACGAGGGCGAGGACGCGTTCGAGGCCACCTACGAGATGAAGATCCCGCTCGGCATGGACTACAAGAGGATCCAGCGCCTGGACAAGTCCGAGAGGGAGATCCCCGTGCAGTGCTCTCCGCCCAGCGCCACCAACAACAACACCCTGCGCTGCGACATCGGCAACCCGCTGCCCAAGGCCAAGAGGGTCCACTTCAAGGTGCTGCTGCAGCCCTTCCACCGGGAGGGCATGAAGCCCCGCTACGAGCTCAGCATGTCCGTCAACAGCACCAACCCCGAGAACAAGAACTCGGTCGCCGACAACATCAAGAACATCAACATCCCCATCCAGGTGGACACGGACCTCATCCTCGAGGGGTAAGGCGTCAGCTCAGCAAGGGCTGAACGAACATGGAAGATCACGGGAAAAACGGTGCCTGGTTTTCCCAGGAAATCCCTGGAAATTGCCTATGTCTTACCATAAGCTACCCGGGAAAACTAGGAACCTTTTTAGCCGAGATGGGATTTGAACCCCCGATGACACGTGCCCTGTTTGTGTTGCCAGCACCTCGCACCCGTCCGACTTGCACTTCAACACGACGCAGTACCGCAGCGAGGCGCTAGCGGCGGGCGTGAGCGAGACGGAGGTGGGCCCGCAGGTGGTGCACGTGTACAGCATCCGCAACAAGGGCCCCTCCGGCATCCAGGAGGCGCAGGCCGACTTCCTGTGGCCGGCCTACACGCTGTCCGGCGAGCCGCTGCTCTACTTGCTGGAGCAGCCCGAGACCAGCGGGCCCGTCAAGTGCGAGTTCGCCGAGGCCATCAACCTCGAAGGCATCGTCATCGAGCGCAGGGGCAAGTCCTTCCTCGAGTCCATCGGCGCCGCGGGCTTGTACGGCTCGCTCGGCTCGGGTGCCGGCAGGAGAGGTAGGTGTGAAGCGGTGTGGAGGTGCCGAGGAGCGCCTGGCGGGTAGGCAACCCCAGCACAGTGCTGCGTGGAGGTGTGTTTGCCCGGCAGGCGCTCATTACCATTACCATTAAGGGTTAGACCACACATGATCGTATGCCATTTCGGGCCCGACACATGCCCGCCTGCACTGCAAAACGAGACATGGCCGTCCTTACTAGGCCGTCTGAGTAGCATGAAGTCGCGTAAGGCACAGAATGACCCATGGACGTGTTCCAGGTGGCGAGATCACCGAGGAGGAGCGCATCAGCATCGCGCAGGAGCACCGCGAGGAGGTGCTGGAGACGAGCGGCCATCGGCAGCACGGCGGCGGCTACCGCTCCGAGTCGCACTTCGAGAGCCGCGGCGGCGCGGCGGTCGGCGCCTCCAGCCAGGCGGGCGTGCGCGCGGGGGCGGGCTCCGGCGTGGCCGTGGGCGGCTCCAGGCAGCGCGGCCGCGGAGGGGCTCGCGTCGACAGCTCCTACGAGGCCGAGTACGAACGCAGCGGCGGCGCGGCCAGGGCCGGCGGCGCCACCATCGTGGAGGGCTCGTACCGCAGCAGCACGGCGCAGCAGGCTGGCGGCCGCCGCGTGGAGGCCGAGGCTGGCTCCTCGCACGTCAGCGGCGGCCGGCGCTACGAGGCCGAGTACGGCTCCTCGCAGGCCGGGGGCGACCGCCGCGTCGAGTACGGCGGTGCGCAGGCTGGAGGAAGCCGCACTGTTGTGGTGGACCACACCGTCGAGTCCGGGTCCTCCTTCCGCGGCCAGTCCTCCGTGTCCGCGACCACGGCCTCCTCCACGTCGAGGCGCACGGGATACGAAGGCGGATACGAGGCAAGCTACGAGCAGGGCGGCGCGTCCAGGAATGCGGGCGGCATCGGCGTGGCCGGCGGCCGCCGGACCTTCTCCCACGAGCGTTCGCACTCGAGCAACTCGTCGTGGAGCTCGGAGGACGGCGGCAGGCCGCGCGTCCACAGCGCGTCGTCCTGGCGCACCGAGGAGGACGGCGTGGTGCGCGAGGGCAGCTCGTCGACGCAGGGCTACGCGGACGCCGAGCTGGAGGAGCGGCGGCGATACGAGATGGAGCGGCGGCGCCACGAGGAGGAGGTCCGGCGCGTGGAGGAGGAGCGGTACCGCATCGAGCTGGAGACGCGCCGCGCCGAGGAGGAGCGCCGACGCCTGGAGGAAGAGCGGCGACGCACCGAGGGCCGCAGCCACGTGGACTACGCCAGGCACTACGAGGGCGGCCGCGGCACGGCGGCCGGGGCGGCTGCTGCTGGCTACGGATCCGTCCGGTCGTCTTCCGCGTCGTCGTCGTCTGCCTCCAGCAGCAGCAGCAGTAGCAGCAGCAGTAGCAGCGGTGGCGGGGTGAGCGTGGCCGCGGCGGTGGGCGGTGGCTCCGACAGCGTGGCCAACCTGCGACCGCGCGGCGGCGGCAACGCGTCCGGGGCGTCTGGAGGCTCCACCGACACGAGCCACTTCGCGTGGGAGCAGGCGGCGCTCAACCCGTCGTCCGCGGCGGGCAAAACGCCCTACGGCACGCCGGCGCACACCACGGTGCTGGACCTGGGCGTCGACGCGGCCGGACTGCGCGGCGCCATACAGGGCCACGGCCAAGGCCAACGCCAAGGCTCTGTCACCGTCACCGGATCCCGCACGTACGAGGCCGAGTACGAGGACGAGGCAGAGGCCAGGGCCGCGGCGGCCTCCGGCTCGGCAGGGCAGTACAGTGGCGGCCGCCGCGAGTGGTGGTCGTCGTCGTCCTCGCAGCACGGCGCGGGACACGGCGCGGCACACGGCAAGGACGAGGAGTACCAGCGCCGCGAGGAGGCCAAGTACTACAGCGGCAGCAGCAGCAGCCAGCACTCGACTCACGCCGACGACGGAAACGGACTCGTCGACGCGAGGTCGTCTGACGTACAAAACAGGTAAATTATTTTTCACTGACGTCACAGTTTCGAAGAAGTTACCAGTTAGAGTATCTCCAGAAAACCCTCATTTTATCTGTTCATGGAAATTTAATGTGCGGTCTAATTTTCTGTGCTTTAGGTTCAAGCTGTACCAACGAATTCGTCGAGAAACCGAAGAAGAGTCATTCAGAGCGAGAAATGACTTGGATCTTCCAGAATGTAACCCAGTCAAGTGTGTCCATCTCAGGTGCACTGTTGGCCCTCTCCAGAGAGACCAAGAGGCGTATGTTGCAATCCGTTCAAGACTGGTGGTTGGCACAGTGAAAAAGGTGTGTGATGGAATGGAAAAAGCTATTAGAGATTTTTTGTTTGCCTTTTATTGGTGTTACAATAATTTGTTTGCCCCATTTAGATCTCATCGACCGAGGAGCTGAGATTATCATCACTTTTGTCTGCACGGATAACTCGGCTGCCTCACATAGGTGAACCTGACAACTCAGTAAGACGGCAAAGAGAAGTTTTCACTCAAGTCATTCCATCAGACCTGGCTGTCAAGTCAGATATAGTTCCATTGTGGGTTGTGGTGCTCTCAGCATTTGCTGGAACACTGATTCTCTTGCTGCTGATATTCTTACTGTGGAAGGTAAGTGTTTTTCTTTTGAGTGATGAACACAAACTACCTCATAGCATCAACTCACTTATTGCTCCAAAAAATACCTCCTGTTTGTCCACAAATGATTTATTTTCCTTTTCTGCTTCCAGTGTGGGTTCTTCAAACGCAACCGACCAAGTAATGCTCCTGAAAAGGAGCCACTTAATCGAAATGGCCACTATAATGGTGATGAAGCTTTGTGACAGCGTTTCTAACTGCACCCATTTAGACAGGGGTGTGTGCAAATTTTGATATTTCCTTGGTCATGAAGATGGGAAATTTACCTCTCTCCGAATCGGCACAATTAAATTGTGCTGTTTGGTATTTATGAACTGACTGGTGCGGGACCACCAGTAAATGTCAGTAATTAGTCAACTAATAATTTATGAATGGTATGAGTGAATTGTGTGATTTTTTTGTGTATATAGCTGAATGTGTGAAGCTTTGTGAAAGAGAATGATTGTGTTGTACATTTCAGTTGAAGAAGTTTACATAAATGTGTGTGAGGTTGTGTGTTTGAATGAATGATTCTGTGATCTATTAAAACGATAACCATGGTGCTCTTGTGCAAGTTGTTGTGCCATCAATTTTAATATTTAAATCGTTTTGCATTGTGCATTACACTGAATTAGAGGCATTTACTAAAACTGTACTCTCTTCACTAACAATTGTGTCATCATCAATCTCTTCAAAATAATCATTTTGGAGAGAAGGAATCAGTATGAGAGAAAAGGTTTGACTTAAATGTCACATTGAAAACATCACAATTTATTCAAGATGTCTTATGCAGAACCAGGAAAGACTTCCTTGAAAATTTAAGTAAGAGACTCTTTTCTTGTCTCATTGTATTACTGAATTGTTATTTTGTTTGTATTGCTTTGTTTTGTTTTCAAACATCATCATGGCAGCTGAAAAGGAAAGCAAACTTATGGTTCATGTTGAGTTTGTGAAGTTGGCACACATCGACTAGCATTTTTGGTGTTATAACCATTTTCGGACAGAAGATGGCTGTATAGCTCAAAACAATCTATCCAAAGAATGCCTTAGTCATGAAAGCAAAAAATGCTCTTTGCTGGAACATTTTGACTTGTTCAAGACTGGCCAGTTTTCTGTGCAAAACCGCTTTCTGTCACCTAGCCCATTCATTGGACATACAAGAAAGTTTTAAATATTGACTCATATATTGGATGATTCTAAAGTATGTCTGTTCTTAGTTCTGACACATTTTCTTTTGTGTCATTTTTCCACAAAAGAGATACTGTATTAGTTTGTTGTGCTTATAGGATCTCAAAAGCCATTTTCACATTTAAGGAATGTTTGTACAAAGATATCTTCAGCACATTGCACATTCTTTATGTAAGTCAAACAGGCATCTGTGCTGCAACCTGTCATAGTTTGATGCTTGCTACCAATGGTTTAAAATTTCAAGTCAGAATTATTTTTTGTAACAACGAAAGGCCTTGTACAACACCCCTTTGGATTTTCTCTATTCTTCTTCTTTTTTTCTTTAGTTCGATTAATTAACAATCTGTGAATAATTTGTTGCTTATTTAATAATAACGTTGTCTTGTTAAATGTTTAGCTCTATTAGAAGAAAATGAATTTTGTTTAAGTTTAAGATGTTTGTACTTACAAGTTCCTCACAATAATTTTTTTTACCTCACTAAAATATGTGAAATCAGCTGTTCAAATTTGACTTAATAATGTGATGTGAAATATTTGTATTTTATGAAGCAATTGTTCATAATTAATTTTATTTCTGCTCTTTGTGGCTTTCTATTTTTACGATTTGTTACTGTTAGGAGGAAACAATGCTCCTTGTGCCAATTATCCCATTCTAAATCCTTTTTCTTGTTATTTTTCCACTGCCTGAAGCCACAAAGGGTACTTGTGATCACTAGGTTTACTTATGTTACACACTGCAGCCACTTTATGTTGTGTCTTTTTTTCCTTGTCTTTTTTTAATGTGTCAAGAAAAAGCCACACAAGGACCAAAGGTGACCTTAATGCTCATTAATAATTTTATGAAGTTTGGATGAGCAAGGCCTCTGCAATAAAACAAAAAGAAAATTGCATTCAAAAAGTTTTGTACCTCAATGGGGATCTGATTTTGAAGTCATTAGTTGTAACAGATAAGGTATTGTATTGTGCGAACAGTTGGAGCCTAGGTCTGAATGTATTCATACTTTTTTTTCCTGAACACTTAGATCACATACTGGTTGTCTCAGTCAAAACGAAGGACTATTTTCAACATCAAAGACAACCACCTCGTGACTGAAAGTCCTGTCTGGTTATAGAATTAAAATTAGCGTATTTATAAAAATAAATTAATGAAAGACTTAATTTTTGTTGTGTACATTTATAATGTGTTTACTAAACCAAATTATTGATGTAAATAAAGGACGTAAAACTGACAAACTGAATGCTCCACTTTTGTTGCCACTCCCGATATCCTCAAAACTGATCACCCTGTTTGCGTCGGCGCCAGGACTTGGAAATGCGCGGGCGGGGGCAACAGCCGAGCGTGCACGTGACAGGGAATACCAGGAGGATAGCCGAGGGGCAACATCACAGCACGCTCACTCCGAGGAGTCGTCCCATGGCTCTGCCTCTGTCGCACTCGTGCGGCGTTCCTTAGGGGTGCGAGAGAGACGGAGCCACTCTTCGGAATCTCTCGCCTCCGCGCGCTAGGGTATCAAAAATCCGAGGAATTAGATGGCTAATCGGAGACTTGAATTCCGAGTGCCGCGTGCCGCGTTGGACTGGCGTCAATACAGAAGCCGCGCACCGGCTGCAGGGATTCTTATTATTCTTATGTAACCGACGGAAAGTGGGCAACAAGCGTTCGAGTCGCGTCGAGGTCGGACCAAATCGCTCATCAGCACTCTGCAAACTGAAGTGTGTACATTGTACACTCTTATTAGAGCATGCTTCCAAGCGCACTCTTATTTACAGCATACTTGCTAGGCACACGCTAAAATAGAGTGTACATTGCATGTACACGCTAAGAGTGTAAGAGTGTACCTGGCAAGTACACTTAAACTGGCCCATGCTTTTGGATAGGACTAATCAAGAGTATTTTGCGTGTACTTGCAAGGTACACTCTTATTTAGCGTGTATATGCCAGTCACACTCTACTTTAGCGTGTGCCTGGCAAGAATGCTGTAAATAAGAGTGTGCTTGGAAGCATGCTCTAATAAGAGTGTACTATGTACACACTTTAGTTTGCAGAGCAGTCTAAGCTTGGGCAGGAGTCATTTAGATGTCTCGGTGGGTCAGATGGCTAAGGTAGCGACCGTCCCGAGAATAGACCTGGGTTCAACCCCCCAATGAGATGAAAATGTATGAAGAGTTGGTCCCGTTTGGCGGTGGACCCGTAAAGGCCTCGCCTTGAGCTCAAGCCCCCTTGTTTTGATTCTTTTTTTTTTAACGGAGATGAGATGGAAGCTTTACAGCAGACACGAAGGCCTGGAGCCTGACCTCTTAAGTCTAATCAGGGAGCCTGGAGCGCCTGGCGGGGTAGGCAACGAAGCCGGCAGGCAACGCACCCGTGTGGAGACGGCGGCCTACCTTGCCCGCAGCTTCTTACTAGCTGTACTTCTGCGCACCGTCCTCGTCCTGCAGCCCAGGCGCCACAGGCGAGAAGAGTGACCCGCTACGAAATACCGGTGTCTCAGCAAGCTTACTTGAAGCACAACACCCGCAAAGCTCTACCATTTACGAGTTATACACACCAGTTTTCCGTATCGTGTCACTTTTGTCAACTGCGCCGGCCGCCGCTGGCGTGGCCTACCACAAACAATGACATGTTGAGCTCCTCCGCGAAGACGCTTGGTAGTCCTGCGTGGGGGCAGCCTAGCTCTGTCGGCGGACTGGAGTCGACTGGAGTCCCGGCGGAGGCACCCCCGTCGTGTTGTGTGATTTACGGACGCTCCCCTAGGGTGTCCCACTGGCCTTGCGCACCGTGTGTGCGTGCCTGCCTCTGCTGATCGAGCTTAGAACAAAGTGATAATTCTCGATATGCCCGATACCGATTACTTGGGGCCATTCTGCTGATCCACCTGTGACGCGGCCGGAGTCGATCCTCTGGGGCGAGGGGAGGGGAGGGCGAGGGTGGGGAAGGCTTCCGAGTCTACATATACACGGGCTGCGGCTCGGACTCCGCCGGCCAGGGTTAGTCTTCGTCCCCGAGGACTGATTCGCCGTCAGCATGGCGGTCGCCGACGTCAGGTAAGGCACCGTCCACCTGGACCGCCCCCGCCACCCTGACCACCCCGACAGCCGCAAGGGGTGGGGTGGAGGTCACAGTGGCCTAGTGAGTTCCCGATTCCAGGACTTCCAGGACTTCCAGGACTTCCAGGCCACCCTCTCGTGGCCTTGGCTTGATTCACCGACTGTACGGGGTGCACTGGGGTACATTCGCATCGTATCCTCCTCAGTCTGCGCACAGCTGGTTGGGTCAGCACATCCCTCAGGAAAAATAAAGTGGCGATTCGGTCGGAGATCTTTTGATGCTGCGTGCGAGACCATTGCTTCACGACTCTCGCAAAGCTCCAACATTGTAGGAATGCCATTGAAAGTAAACGGGAAGAAGACAGCGTGCAATATGTAGCCGGAGGGTGCCGCCTCTCGCAACAACAGCGACAGTTTTCTTTCTCCTGCTGGACATGTTTTGTAAACATAAAATTCGCTGTGCGCCTTGTTCGACATTTCGTTGCGCTTCTCCTGGGGTGGGTTCGGCGGCGGCCGCGGCGCGTTGGAGGCGAAGATCGCGGTTCGTGGCGTAATGCCCGCAAAGCGCCGCAAAGCTAGTCACGAGCCCCGCGCTTTGTGTCGATAAGCCTGGATTTAGGCGGGGGCTTATCTGGCGCCAGACCCGCCGCCGTGGACTAGGCCTAGAGGGCCTGCACTGTCTGCAGGGATCGCGGCACGGTAATCCCCCGCGGCGCGGCTGGGCGGCCAAGCACCGCCGGAGGCCCCACCGGGATTAGGACCTGCATGACCAGCAGGCCGGCCGACCGGCCGACCGGAATCCGACAGAGAATCACAGCCGCGAAGGATTCGATAGAGAGGGAATCACTGTCGTTCGTTTTGCAGTACTTTCGTTCCATTTCGTAACCAACTTTAAAACTCCCACGATTTATCGGATTTACCGCAGCTCAGGGAGCAATAATTTTCTTGTTACACTTGTTGTAACCAACCCTTAAGTTTTCGCGGAAAAGAACCCTTTGTACTCATTTCCTTGCAAAAATTTCGCTGTAAAATTTTTATTGTGTTTTTAAGTACATTTTCACTGTAAACTTTACTGACAGTGGGTACAGCAGTTTGAATGACAGTGGTGGAGATAAGTCGATCGCCGCGGGACTTTGACGGGATTGAAAAGCGCGACACGCCGCGCGCGTGCCAATCGAGGAGTGGTTTTGACACAGAAAAAAAACCACTTTACAAAGTACACACACATATAGTTGCATGGACGCAATATCCGTCGGCACTTACACTGTTGCTAAAGATATTTCTGATGCAACTCCGCTGTGGTAAAACAAAGCCGCCTTCCATCCCATAGTCCACTACTTCACAGAGGCAAACATGCCCCCCCCCTCCAAAAAAGCAAACACGCCCCCACCCCACCCCCAAAAAAGCAAACATGGCCCCTAAAGACCGACGCAAAAAAAATGACGAAGTGATCGCCAACAATTGAAAATGTGCCGGCAGATGGGCGCAGCCCTGCCTCCTGGCAGTGGCGCTGCTCGCGCTGCTCCTCGGCGCAGCGAGCGGCCAAGAGCCGGGCGGCCCGTACCGCCTCCCCGGCGAGGTCACCCCCGAGCACTACGACCTCAAGATCGTGCCCTTCTTGGAGACGGGCAACTACCGCTTCAGCGGCACGGTCGACATCACGGTGACGGCCGTCAAGAACCCGGAGCACACGTCGCCGCGCATCACGCTGCACGCGCACAAGGACCTGGCGGTGTCCTCGGCCACCGTCACCGAGATCGACACCCAGACCGTGGTCGAGCTCGCCGACATCGAGACGGCCCCGACCTACGAATGGTGCATCCTGATGCTGAAGACCCCGCTGAACATCGGCAGCAAGTACCTGCTGACGCTGCAGTTCAGCGGCCCGCTCAAGAAGGACAACCACGGCTTCTACCTCAGCTCGTACGCGATCGACGGCGGCTTCGAGTGAGTCACCGTCACCCTCCTCGAAAGAGAGGCAGAGCTGCGTTCTTTACCCCCCAAAGTTCCCCCAACAACGGACTCACACGAAAATGGTTCCCTCCCGGCGCTTGGCAGGTACATGGCGACGACGCACTTTGAGGCGACCAGCGCCAGGAAGGCGTTCCCCTGCTTCGACGAGCCCGGGTACCGCACCACCTTCGACATTTCCGTCGCCAAGCTGGACGACCAGATCGCGCTGTCCAACATGCCCGTCGAGTCCACGTCCGACTACGAGTGAGTGAAGCACTGATCGTTCTCGCGATACTCAGACGTTGTCGATTACGTTGACGACCAATCAAATCTTCTCTTTCTCCGCCAGCCCCGACCAGGGCAACAGGCGCTGGGTCAAGTTTCAGACGACGCCCAAGATGCCCACCTACCTCGTGGCCTTCATCGTGTCCAAGCTGCAGAAGGTGCCGACGGCCAACGAGAACATCAACATCTACGTCCGGAGGAACGCCGTCGACGGCGTGTCCAAGGCCGTCGAGGTGGCGCCGAAGCTGCTGTCGGCCCTGGAGACGTTCACCGGCGTCCAGTACCCCCTGCCCAAGCTGGACCTCGTCGCCATCCCCGACTTCCCCTCCGGCGCCATGGAGAACTGGGGGCTCATCACCTACAAGTAGGGAGCCTCGCTAGGAGACGCGTCGGCGGTAGCGCGTCGCTGCTCCGGTGCTGACGCGCTGACGCCCCTTTGTTCTGCAGGGAGGACATGCTCCTCGTGACCGCGAACGTGTCCACGGCCGACCGGACGGCCACCTCGCTGCGCGTCGTCGCCCACGAGTTCGCCCACCTCTGGTTCGGCGACCTGGTCACCCTCAAGTGGTGGAACACCATCTGGCAGCAAGAGGGCATGGCCGCCTTCCTCGAGTCCTACATCGTGGACAAGGTGAGCCAAAACTCATGAAAATCACGCCGATGAACGGCTAGACCAGAATTCAGCATGCCGATTGGTGTTAATACGTTTTATGGTAAAAGACTTGCCAAAAATTGGCATGAAAGGGGAGTCACGCCGAAAAATGGCTTGACTTCTGAGCCTCGTCGATTTTTGTCACCACATTTTTCTGTCTTCTTTTTTTTTGGGGGGGGGGGGATTTTATTCATGCCCCTGAAACGGCACGAGATCACGCCGATGCATTTTCACTGCAGTGCCCGGTTTTTGGCTTTGGCAGGCGACGGATGGCGACTACGACCTCATGTCTCGGCTCGGCACCACCCGAGTGCAGACCGCCCTGGACGTAGACGCGCGCGAGCACTCGGTGCCCCTCACCAAGAACGACATCGACAGTCCGGACAGCATCGAGGACCACTTCGGCACCATCACCTACTCCAAGGGCTGCAACATCCACTTCATGCTGATGAACGTGCTGGGCGAGTCGGTGTACAGGAGCGGTCTGCGCGAGTACCTCACCTCCAAGTACGTCCCGCAGTCCCTTCAGTTCCCAGATAGTGTTCTAAAGGGTAGGAATATTCCCGGGAATTTAGGGAATTCCCGGGAACGTTCCCGGGCACAATCAGACCCCAAAAATGGGAAATTCCCGGGAATTTAAAAAAATAGCTAAAAACAGCTGTTTTTTTTTTGCAGGAAAAATGTAGAACACGCAAGGTATCAAGTAAAAATTGTGAAACACATGAGTGTATTTCCATTTGTCTTTCAGAAGGGAACAAAACAAAACGTTTTGCAATCAAAAATTAGTTTTCTATCAAAAAATTTCGTATTAAAAAATTTAACTTTTATCAAATGTGATGGGTTTCATATGAAGCAATGTTCCCGGCCAAGTGGGAATATTCCCGGGAATTCCCGGGAAGTCTCGGGAATATTCCCCTGAATGATTGTTCCCGGGAATTTTCGAACACTATTCCCAGAGCACCTATACCCCATTCCCTGCAAGATAATAAGAATTAATTCGTGCTTGTGTGCTTCGGCAGCGCGTACACCTCCACGGACATAAACGACTTCGCCAAGGCGTTGCAGAAGGCGGTGGACGACGCCGGGCGCCACCTGCCGGGGGCCGTGACAGTGCAGCAGCTCGTCGACTCGTGGGGCAACCAGATCGGCTACCCCGTGCTGACCGTGCACCGCGACTACCAGAAGAGCACCGCCAGTGTCTCCCAGGTGTGCTTACAATGCGAACATCCTGACTTTTTTTCTCATTCGAAGTACGAACTTGATGAACTCGCCTGCGTTTCCTTCCAGGCTCGCTTCCTGTCGCACGAACCGGCGGACAAGTCGGCCGCCGACACCAAGTGGCTCGTGCCGTACGCCGTCAACAGCCTGTACGGCAAGCAGGACACCTTCACGCAGGTGCTGCCGGACGACGGCTCCGTGGCCACCGTGACCGACATGCCGACGCCCACCGTGCTCGCGTACATCAACAGGGCGCAAAACGGTAAGCACGGGGTCTTTCCAACTGGGGCACGTTCCGGACAGTGTTTCTGTCTCTCTCGCTCGTGCGGGGCGTCCCGTAGAAGTACGAGAGAGACATTAGATAGTCCAGAGCCGGTCAAGGCGTGAGTCTTGCCTACTTGCAGGGGCAAAGGGTGGCTTTTTGCCTGCTTTTCGTCCTCCTACTGGATCCCGCGCTTGCAGAGAGACAGAGCGACGAAAACCACTGTTCGGAGTGAGCACGCTGCCTCCACCGCACGTCACGGCATGACCCTTGTCTCCCCGCAGGCTACTACCGCGTCAACTACGACATGCACAACTGGATGCTGCTGGCGAATGGCGCCTCGCGCCTCGAGCCCGCCACCCGCGCCTCCCTCATCGACGACCTGTTCGCGCTGAACCGGCGCGGCCTGGTGGACACCTGGCTGCCGTTCTTCTACCTGGAGAAGACCCTCTCCGACACGTCCAACAGCGGCGAGCGCGACATCGCGCCGTGGCTCACCGCCGCCAAGGTCATCCGCGGCTTCGCGGCGCTGTCCCGCGCCGACAAGGAGCTCGCCACCTACTACCAGGTGAGCGCCGCAGCGCCGCACAGTGGGCCAGAAGACTAGTGGAGGCGGCCAAAACTCTAGACGCGTTTTGAGCTCCAGAGTCGCTAAACAGGCCTCGAACCGAACGTGTGACTCCACCAATCGATTCCTCGTTCGGAGAGCAATCCATTGGTGGGGTCACACGTTCTATTCGAGTCTCATTTAGCGACTCTGGAGCTCAAAACGCGTCTAGAGTTTTGGCCGCCTCCACTGGTCTTCTGGTCCACTGTGCGCCGCCAGCACGTCCTGTTTTTTAGCTTACTTTTACTTAAACTATCCGCCTGCCCGCTCGCGCCAGATCTACATCACCAAGATGCTGACCACCGCCTTCGAGGCCGTGGGCTTCGAGAGCGATTTCGACATGGACTACAACCGCTTCAAGAAGTCGGTGGTGCGCGACGTGCTCACGCAGCTCGCGTGCGAGGCCGGGATGCCCGAGTGCCGGCGCAAGGCGCTGGCCGCCTCCAAGACCATCAGCGTCGTGGACGGCAAGTAAGTCCGCCGGCGCCAGCCTCGCCAAAAAGGCGGATCCAGACGGGTTCAGGGAGGTGTCACAAAAGTTGCCTCCCTCCGCCTCCCCTGGATCCGCACCTTCCGCCGACGTGACAGGGTTGGGCCGTTCCGTGTCCTCCCGACGCGCTGCTCCAGCTGTGCTGCTCCTGTTCCAGGATCAAGTCCGACCCCAACGTGTACGCCGCCACGCTCTGCGAGGCGGCCAAGACCTTCGACTTGCTGTCGCTCGAGGAGACGCTGAGCCGCATCACGACCGTCGAGGACGTCACCATGAGGGCCTCCCTGCTGCGCGGCGTCGGCTGCGTCCGGGGCAGCAACCAAGTCTCTCAGTGAGTGTTGCCGTACTCCTTCGCCATCCTGGATCCAGAGCCGGCCTACTGGGCGGCAAAGTAGCCCTTTTCGCCTACCTTTCAGGCGGCTATCTGGGGGTGAATGGGGGATTGGCCTCGTGCCGTCCCTTCCTGGATCCGCACTTGGACCCTTCCACTGCCAGGGCTAACCACCGCTTCGATGTGCCGTGCGCAGGGTCCTGGACTTCGCGACCGCTGACGACAGCGGGCTGTCCTCCAGCGAGGCGCTGTCGGCGCTCAAGTCGCTCATGGACAACAGCGCGGACGGCTGCGACACCGTGCTCAGCTACGTGCAGCTCAACAAGGACACCATCCAAACCAAGTACTTTGACGTTCCCTCTGGCTTGCGCCTTCTTGCCGCGTCTTGTGTCTCTCCGCGCTGACGTCACTGCCGTTTTTCCAGCCTGGGCGTCGCGGGATTGAGGGCCATCGTGCTGGAGATCGGCACACGCATCTACAACGACGACCAGCTCACCAAGGTCGGCCCACACCGCAACTCAATTTCGCAACAAAAATTAACAAATTGAAACTAAAAGTGGAATTTTGTGGTGCAGCTCAAGAATATCGCGAGCGCTGATACGAGCCCCGCCATGGCCGACGTGCTGGCCGTGGCCCAGGCGACGAGGGACTGGGCCGGGAGCAACCTGCGCGAGCTCAAGGAGTGGGTGTGGGCCCGCGTCCGCGTCGGCCCCCCGCACGCGCCCCTGCTGGTGACGCCCACCACCGAGCCCACCGTCGTGCCGCCCACCGCGGAGCCCCACCCCACCGAGCCGCCCCAGGTCACCAACGACTGGCTGCTGCCCGCCGACCTGTGGCCCGACAACTACAACCTCGCCGTCGACGTGACGCTCGCCGACGTGGACACCTCCTCGTTCACCGGCACGGTGGCCATCACGCTGAGCGTGGTCGCCGCCACGAACAAGATCGTCCTCCACAGCCACGAGAGCCTCACCGTCAGCAACGCCAGGGTGGTCCAGGCGAACAACAACGTCCCGGTGGCCGTCGTCGGCACCCCCGACTTCGAGGCCAAGAGGCAGTTCCTCACCATCAACCTGCAAGACCAGCTCCAGGTCGGCACCAAGTACATCGTGTCGCTGGCCTTCACCGGGCCGCTCAAGAAGGACCTGGCGGGCTTGTACCTCTCCACGTACATGGCCAGTAACGGCGTCACCTCGTGAGTGCGGTGCAGCATGGTGGGGTGTGCGCGGCAAATGCACGAGGAGACTAACGCCATCGTGTGCAGGTACATGGCGGTCACCCAGTTCGAGCAGACCAGCGCCCGCAAGGCGTTCCCCTGCTTCGACGAGCCCAAGTACCGCGCCACCTTCGACGTGACCATCACGCACCCCGACACGCACGGCGCCCTGTCCAACATGCCGCGCAAGAGCGATGGAGCAGCCGGGTAAGCGCGGGGCGAAGCTCTGGCTGCAGGGCCAGCCAGCACTAGTTTACACTGGTTTGCACCGGTTTACACTGGTTTGCACCGGTTTACACTGGTTTGCACTGGTAACAAACCTCATTTCATGTTCCCCAGCAACAACAAGAGGAAGGCGATTTTCGAGACGACGCCGCTCATGCCCACCTACCTGGTGGTGATGCTGGTATCCGACCTGGTGGAGGTGAAGGTGGACTCGAGGATCAGCATCTGGGTGCGCGCGGACGCCAAGGACGAAGTGGGCCTGGCCACGGAGCTGGCCCCCAAGGTGCTGGCCAAGCTGGAGGAGCTGACCGGCATCCCCTACGTGCTCACCAAGCTGGACCTGGCCGCCATCCCGGACTTCGCCCCCGGCGCCATGGAGAACTGGGGCCTCATCACCTTCAAGTGAGTGCGAGAGAGACGGAGGATGTTACGTAACATGTAAATGAAGTGTGAGTAACGGCTTGCTTTGCGGCGGTCAGGGACACCGTACTGCGCACGCCGAAGAACGCGCTGGCGCACCGGCGGTTCAACTGCGCGCGCGACATCACGCACGAGTTCTCGCACCTGTGGTTCGGCGACCTGGTCACCAACAACTGGTGGAGCTCGCTGTGGCAGCAGGAGGGCATGGCGGCCTTCATGGAGGCCTGGGTGCTGGACCAGACCACGGACTCCGAGTACGACGCGGTGGCGCGCCAGAGCGTGGACCGCATCGAGCAGGGCCTGATGGACGACGCGCTGGAGACGGCTGGCGCCATCACCAACCACACCGTCGGCAGCCCCGATGAGATCGAGGAGCACTCCGGGGAGCTCACCTACAACAAGGGTAGGTGTGGGCAGTGCAGGCGCACAGTACGGAGGTGGCCTTGGGAGGGGGGGCAACGTGTTTTGTTTTCTCCTGCAGTGTTTGAGACGCTGCTGCTTGTCCCCAGGTGCCGGCTTCCTGAGGATGGTCAAGGCGATGATCGGCGAGAGCACGCTGTGGAAGGGGCTGCGGAAGTACCTCCAGCGGCAGTGAGTGTTTCCTCTCTGCAATCTCAATGACTCACCTTCCTCCGTGCGTCTAACTCACCCCCTCCACCCGCAGTGCCTTCTCCACTGCCGGACCCGACGACCTGGCCGCCGCACTGCAGGAGGCCGCTGGCGACGACGGCCTCTCCCTGCCGGTCACCATCCAGGAGGTCATGGACTCGTGGACGCTGCAGCGCGGCTACCCCTTGCTCGACGTGGAGCGCTACCTCAACGACGACACCTACGTCGTGAAGCAGGTTGGTCGACCATCGAGTCTTGGTTGAGCCTGTAATAGCAATAGCAATAAATATACGGATAGCAATCACAATATCACAATAGCAATCGCAATAGCAATATAGATATAGCAATAGCAATCGCGATAGCAACAGATAAAGCAATAGGTGGCAATAGATATAGCAACAGCAATATATATAGTAATAGCAATAGATATAGCAAAAGATGTAGCAATAGCAATCGCAATATCAATGACTTTCTCGCGGACCCGCCGCCCGCCGCACAGTGGAGTGGAGCGCGCTGCCTACCCTGACTTCCGCAGGCGCTCACCGCGCTGCGCTCTGTACTCGCAGCGGATTGATTCCGCACAGCGTTTCGTCGCTCTGCCTCTCTCGCACCTACACGGGGCGCCCCACGAGTGCGAGAGAGACAGAGCGACGAGGCATGCTGCTGACGCACCCCTTCTCCGTGTTGCAGTCCCGCTTCCTGTCCTACGAGCCGGCGAACGCTACCGCCGTGGCGGCGCAGCAGTGGCTGGTGCCGTACCACTGCGAGCAGCTCTACAGCTCGGGGCGCCGCAGCTTCGACCGCGTGCTGCAGGCCAGCCAGGAGACCGTGCCGCTGCCGCTGCAGGTGGAGAGCAGCATCACCTGGATCGTCTGCAACACGGAGCAGCAAGGTACGCACGCTGATCACGCTCTGCCTCTCTCGCACCTATGCTCTACAAACTCAAGCAGGGTTGTTAACGTTAAATCTAAAACGTAATGCGTTAAGTTACACGTTAACCAAGAGACCCGTAACGTTAACGCGTTAAAGTTACGGGTATCAGCAAAAGTTTAACGCGTTAACGTTACGCGTAACGTTTAACGCCCGTTAAAGTTAACCCTGCTTCTACTTAAACGATGAAAAATTCTGTTTGTTTACTAAATCTACCAAAAATGCCTCTGTGGGACGATTTAAGAAATGAGTCATGTTAATTTTTGACTGTTAAAATACGGAAATAAGGAGGTTTAGTTGACCCAAATGCATGTCAAAATCTCTTCCAAGTCATTTTTAGACCGAATATTTTGCATAATTAGTGCCGTAATTTAACTTTAACGTCGTTAAAAGTTACAGGGGTCGCGTAACGTTTACGCGTTAACGTTACGGACTATCCGAATGTTTAACGAGTTACCGTTAACGTTAAATTAACTTTAACGTTAACGTCGTAACGCCGTTAACCGTTAATTTAACGTTAACAACCCTGAACTCAAGTGTGTACATAGTACACTCCACCTGGAGTGTACATGCATGTACTCTCCAACCTGGAGTGTACTTAGCATGTACACTTCAGGTTGGCGTGTACTTGGCATGTACACTCCTGGTTGGCGTGTACTTGTACACACCCCTTCAGGTACACTGTTGCTGGCTCCCTGCTGCAGGTTAGCTGCAGGTATGAGCCACCTGGCATGTACATACTTGGCAAGTACACGCCAACCTGGAGTGTACATGCTAAGTACACTCCAGGTTGGAGTGTAAATGCATGCACACTCCAGGGTGGAGAGTACATGCATGTACAGGTGGAGTGTACTATGTACACACTTGAGTTTGTAGAATGAGTGCGAGAGAGACAGCGACAAATGCACTGCTGGGAATGAGCGGCTGAAACGACGCCTGCGCAGGCTTCTACCGCGTCAACTACGACCAGGCGACGTGGCGCTACCTGGGCGACGCCCTGGGCAAGGAGCTCATCGGCAGCGCGACGCAGCGCGGCGCCATCCTGGACGACGCGCTCACGCTGATGCGCGCGCGCAAGACGGAGCCCTGGGTCGTCATGTACGTCCTGGAGCGCGCCGCCGGCGACGACACCCTGCCCGTGTGGGGCGCCATCAACAAGGGCGTGCAGCACCTGCGCGCCGTGCTGGCCGACGACGCCACGGCCTCCGAGGACTTGAACGTGAGTGCGGCGCGGCGTCGGCCGAGATAGAAAGAACCTGGTTCTTTCCGCTTATCCTTTGCTTCGCACTCGAGGCAACGCCGTTAACGGCAACCCCTTTCTCCTTCTGCAGACCTTCGTGAGCGACCTGACCGCCGAGACCTTCGGCCGCGTGGACTGGTACAACCGCTACGGCTGGGAGGAGAGCGTGCAGACCAACGAGGTCCGGCAGATCGTGAGCCGCCTGGCGTGCGACGCCGGGGAGCCCCTGTGCGTCAACAGCGCCGTGGCGGAGCGCATGGAGAGCATCTTGTGAGTCTTCGCGACGGCCTCGGCGACGGCGGTGCAGGGATGGGATGACCTTCGGCCGTGAGGGCAGGCAATGACCACTATGATGTCATTACAGGCCCGGCTACCAGATTCACCCGGAGAGCTTCGGGGCCAAGAACTGCCTCCTGTACAAGGACTACGAACCGTTCGCGATCGGCTTCCTGTTGGCGCAGTTCGCAGACAACTCGGACTACGACCAGCGTCTGTCCTTGTCCTACTCCATGGGTTGCATCGTCAACTCAGACAGCCGCGACATGTATGTCACGACCTTTTTAGGGAGTTGATACGAGTGAGAACTCGAGCAAGCCACAACCTAACCAACACAATCTCTGTGCAGTCTGCTGTCCGGAGTTCACCAGGGCGGCTTCAAATCCAACGAGATCGAACCCTTCTTCGAGTCCGTCCTCACCCACGGCGGCATCAACGAGGCTCTCAACTACCTCTCGCAGAACTGGGCGGCGGTCAAGGCCAGGTAAGCTGAACGCAAGCCCCGCTCGCAGCAGGCCGTTTATGGAACAGTGTCTGTCTCTCTCGCACCAACGCAGAACGCCCCATGAGTGCGCGAGAGTGAGGGCGCGAGAATGACCCCGGAAATTCGCGTGTTGCAGTCTGACCGACACGGCGGTGGCGCTGCTGCAGATGGCGGCCGAGCGAGTGCACACGCAGGCGCAGTACGACCTGGTGAGTCTTGCAGTGTCCACACCGCGCCATGTCACTGTCTCGCACACCGCCTGCTCTCAACCCCCGACCTCTTGCAGGTGAAACAAATCGCGGACTCCGACCCGTCCATCTACACGACGGTCGCGGAGCGCTCCGCCGCCAACAGCCTGGCGTTCGCGCAGAAGGAGCTGGGGCAGGTGAAGGACTACCTGGCCGTGTACGCGGGCCGCAAGCCCGCCAAGCCCGCCCCGCTGGTGCCGACCGACTACCGCCTGCCCGGCAACGTGATCCCCACCAGCTACGACCTCACCATGATCCCCTACATGGACACGGCCAACGGCCACTTCTACTACGAGGGCTCCGTCGTCATCTCGGCCACGGTGCAGAACGACACGGACACCATCGTGCTGCACAAGCACAAGGGCCTCAACGTCATCACCTACTCCGTGAACAACGAGGCAGGCGACGGCGAGGTCGGCATCACGGACGCCGTCTTCCACGAGGCCTCCGAGATGTACACCCTGCTGCTGACGCAGCCGGTCACGGCCGGCCAGCAGATCGTCATCGGGCTGGAGTTCACCGGCAAGCTGCTCAAGGACAAGCTCGGCTTCTACCTCAGCGACTACCCCGAGGGCGTCAAGTGGAAGTGAGTGCCCCGTTTCTGCTGTACGCCCAACCCCAACCCCAACCCCTACCCAAACCCCAACCCGAACCCCAACCTCAACCTCAACCTCAACCCCAACCCCAACCCCAACCCCAACCCCAACCCCAACCCCAACCCCAACCCCAACCCCAACCCGAGCTCCAACCCCAACCCCAACCCCAACCCCAACCCCAACCCCAATCCCAACCCCAACCTCAACCCCAACCCCAACCTCAACCCCAACCCCAACCCCAACCTCAGCCCCAAGCCACATTGCTAACAGCCTTGATCGGCAGGTACATGGCGACCACCCAGTTCGAGCAGACGTACGCCCGCAAGGCGTTCCCCTGCTTCGACGAGCCCAAGTACCGCGCCACCTTCAACATCCGCATCGCCCGCACCGAGAACCAGATCGCGCTGTCCAACATGCCCATCAGCTCCACCACGGACCCGGAGTAAGTGCAGTACAATTGGCCCCAAGGGTTCAGGGGGTGAAAGTTGCCTGCCTTGCCGCCTTTGTGGGAAAGCAACGCCCCCATCGCCCCCGTGTTTGGCCCGTTGTGCACGCCACTGCCTCTCTTTGAGCCGAATCTAAACAGGCGTTGCTTTCTTTCGACAGTCCGGACCTTGGCGACCGACGCATGGTGACGTTCCAAACCACCCCACCCATGCCCACCTACCTGGTGGCCTTCATCGTGTCGGAGCTGAAGAAGGTGCCGACCTCCAACCCCAACATCAACGTGTACGTGCGGCCCGACGCCGAGAAGCACGCCGCGCTGGCCGCCGACCTCGCGCCCAAGATCCTGGCCGAGCTGGAGAGCTTCACCGGCGTCCCGTACGCCCTGCCCAAGCTCGACCTCGTGGCCATCCCCGACTTCTACTTCGGCGCCATGGAGAACTGGGGCCTCATCACCTACAGGTGCGTAGGCCACCCGTCCGGTTGTTCCCGTTGCGTTTCGTTTTCAAGTTTCAATTTGAACGGTGATGGCCGCATTCGACCCGCAGGGAAAACCGCATGCTGTACGACGAGCAGAGCGCCACCAGCGAGTACAAGATGTTCGTCGCCGAGGTGATCGCCCACGAGTTCGTGCACCTGTGGTTCGGAGACTACGTGACTCTAGACTGGTGGAGCTCCGGCTGGCTCAAGGAGGGCTTCGCCGAGTTCCTGGAGCACTACGTGCTGGAGCGCGTCATGAAGAGCGAGGGCTCCTCCTGGTACCCGCTCTCGCGCATCGGCGTGGAGGACGTCTTCGACGGCATGCGCGACGACGCTCTGGAGCACACGGAGCCCCTGACCGACGACAGCGTGGCGACCCAGGACCAGATCGCCGAGCACATGGGCCTGTACACCTACACCAAGGGTACGATGCTGCACCGCGCACTGCCACGCGCGCCCGCTTCGCTTTTGTCGTTATTTGGAGGTGACCGATGCCTTTCCTTGCAGGTGCCGGCCTCCACTTCATGCTCATGGGACTCCTCGGCGAGGGGACGTACAAAGCCGGCCTCAACAAGTACCTGACGAACAAGTAAGTCCTTTGCCATGCCGCCACCGCAAGGACCGTTCCCTCTCCGCTTTTACCCACCAACGCATTCCCTTCTGCAGCAAATTCGGAACCGCCACCCCGGAGAGGTACGCCACCGCCCTGCAGGAGGCGGCCGACGCCAACTACACGGCGCTGCCGTCCGGGACGACCTTCCTGGACGTCATCAACTCCTGGTCCACCAAGCCCGGCCTGCCCGTCATCACGCTCATCAGGAACTACGACGACAACACCGTCGAGGCCTCCCAGGTACGCAAACAAGTTTCAGTCGCACCCTGAGCCTTTGCTTTTGCTGTCCAGCAACCTTGAGCCGCTACAGGGTCGGCTCGATGCCTTGAGGTCAAAGCATCAAGACAAAGTCCCGGGTTCAAGCACCGATTTATATTTGTTTTTCTGTGCCCTTTCAGTCGAGGTACCTGGCGCACGAGCCGTCGCAGGAAAGCGCCCGCGACTCCAAGTGGATCGTGCCCCTCAGCATCTTCTTCAACCAGGGCAGCCCCCCGAAGCGAGCCACCGGCTACCTCCTGGAGAGCCAGGCCTCGGCGTCCTTCTTCCTCGGCGGCACCGCCAGGAACGGCGTCATCTTCGGCAACTGGCTGTCGAGAGGTAGGACAGTCCAATTCAATCCTCGTCGGCGAATAAAGAACTTCGCCACTGGTGCACCTGGGGGCGGGGCACAGTATGCCAGAAGACCGGTGGAGGTGGCCAAAACTCTAGACGTGTTTTGAGCTCCAGCGTCGCTAAACGGGACTCGAATCGAACGTGTGACCCCACCAATGGATTGCTCTCCGAACGAGGAATCCATTGGTGGGGTCACACGGTCGGTTCGAGCCCTGATTAGTGACTCTGGAGCCCAAAACTCGTCTAGAGTTTTGGCCGCCACCACCGGTCTTCTGGCCCACTGTGCGGGGCAAGTTTTGCCCACTTGCCCACTGTTCAGAGTGAAACGGGCCTGTCTGCCGCAGGCTACTACTACACCAACTACGACCTGCTCAACTGGATCCGCCTGGGCTCCGCCATCTCCAACGGCCACACGCTCACCGACCCCATCTACCGCGCCGGCCTCATCCACGACGCGTTCGGGCTGGCCAAAGTCAGCCAGCTGGACCCCTGGGTGCCGCTGTACCTCCTCGAGGGAGACCTCATCCAGGAGGCTGACGCCGCGCCCTGGATCGCCGCCTACAACGGCCTGCGCTCCTACGCGGCGCTCGCCAAGGGCGACCCCGAGACGGACAAAATGTTCCAGGTAAACACACTGGCGGGATGAAAAAAATGGTATGAGAGGAGACATATACTTGTTTTACAACAGGTGATGGGTCTGCACCTCCTGCGAGCTTCACTCACCACGTTCATTTTCTCAGAGTAACGACGACGGGCTTGTCTGATTGCAGAAATACCTGCGACACAATGTCGCCGAGTACGGCTACGAGTTCGTGACCTGGGACGGCTTCCGAGGCAACGTCGATGGCAAGGTGTCGCGCGACTACGCCACCAAGCTGGCCTGCGCCGTCGGGTACGCCCCCTGCCGCGCCAAGGCCCTGCAGGCCTACCGCGGCTACTTCAAGGACCCGTAAGTGACGTGGCGACATCGCAACAGCAGACTGACTCCGATAGAGTCATCGCTTTGTCTCTCTAACGCTCATGGGGCGTCCTGTATAGGGGCGAGAGAGACAGAGCGACGATAACGACTCTCGGAATCAGTCAGCAGAACAATCTCGGCGTGGCGTCGAAGGAGAACAATGCCTGAGTGCCTGAATGTTTGCAGGGCCAGCGTGGACCCCAACGTCCTGGCCGCGACGCTGTGCGAGGGCATCAGCCGCGGCACCACCCTCGAGTACACGGCCTTGTTCGAGCAACTGGTGGCCGAGACCGAGCGGTCGCGCCGCATGTCCATCGTGTACGCCCTGGGCTGTCTTCACAACAACACCCTCGTGGACCAGTGAGTGCCTTTCCCCCAAGCGTACTCGTACTTTGGAAAGTGTTTGACACGAGTCGCGTTTCTTCTCTCGCAGGCTGCTGGACCTGGCCGGCACCATGCAGGGCTTCGAGCCGCAGGAAGTGCTGCCGCTGTTCCGGTCCGTCCTGGACAACAGCCCCGACGGCGTCAACAGGGCCGTCGACTACGTGCAGGCCAACTTCGACAAGCTGGCCGCCAGGTAAACAAGTTATCAGTGAGACTTACTTACTTACTACTTACTTTCCTTCCCAACTGACCCCTACTTACGTGTGCAACTGGTTGAAGCTTCTCGTTCTCATGCCGGCGATGCGTTGTTTGCCCGACAGCCTCGGCCAGAGCTCCGCGGAGGGCGTGGTCCTCACCGTCGCCGAGAGGGCCCACACCGACTCGCAGTACAGGAAGGTAACGACGTCGTCCGGCTGCTGGGGGAAGTGGCTGCAAAGTCAACGAGGATTGTTCCCCACCTAAACTCCGGTTTCTTCCCGCAGCTGAAGATCCTCCAGGACATCAGCTACTCGCCCAAGCTCGTGGACGCCGTCGCGGTGGCGGACGCCAACGTGCAGTGGATCTACACCCACGCCGGCACCCTCAAGGACTACCTGGCCGCCAAGTTGGGGGTCGAGCCAGACGCCCCGGCCCCGCAGCCCGCCCAGCCGATGCCGCTGCCCACGGCCTCGCCCGCCACGCCCACCCCCGGCCCCGGGCCCACCGAGTCGCCCGACTCCCCCGCCATCGAGTGGCGGCTGCCCAGCAGCCTGGCGCCGCAGCACTACGACCTCATGATGGTGCCGTTCCTGGACAACCTCACGTTCACGGGCAAAGTGACCATCAAGTTGCTGGCCCTGGAGCAGACCGACACCATCACGCTGCACGCCAGGGACCTCACCTTCCCCAATCAGACGGACGAGGGCTTCGACAACATGCAAGTCTACAACGCCGAGACGGCCAACGTCATACCCGTGCAGGACTACGCCGTCCACACTGAGAAGAACTTCCTCATCATCAACCTGGCCACCAACCTGACGGCGAACGTCGCGTACAACCTCTCGATCCAGTTCGGCGCGCCACTGCGCCAGGACAACTTCGGCTTCTACGTCAGCAGCTACATCGACAACAACGAGTTCAAGTAAGCAGAGTTCCTTGGGCTGAGGCGACACTTTGCTGTTTGGAATGACAGTGACGCCTTGACTTTGCGTGTCCAGGTACATGGCGACGACGCACTTCGAGGCGACCAGCGCGCGCAAGGCGTTCCCGTGCTTCGACGAGCCGCGCTTCCGCGCCACCTTCGCCATCTCCGTGGCCCGCCTGCCCGAGCAGACGGCGCTCTCCAACATGCCGAGGATCCGCACCTCCGGCCCCGAGTAAGCTCCGTTTCCGCCATGTTTCCGCTGTACAGTGTACAGTAACCGAAACAGCTCGGGCCTAAGCGACGCTCTCTACTTGTCCAGTCTTGACCTCGACGGACGCGTCTGGGACGACTTCGAGACCACGCCCAGCATGCCCACCTACTTGGTGGCCTTCATCGTGCACGAGCTCAAGCAGGTCTACACCAGCGCCTCCAACGTCAACGTCTGGGTGCGTCCCAACGCGGCCGCGGACGCCGGCGTGGCCGCGGAGATCGCGCCGCAGGTCATCAAGGCCATGGGCGACTTCACCGCCTTCAAGCTGCCCCTGCCCAAGGTGGACCTCGTCGCCATCCCGACCTTCCCCATCGGCGCCATGGAGAACTGGGGCCTCGTCACGTTCAGGTGAGCGCCGGCCACGACGTTGTCACCGAGGATGTCCTTTTCGTCTAGCCGGGTTTCACCGTTTTCAACCACCGCCATGTTTTCACCATGGTTTTAATAAAAACCACCATGTTTTTACCATGGTTTCACTGCTCACTACTCGCAGGGAGGACTACATCATCAACCCCAAGAAGGCCAAATCGGAGCACGCCTACTCGTGCGCGAGCGTCGTCACCCACGAGCTCTCGCACCTGTGGTTCGGCGACCTGGTGACCATCGACTGGTGGAGCGCGGCCTGGCTCAAGGAGGGCATGGCCAGCTTCCTGGAGCTGTACATGCTGGACAAGGCCGACGACGACAAGTACGGCGGCTACAAGCGCATCCTGTACGAGCACGTGCAGCCCGCCATGCTGGTGGACTCGCGCGAGGGCGCCGACATCCTCACCAACACCACCGTCGGCTCGCCCGACGAGATCTCGGACCACATGAGCACCATCACCTACTCTAAAGGTGACTTGGGGAGACATTGGTGATGTAGAGTACTGTGTTATTCGGGTGTCGCGGATCCTAGACGGTTGACTTTGCTGTTCAGGTGGAAGCTTCTTGAGGATGATGCTGACCTACGTCACCGAGAACGCCTTCCGGGCTGGCCTCAGCAGATACATCAACCAGAAGTAAGATTATTCAACGTTCTCTGTGGCAACTTCGTCTAACCAGTCCTGCTTTTTCACCGCCAACGATTTGCCCGCAGCGCGTACTACTGGGGCACGCCGGAGAAGCTGGCCGCCGCGCTGCAGTACGAGCAGGACGCCATGAACCCCAACAAGCTGGGCGTGAGCGTGCAGGACATGTTCGACTCGTGGACCACCAAGCCCGGCTTCCCCGTGGTCACCGTCATCCGCGACCGCGTGAACGGCCTCGCCACCCTGTCGCAGGTACGCGGAGGGGAAGGGGAAGGGGAAGGGGAAGGGGAAGGGGGAGGGGAAGAGGGAGGGGAAGGGGGAGAGGAAGGGGAAGGGGGAAAGAGGGGAAGGTGACAGGGGGGAAAGGGTCGGCTGGACGGCAACTAAACCAGTGTCGTCTCCCTTCCTACAGCGCCGCTTCCTCAGCCACGAGCCCACGGAGGACGCCGACATGTCCTCCACCTGGCACGTGCCCTTCAACGTGTGGGTGCAGGGCCAGGACGTCCCCGTCGGTTACACGGACGTGCTGCTCGAGAGCGAGACCGAGAAGACCATCTTGCTGGACAACACCGACTTCAAGCTGGTGCTCATCAACGCAGGGCAAACTGGTGAGTTGTTGCTGTACTCAAATTTAGAGGCGTTGACAGTGGAGGCACCAGGCCACCCCAGCCTTCTCTCGGATACACTAAAAGGCGCGTACCCAGAGTGCACTAACAAAGCGTCCCGTCGACAGGCTTCTACCGCGTCAACTACGACCTGTTGACGTGGATCTACGTCAACCTGCAGCTGCCCCGCGGCACCATCACCAGCGCCGAGACCCGCGCCGCCCTCATCGACGACTCGTTCACGCTCGCCCTGGCGCGCCAGCTGGACTCGTGGGTGCCCCTCTCCGTGATGCAGAGCGGCCTGCCCTCCGAGACCCGCCTGGTACCCTGGGTCGCCGCCCGCAACGCCCTGTTCCGCCTGCGCGCCCTGCTGTCCCACAACGACGACGCCGTGGGCCTGCTCGACGTAAGCACGCCCTTCGCCGCCGCCACTGCGTCCTTGTTTTGTGGCCACGGCCACAGTGTGGTGGCTGCTCGAGAACGATACAAATGCGCTGTTTCGTCGTGAGGGTTTGGTTTCGCTGCCGCCTGGCACGGGGCTTGCTGCCGCACTCCTGGAGCAGATCAACCGGCCTGTAGCGCCTGTGAGGTAGGCCTCCGTTCCGCCAAGCCGCGCACCGGTGTGGAGAAGGTGGCCTACCTCGCCCCTGTCGTCTTCACTTCACAGGGGCGAGGTAGGCCACCGTCTCCACTTCAGTGCGTTGCGAGCTGAGGCAGTGGCATACCTCGCAGGCGCTTCCAGCCCAATCACGCGGTGCGCTTCTCAAGGAGAGGGCGGCTGCCCAGGCCAAGGCAGCGCATTTGTAACAGCGCCCTCGAGCAGCCACCACGCTGCCCCGTGGTCCTGGCGTCGACACTGTAGGTTGGTCGCGGTTGCCTCACCCACCGTTGAAATCTGTTGGCAGAGATTCGTGGCCGATCTGGTGACCCCCACCTACACCGAGGTGGACTGGGACATGCGCTGGGGCGGCGTGGAGAAGTACAACGTCAAGCTCCTCCGCGACCTGCTCACCCAGCTGGCCTGCACCTCGGGACACGAGCTGTGCCTCAGGAGCGCCAACTTCGACTTCGAGGGATGGTACCGAGGAACGTGAGTGCCCACTACACTAAAAATTGAACAGACGCTTGTTGGCCTCTTCGCAAAACGGAGTCCGGGACTTGATCCGCTGTCCGTGTCTCTCTCCCCCGGCAGGCTGACCGTGAACCCGGACACGCTGGCCGCCACACTGTGCGAGGGCATGCGCACCATGCCCAGCGGCTGGTTCCCCGTCGTCTGGTCGCGGTTCCTGGAGGAGGAGGACCCCACAGTGCGCAGCGCCTACCTCTACGGCCTGGGCTGCCACTCCGCCAACAGGGACCAGTAAGATGCGGCTTGATTTTTGAGCGAAGCGTCGAGGCGGAGCTAGCGGACTGATTTCGAGAGTCATTTCGGTCGCTCGGTCTCTCTTGCACCTGTACCGGACGGCTTATGAGTGCGAGAGAAACAGAGCGACGGAAACGACTCTGAGAATCAGTCTGCTGTGGAAGCACTGTGCTGAACGTCGCTCTCAACTCTTTGCAGCGTGCTGCTCGCCGCCACGACCCATCAAGGCATCAAGTCCAACGAGGCAAAGCACTACTTCAACTCGTTCCTCGTGCACATGGAGGATGGCGTCGAGAAGCTACTGACCTACATGGAGAGGAACTACGCCACCATCAAGGAGAGGTATGCCGTGACGACGCTTGCTGGCACAGCCGCTCGATTCCGCAGGATCGTTTCGTCGCTCCGTCTCTCTCGCACTCATGGGACGTCCAGTTGGGGTGCGAGAGATACAGACAGAGCGAAAGCGTCCTTCCGAATCAGGTGGCTGGCTGGGACGGGACGGTGGGGCGTAGTGGACAGGGTGCTGAGTCTTTGCTTGCTCCACAGCGTCGGCGTGGAGGCCACGGCAGCGGTGCTGCAGCTCGTCGCGGACCGCATCAGCACCAAGAACCAACTGAACACGGTGAGGGTCGCGCGGGGAAAACAACTCGCCCAAACGAAACGTGACATTCGTTGCGGTTTTGCCCTTAGATCGCCGCCCTGACGGCCAAGGACCCCTGCATCGAGATGACAGTCGTCCTGCAGTCGGCCAAGAGCACCTTCAAGTGGGCGGACGAGCAGCTCGGCCTGGTGATCGACTTCCTGCAGGCCGCAGACGGCGACGCGCCCCCCGCGCCCACGCCCTCGCCCGCCCCCACGAGGCCCACCCTGCCCACCCTGGCCCCGCCCACCAACGACTCCAGGCTGCCCGGCACCGTGGTCCCCGACGACTACACGCTCAAAGTGATCCCCTACCTGTCCGGCGACAAGATGGGCACCTTCGAGGGCCAGGTCACCATCCAGGTCCACGCGACCGAGGCCACGAACGTCATCAAGCTCCACGCCGAGGGACTCGACTTCTCCGACGATGACGTCACCATCGCGCTCTCCAGCCAGAGCGCCGCCGCCATCAGCTACATCAGTAGGAGCAGCCTGTACGAGTGGGTGGCGATCACTCTGGAGGAGGACCTGATCGAAGGCGCCTCGTACTTCATCACCGTCAAGTACACCGGCAAGTTCAGCAGCGATCTCAAGGGCTTCTTCCTGTCCAACGACGGCGGCAGGTAAGCTGCAGCAGAAAAAGAACATTCACCGTAAGAAACAAAGGGAGGGAAAATATCGTAAACTTCGTAAATTTACGGAGAACCTTCGTGAATTCACCGCGGATGCTTTTGCAGCACCATCGCCGCCACAAAGCTGGCGCCGACGTACGCCCGCCGCCTCTACCCCTGCTTCGACGAGCCTTCCCTCCGTGCCACCTTCACCGTCACCGTCGGCAGGCTGGACAGCGAGGTTGTCCTGTCCAACACCGCGGTGGAGTCCACTTCCAGCCCCGAGTAAGTACGGCGCCTGCCTCTGCGTGTAATGGCTGACTGTTCTCGTGACTGGTACTGACCTTGTACCTGCACTCAGCCCGTCCATCGGCAACCGCGTGCTCGTCACCTTCAAGAAGACCGCCAAGCTGCCCACGCACAGCATCACCATCGTGGTGTCGCCCGGCCTGCAGTCCGCCACCGCCCCCGAGAACATGGTCTCCGTCTACGGCACGCGCAAGCTGGTCGCCAAGGCGCAGCCTACGCTCGCCGCGGCCAAGGACCTCCTCGCCATCCTGGAGAACATCACGGGCACGCCGTCCGGCCTCGACTCCATGGCGATGGTCGGCGTCAAGGACCTGCTGGTGGACGGCACCGACAACTGGGCCATCGACGTCATCCGGTTAGTCGCGTAAAGTGACAAGCGAGAGCTCAAGCTCCACGAACCCCACCACCCACACCGTGACTCCACCACCACTGACTACTCACCTTATGACTTTCTTTTCCAGCAACGACGCCCTCGTCAAGATGGACGAGTCGCCGTCGGCGGCGGAGGCGGACATCTTCTGGCTGACGACCGTGGCGCACCGCCTGTCGCAGCACTGGTTCGGCAACCTGGTCAGCATGGCGTGGTGGGACAACGTGTGGCTCACGGACGGCTTCGCCACGTACTTCCAGTACAGGGCGGCGTCGCAGGTCAAGGCGGCCGCGGGCAGCGACATGCTGTACCCGGCCACCTTCACGTCCAGGGTCATCTCGCCCGCCCTGGCGGAGGACTCGCTCGAGTCCGCCCAGGCCCTCAACGACCACTACGTGTACGGCACCACCGCCGGCATCGAGAAGGCCCTCAGCGACATCCCCACGCTCAAGGGTGAGTCGGAGAAATCTCCTGGCGGCGGCCAGAGCCGCGTTCGTGTGTCGCCCCCGTTGTCACGCTCTAAGATCGTTCTCCCTTGTCCCGCTAGGTGGCGCGATCATCAACAGCATCCCGTACATCCTTGGCTCGGCCGCCTTCGAGAGCGGCCTCAAGGCGTACATGGACTCCAAGTGAGTGGCTCCAAGTTTTCAGCGCTCTGCCTCTCTCGCACTCACGGGGCGTTCCTCATAGGCCTCAGAGAGACGGAGCGCGCGGCGAAAACGACTCTCGGAATGAGTCTACAAAGGCTGGGGGTACACAGTGGGCCAGAAGACCAGTGGAGGTGGCAAAAACTCTAGCCGCGTTTTGAGCTCCAGAGTCGCTAAATGGGACTCGAACCGAACGTGTGACCCCACCAATGGATTGCTCTCCGAACGAGGAATCCTCTGGTGGGGTCACACGTTCGTTTCGAGGCCCATTTAGCGACTCTGGAGCTCAAAACGCGTCTAGAGTTTGGGCCGCCTCCGCCGGCTTCTGGCCCACTGTGGGGTGCTTCGTTGGAACCGTCTTGACGTCTATCCTCACGGCCTGCCCTCCTTGCAGCAACATGTCCGGCGTGTCGCCGTCCGCCCTGTTCGCCGCCCTGCAGTCCGGCGTGGACACGCACTCCGTCCTGCCGATCGACACCGACGTGGCCACCGTGCTCGGCCCCTGGGTGGAGCGGGCCGGCTACCCGGTCGTGACCGTCTCCAGGGACTACGACGACGACACGGCCATCCTGGCGCAGGAGCGCTTCCTGCTGCACACGCCGTCCGGCAACGCGGACCTGGACGCCGCATGGTGGGTGCCCGTCAGCTTCGCCACGCGCACCGAGTACACGGACCAGTACACCACGACGCCCGTCCGCGCCTGGATCAAGCCGACGGCCGACCTTTTCATCAGCCTGCCCGACCAGAGCGCGTCGCAGTGGCTCGTCGTCAACCTGGACCGCAAAGGTAGAGTAAAGCCAAGTGTGGAGGACTTGGTTTGGGCACAGTGCACGAACCGCAACCAACGATTCTCTCTGACCGCAGGCTTCTACCGCGTCAACTACGACATGAAGAACTGGCTGCTGCTGGCCCGGTTCATGGCCGAGCCCGGGCAGCACACGGTGCTCGAGGTGCCCACGAGGGTCATGCTGCTGGACGACGCGCTCACGCTGGCGCGCACCGGCCACTTGGACTACGTGACGGCGCTGCAGTACGCCGACTACCTCCGCGCCGAGGACGCCACGCACGAGGTCTTCGCCACGGCGCGCGACGTCTTCGCCTCCAACGTCGAGACCTTCGTCCTCGGCAGCAGGCTGGACGACGTCTACAAGGTGCGCGTCATGGTTTCCTAGAGGCGGATCTGAAGATGACCTATTTTGGTTGGGGGGCTAACTCGCGGATCGGGTTTTGCAGGCGTGGGTCGGTCAGCTCCTGAGCCGCGCCATTGCCAACCTCGGCTACGCGGCCCAGTCCTCCGACAAGACCAGGACCGGCGTGGCGAGAGGCATCGTCATGGAGTGGGCGTGCGACATGGACATCGCCGCGTGCACTGAGCCCGCCCAGGTCCACTTCAACATGTGGATCAACGACAAGGACAGGTGGGCCCTCCCTCAAGGCAGCACATTTAACCGCGCAAGTTTTGGAAAATTTTTTTTAACGTTTCGGTATCCGCCTTTACAGTGTGCCTCACGACACCCTGGCCTCCACGGTATGCGCGGGCGTGAGGAACAGCTCCCCCGACGACTACAAGCAGGCCGTCGCCGTGCTCAGCCAGGAGACCGTCGACCCGTACCGCCAGGCCATCATCCGAGGCCTCGGCTGCGTCGCCAACCACACCACCGCCCAGAGGTGGGTCCTGCGCGCCGCCTTTAGCAGCAATAATTAGCAGTGGCGCTCTCCGTGAGACTGAATAACATGCGTCGTGTCCACCAACAGCCTGATGCACCTGACGGTGAGAGCGGGCCTGCGCGGCGGAGAGGCGCTCGAGGTCTTCAAGTCCGTGTCGCGCTTCGGGCCGCCATCCGTTGACGCCGCCCTGGACTACCTCGTCGAGTGGGTGATCGACGTGTACAGACAGTAAGTGTTTGAATAAACCCGTCGTGGGGCCGACGCAGGCTGACGACGCCCCACCGCGTTGTCCGGTTGTTTGACGGACGCCTTTCTTCCCCCGCAGGGCCGGCATGGACGGCACCGAGGCCATCGTCTCGCTCGTGGCCAGCCGCATCACCACCAAGGCCCAGAACGAGAAGGTGAGTGCACGCGAGCACGTTTGGTACCGCGGGTGCAAGCAATAGCAGCAGTACACACCCCACTTCTCCCCTCGTTCGTTTCTGAGTGCCTCTTTCTTGCTGTTGCAGCTCAACACCATCATCGCGCACATGGGCTCACAGCAGGTCCTCGAGTACAACGTGGCGCAGATGCTGGTCGCCGACAACCTGAAGTGGCAGGGCGCGCACGAGGACGAGGTGGGAGACTTGCTGTACGCCCTGACGGGGCTGCCGAACCCGGACCTGCCCGACGGCCCGAGCACCACTGCCGCGCCCACCACCCCGACGACGACCCTGGCGCCAACCACCCGGCCTACCACCCGGCCCACCACCACGTCGACCGCCAGGCCCACCCAGCCGCCCACGCGGCCGTCCACCTCGACGGCCCAGCCGACCACCAGCACGCAGGAGCCGAGCGCGGCCTCCGGCGTGGTCGCCAACGTCCTGCTGCTCTTGGCCTCGCTGGTCGTGCTGCAGAGAGTAGCGGCGTGAAGATGGTGCGAAGGCCTGCAGATCTAGAGAGTTTTGACTTCGAAAGATTAGGTTTAAGTTAGAAAATAATTTATGGTTGAGTGAAATAAATCAATTTTTAAGAGAAACGGTGTGTGTTTGCTGTCCAGAGACTTCGTCCTAACCCGAAGTAGAACAACTCGAAATCTTCGAAGCCTCGAGGAAAAATCAGTACGAACAGTACATCTAGAGTCTTCTAAGGACTCTAAGTACATCCAGAACCCGGTGTTGTTGTTGTTGGCCTGCCTAGCGCCTGCCAGGTAGGCTACCAGCCGGTGCCGGAACACACCGGCGTGAGGGCGGTGGCCTACTCGGCAGGCGCTACAATGTTCCCAATAGTTCCCAAGCGTCCCGATCGTTCAGCAAGATGCGGCTGGTTCCCACTACGGATCTTGTCGATGATCCTAAATACCGTTTCGCGAAATGCCCGCTCTAGTGCCCACAAACCACGCACAAACACCAGCATCCAGCGCAGCAGCGCTGCACTCACCTCGAAAATCTCTCATACAGCTAGCCTCGTCGGAGGCCGGTCCAAAAGATGTGACGTAGGCAGCAGCAGACGACGCTAAAGCGCGAATGTCAAATGAACTGAGTGAGTGTACAAATTTCAGCCCAAAACTCGGTTGATCTTTTTGAACCGGGGTGGAGGATTGTTGTTCTCGGTTTAGGTCTGTATTTCATTAGCCAAGTCAGCTGTTTTGAAGAGTTGTTCTCTCTGTACTGGAACAATGTTGATTTAGGTTAGTCACAAAAGGTAAACACTTTGCACTGTCCTTTCTAGATTATCAAAATGCAAGCTATCTTGGGAGGAGGCATTAGTGGCCTTAGCGCCGCTCACTATCTTTTGAAGTCGGGCTCTAATGCCAAGGTACTTCTCTTCGAGGGAGGAGGCAGAGTTGGAGGATGGATATGGTACGAAACTTCTACTGCGTGTGTCTAACATTCATATTCATTATAAATTGAAATACATTTTATACCTTCAGGACTGCTAAACAGAAAAATGGCTTGTTGTTTGAGCAAGGACCAAGAACTATCCGACCTAGGTTTGAAACTGGTCTGAATACATTGCGGCTGGTAGAAGAATTAGGCATTTCAAACTTGGTATGTTTCGTCTTAATTCTTGTGTTATACGGTTGCAGTGTTTTGCAATTTTTAACTGATTTACAATGCGATCCAGGTGACAGGTATACCAAGCAGCCATCCAACAGCAAAAAACCGAATGATATTTGTCAATGGCAAACTACATGCTCTACCCTCTTCCCTACCACAAATTTTCTTACGACAGGCACCATTTTCTAAACCACTTGCTGCAGCCTTATTACATGATATGAAAGCTGCAAAGAAGACACTGGATGATGAGAGTATCTACAGCTTTGTTGAGAGAAGATTGGGTCGCGAACTAGCAGAGTATGCTATAAGCCCAATGATTTGTGGTATTTGTGCGGGTGATGCAAAAGAAATATCAGTCAAATTTTTGATGAAGAGCTTGTTTGAATGGGAACAGGTTAAACTCTTAATAAAAACTAAACTTACTGAATTTCTTAATAATTTTTGCCTTTCAATTCATTGTTTTATTTTTTCCCACAGACTCATGGCTCAATTACGAAAGGACTTTTAGCTACTGCATGGAAAAACAGACAAAAAATTTGGAGCAAATCTCCTTCAGCAAGTCTGACAAACCTTGATTTAGCATCCAAAGCAAAACAAGAAAAATGGAGTGTATGGTCTTTAAAAGGTGGTCTTGAGGTATGTGGAAATGTACTCTTGTTACAGTCACACTCAGTTATTCTTTCAAAAATTTAATATTGTTATTGATTTTTAAGGTCCTGCCTCAGACTCTATTAAAAAGTATTCAGTCACAAGGAGCAGAGGTTGAGCTGAACTCCTGTTGTTCACAAATTGATTTCAACAAAGATGGAGCTCTACTAACTATAGGGAATAAGAAAATACAAGCCAAGAATGTGATCAGCACTGTTCCTGCCCAGCGGTAATTTTCTTATTGTTAATTTCAAAGAATAAGCATAGCAAGAGTAACAAATCATTTAATTTTGTCGACCTCTGCTTTTTACAGTCTTGCCCTCTTGGTAGAAAGGCAACACCCAATCCTGAGCAGGGAATTAAGCAAGATACCCTGTGTAACTGTTGCTGTTGTAAATCTTGCATTCAAAGGGAAAGTGCTCAACTATAATGCTTTTGGTTTCCTGATCCCACCATCTGAGAATAAGCCAATTTTGGGTGTCATTTTTGACTCTTGCTCATTTCCTCAAGAAGATTTTACAGTGCTCACAGTAATGATGGGTGGACACTGGTTCGAATCAAGACTTGGGCCCTCACCTTCAACAAAGAGCATTCTGAACACAGCTGTGGACAATGTTCGCTCTATCTTAAAAATCTCTGATGAACCATGTGATCACCATGTATCAGTGTTAAAAGATTGCATTCCTCAATATATCGTGGGACATTATGAAAGGGTGGAGAGAATTCGAGACTACATAAGAAAGCATAAGTTACCTCTCTTCTTAGCTGGAAGCTCATTTGATGGAGTAGGAGTAAATGATGTGATATTTTCTGCTAAAAAGGCTGCTCTAATGGCATTGTAAATCTGTGATTTATTCACTTGTTGAAAAATAATGTATGTAAATAAATTTTTTATATTTGTTACATTTGTGCCCTAATTCAACCCATTGTCATCTTGCTCAAGAAAGAGCGTTGAAATATTGTAAGAAGCACCCATTTCAAAGTGCAAAGCGTGCAAAGTCCTCTGGGGAAAACCCATTTTGGTCAGTTGCTTGTTGCTTATTGCCTACAGCCTAGGCGCCGGTGTGGTGCCAATAATGCAATACGACTCCCTTCATCTTGCGAATAGTCAGGAGGGAAATGCTTAGCAGCGGACAAAACTTCAACAAACAACTTCTAAGATCTCTTTTTAAATGTTAAATATCGTGTTTTCTTTCCATTATATACCGTATCATTTCATTTTGGACTTTATTTGAAGCCAGAGGAGGTATTAGAATCCTCAAGCAGAGTTGTCGTCTCGAGGTTTCTTCATTCAAACGCGAAAACAATGGAGTTCATTGGTACTAACCTTAATACATTGACTGATATCTTACCATTTAACGATGGAAGTCGGCCTGTACTTCGTCGATGTACTTGGATAGCTGTCACGTTCGTCTCATATGTGATTGGCTTTAATCTGCTCAGCAAATTTGCCAAGGTTATTGTTTTTTTTCTCAAATCTGCTTGAATATGTTAGATTCTTTCTCCATTTTATTACTTCACTGGTTTTGCTTTTTCATTAACATTGACAGTGTTTTACAGGCACAATTGATTCATGAGGCTGTTCCCAAAATAAATCAGCACAGACTGAAAATTGCTCTCTGGCGCATTGTATTTGCATTGTGGGCCATCGTGCTTTACTTAGCTAGTGTTTGGGATTCAAATGAAGGAAATCTCCTCCATCTTATTTTACAAGCTGCAGCTCCTAAATGCAATACCACATCTCTTCATGTATCAAAACAAAACATGTACTCAGAAATGGCACTGTTCACTGCCCCAGTGTCATTTTTCTTACATCAAATATATATTTCCATCTCAAGTTTTACTGAACCAGCTGTCACTACAATGGGAGGTCTTTCCCTCTTTGTATTTTTGTGTAATTTTATAGAGTAAGTTAATGCTCGATCTTCAGTGTTATCTTTTCTTGTGCCATCTGTTTAGTTCATTTCTAACTCTACAATAATTTGTCCCTTTCTAGCTGCCAGAAGTTTTGTCTTCAAGTTTTGTTCCTACTTGGTCTCAATGTGGGTACCCTGGAGGTAGCCCGAACTATATATGCTTTAAGATCAAGATGCAGAGGGTTTAATGGACCTCCACCTTCTGTTTTCCTTCGATGCATGGGTCTTCCTGTTTTTATTGTTCACCTGCTTGCATGGTGAGTTACCTAGCTGATGCTGTGTAAGCTTGCCTCAAAATATGAAATACAAGCAGTTATTCATTGCAGCTTTTCTTTCTCTTTACAGGATGCTAATTAACTTTTATTTGTTTCCAAAGATGTATTTTTCACTTCCTTCAGCCACTGAAATTGAACCATCTGCCCGAATAGGGACTGTGTATATTAATCTGTTTTTAATCATTTTTGCCAAAATTCAATTTTTTGATTCGGTAAGCACATTATGATGATAACTGATTGATTCCTAGGCATAATCAGTGGAAGGAATTTTCACCTCTTTCACGGGTGTACTAAATATTGAAATATGGTTCTCAAATTGTGCTGTTGCATTTGATTTTCCAAACAAGTGATAATGTGATAAATTTCATAAGAATTTTCTTCATTTTAGCCGGCTTGGTCCCTGGTTAAACTTGTGGTGAGAAAACCATCTGCATTAGGAAGAGTTAGTGGCTTGAAGTCTCTTCCCATGATTGTTCTCTTGCCTTATTCAAGCTCAGTTTTGCCAGAGCTAAAAGCCATACAATTACAGTTCCTAATGAATGCACTACCTACAAGGTATAATTTTCAAAAAATTTAAAAATCAAATCATGATACTTGTGCACAAATCTCCTCCATTATAACATCTTGAAATGTTTCAGTGCTGAACGAAGAATCATTCGTAAGAAAATCATGTCTGGGGACAATCAAACCAGTGCTCCTATAAGTGAAGAGAAAGCAAATTTGCTTAGTTTCATAAAGTGTAAGTCAGCCCTTGTTCTTTTAATTTAAAATCTTTTTGAACTCATTTTGATCAACCATTTCTATCCCTTCGTTAGGTGTAAAAATCTTGAAGAGAAAAATGCGTTACAGATATGAACAGAAGACTGCGAATGAAGCTGAAAATATGAGCCAAGAAGAAAATGAGCTTATTGAGGAGGATTTGGATGAGAACACAGCAGGTTCTTCTCAAAGTCAAGATGTGACTGATATCTTTTTCTCTGTCCCATCAGTGCCAGAGGAAGTGAGTGGTGAAAGCCAGGAAACAAGCACTACTGACCTGGGAACAAGTGCAGATGGTGACGCATCTCCCACACACAGTGAGACTGGATCTTCTAAGGGAACCAGTCAAGCTGAAGCCACACCCCACAAGCAAAATGATGAAGAGAAACAGAGAAGGCTGTCTGAATTGGACGAAGAATCACAAGACTGAAATCAAAAGATACCACTTTAATTTTAAGCTATTGAATTATATACTTAGGTGTTAAATTAAATTGATCTTATGAATTTTGGATTCAATCTTTTATTTATTTTGGTTTCTGGCATCACAATGACATTGAATAGGAAAGAACTTACAGAAAAGGTCATAAGTATGAGCTAATGTAAACTTCCACCAAGCACTTTATATTGTTTTGAACAATGATAAAAAAAAGCAGTAACAGTAGATAAAAACAACTTTGATTTGACACTAAAAATTAGACCACAAATTCACAATCATTAGCTGTGTGGTAAGTCAGGATCACTCAAGTCACCCCAGTCTTCATTATCCCCCCAAGCTTCATTATCAGCCATTGTAGTAGCAGACACGTCTACATCGAAGCAACTATTAGTTTTAGTAGCAGAGGTTTCAACAAAGTCCTCAACATCATCAAAATGTAATAATTTGGGCTTAGCTATTATAGGCTCCATGTCCTGGAAAAAGTCTATTTCCTCTGGGGCACTTTGCTTTTTCTTGGGAACAACAGAGTTCTTGATATCTAATGAAGTTATGTCAGGAAGTTTTGCCTTAGCTGAGGCTAAGATCACCGATGATTGTGCTAGAGAAAGTGGTGCCTTTAAAGAGCCTGCCAGTGTAACGGCAGTGGTTGCAGCAGAGCTGACAGGAATGGGCAGACTTGGTTCTGCTCCTTCCTCAAAACCATTTGAGGCCTGGAAACAGAGAATGTAGGTTTGTAAGAAACAAAGGAACATTTTATCATTGTCATAATGAGACAGTAGTGAAAACTGCCATGTACCTGTGAGTCATTTAAGTCCCAGTCTGACCAGTTATCTGTTTCTTCATCCAGTTGAGCTGCTGATGTAAGGTCTTCACCCCCATCAGGTGATGGTCTTTCAGGTAACTCAACTAAAGATAATGGAGCAGAAACCTCTTGAACTGCAAAATTATGTAAAATACATGTTTTGTGTCTGTAACTAATTTCCTAATTTCTCTATTTGAAATGGCTATCTTACCGACAGAAGACTTTGGGCGCTCCTTGTTTTGTGGTCGATCTCGCTCAGTTTGAGTCAAAGCTGGAGACTGAATTGGCTTAGAAAAAATAATTTAAAAATGTAAGGATATTTCAAGAATTTATGAAGTTCTTAACCCAGAAATTGTAAAATGAAGAAAACAAGAAAAACTTACAGCAAATCCATGCTGTTTAGGTCTACCATCAGTAAACAGCTTTGCTCGTTTTCCTCCGATAACAGTTGCAGCCCCCAGGATAGGGACAAGGAGGGCTAGGGCCCGCAATGTACTAGCAACGATAGTGTCACTTGTATCTTTAATACCCACTAATAGCTAGAGAATACGACCACACATTTGATTTTATTTAGATGCAACAAAAACAACAACAAAATAAAATTCATATGAAAATATCTTACCTCTGGCAAAACCTTTGAACAGAGTTGCTCCTTTGTGAAAGCTGTGCAGTAGTGTTCAAAATGCTCCAACAATAGTAATCGCACCTGAGCATCTCGAACAGAGAACATGTGAAGAAGTCTAGGTACTATGTATTGTTGGAATATAGTCATACTGAAGAGTGGCTGATTAGATATCAACTCTGAACCTTAAACATAAAGACAATATTATATCTTTGAGCAATATTTTTTTATTACCTTATATTCGTAACTTCATTGTCATGGAACATACTATTTTGAGGTTGAAGAATCATTGGTAAAAGATGTTCTTGAGCAGTTTTATCAAGGAGGACCAAACGGCTGAGCAGCAATGCACTCAACTGACTAGCTAAGAGCACTTCAGGAAATTCACGTAGCTGATCAACCAAGCCTCTGTAAAACCGGGATGTAGTGAAAAGAACATTTAAAAAGCAAAACCTGTGAGGTAAAGGAACAAAAAAAATAATACCTGAAAAATGTACTCTTCTCCACATCTGACTTCAGGGGTAACTCAGATAGAAAATCATGAACTACAACAAAAGTGTGATTAAATAGCGGTTGAGTTAAAAGCTGTGACAATTTTGGTCTCAACGAGGGCTCAGGGCTTTGCAGCTGTTTCCGGCTCATTTCTCTGAATTCCTTAATTCCTGGCACTTGAATATCTGAAAACAGTTAAAATCAGGTCAGGTCTACACAACAACAAGTCCATTAGTTTGAAATCTAACGGAATAAGAATCTACCATCAGGTACTCTGCGGAAAACATCATCTACTAAAACACCATAGGCAAACGTGTCAATGGTATTTGGATCAAATGATTTCCTTGAGTCTTCCTCTGGAGGAACTGCCTTTTCATAGCGCTGAGCACGCTTCTTTTGTAAGGCATCAGGTGTTGTGTCTGCTAATCTGTAAATGGAGTCATTCCGAACATGTTAAAAAATATTACCTTGTACTGCACCTCAGACTCTGTAGCAAAGCCCATAAATAAAAATACCTGGATAAAAATTCTAGGCCACCAAGCTTCCAAGACCCATCTGAAGTCACATATATGGCAGCACAACACACATTATTGTGTGAACAAAGGGCCTGGAAAAAAGCAATTTTAAAATTCAAGTTACAAGCTTCTGAATACAAACAGGATCTTTTTTTCTATTCAAAAATCATGAGACAAACCTTTTCATGCAGAAATATGAGAGCTTTTAAAATATCATGCAGACCTAGGCAGATTTCCAGAACAGTCTGTGTACCCAGGGCACTAGACAGAGGACTAACACTCTCTGTAGCCATACACAGTTGTCCTTGGTGCGTCCATGAAGAAATATACTTTAAAATACTAGGATGGCGATAAATCCTTAAATTCTGCAACATGGAAAATGTGTGTTAACATAAATTTGCAGATTACTATGAAAGATGAAATAGGCATATATGTTACCCACTTACTTTGATGGCATTTTCCAGAGAATTATTGGACAAATGATCATGAGACTGACGGGCACAAAAGACAGACAATGTTGGAGAACCATTGCAGGTGGAGGTAGCCGAATGGAGAGTCCACTCGTCAGTGTTTTCAAGTGGTTTTGAGTCAAGTTCCAAACCAGACAGCATGCTCCCTTCGTTCCCCATAATTTTTCAACAATTTCTTCAATAACTTGGAATCTAAAGGGGCATGGTTACAGAAACCTACAATACTTCAAATGTCTCAATGGGACTGAACACCTATCCAAGTGTCAGAGATAACCAACATTCTTGTCATTGAATACTGATGTAGAAATGTCAACGCACATTCTTGGTTCTGTAAAATACATGGAAAACATTAGTTTCTCCTATGTACTGTGCCATACATCATAGAACGACAATTCTCCCAGCTTATCGGAAAATAGTAAGAAGCCTACAGTGGCCTGTCACACTTCAAAACTGACATTCTAACCTGTAGCACGACGAAATCCGACAACACAAACGCGTACAAAAAATAAATAAGGAAAACAAACAGCTAAATTGTACAATACTGAGTTTAGTTAAGAACCGCTTAGTATCGAAGGAACGTTAACACGTAATAATCATCGATTAAAATGTAACAATTTTGTAACACAGCGCTGGCAGAACACTCGACCACCCCCACCACTCCACAACGTAAATAAACAAAACAATGCCAAAGGACAACATGGCGCCGGCCTTCGGGAACCGAATACTAGTAGAAGGCAGCGACGTGTTCGTGTTGTTGTGCTTGTGCGTGTAGTTGTGCTCGTTGTGCTCATTGACGTCGCGAACATCTAAATGAGCAGAAAATATGTCAAATCCTGGTTGTAGCCGGAGAAATGGCGCTATGAAGATAAGACTAACCCGTAAGTCTGTTTTTAAAAAGTTCCAAAGTGGAATAGGTGCCCCTTTAGCGAGCATTGAATGCGAGGCAGGGTTCATTGTGTTTGGTTTAACTCCAAGATGGCTTCTATTAATCAAGCATATCAAAGGATTTGCCTCTCCCAGGAGGCCTGTTTGGTCCTTGATCACTATTTCCCCTGTATATTTGTTATATGTTTCTTTTTTTCCATTTACTGAACATTGCTGCTTCGAGAAGATCAGCTCTAATAAAGTCTCTGTGGAGAGCACTGGACCCCCTGTGTAATGTCTTGCATAATCCTGTTCTGTAATGTTTTTACTGACACGACTGTTTTTGTTAGATATCATTCATTAGTTCCCGTTTCTTATTTCTGAAAATTTTTTCACTTTCATTATGTTTCTGATTTTAAAAATATTGTGGTCAATCATTCATTGCTTTTTCCTTTCTTCCTTTTTTTTTGTGTGTTCTCCTAACCATGTTTCGTGCATTAATTTAATATTTGAAATGTATATCTGACAGTTTTATCGTACTGAATTTTAATTTTTGAAATTTTATTATTCCAGTTCTCTGTGCCCGGAACTTAGCAAGAAAGGATTTATTCCGTAAGCACTTGTTGAAATATGATTGCATCAAAGAGCTTCTTTCCCTTTACAGCTTTTTGTAATGATTGTTTCTCTTCTATTCCAGGACTACCCGATCCCTTTGCAAAGATTAGTGTTGATGGCTCAGGACAATGTTTTAGCACAGAAACCTCTAAAGCTACACTAGACCCTAAATGGAACCAACATTTTGACTTGTAAGTTAACATTTATTAAATTAGTACCTGTGAGAGAAAATTTAGAAAAAGACTGATTGGTGCATCTCATTTTTTAACTTCCTGTTTATTATTCCTTGCAGATATATTGGTAAAGGAGATGGTATAACTATAAGTGTGTGGAATAATAAGAAAATACACAAAAAGCAAGGTGGTGGATTTTTAGGTTGTGTTCGGATACTGTCTAGCACAGTTCAACGTTTAAAAGATACTGGTTGTAAGTATCATTCTATTATGCATACTTACCCTCTAGTTTTGTTTTATCATGCTTTCAAAATAATCAATTGTTTTTCTTCCCTTCACAGATCAAAGACTTGACTTGTGCAAAGCCAGTGCCGAGGATCCTGAACCGGTAAAAGGAGAAATTGTGTTATCCTTATTATCAAGGGATGGTCATGGTGGGGTTGCCAGTGGTGGCCACAATGCCGTTGTTGATCCACTGGGAGGGCTTAGCTGCCCAGAGGACTTGCCTGAGGGTTGGGAGGAGAAACGAACCACTGCTGGACGCCTCTACTATGTTAACCATCATACAAAAACAACTCAGTGGTATCGCCCGAACAGGTAAACAATGTTTGCCCTTTTCTTTCTTTTTGCAAATGGCAGCTTGAAGTGTGTTTTTTTTCCCTAAGTGCACATGCATTTTTTGAATTTGTTTAGCAATACAGAAGAATTTTGCTTTATACTTCTGTTTCTGCATGGTGCTTGAGGCCACTCAAGGGTGCTGAACCCTGCTGTTTTTAAACTTTGACTTTTTTCATTGTTGATCTAACAAGGGTTCCTCACATTCCTTTATTACCATTGTCATTATTCACAACTTCTATTATGTTTGTTGTTCTCCTTAATATCTCATTGAGTGTAACTGTGTGTTGATGCTGCTGCATATGCTTGACACTTGCTCATCTGGTTTTTCTTTCCTAAAATATACTAAATTATTGTGGATGCTCTCCATTGACAGGCCCACCACCCAACCCACCTCAAACGGCTCTACCAATGGCTTGATTCTTGCTCAGTCGGAATCCGATTGCTCTTCTCCCGTAACCCCTGCTACCCCTCCCGGGCCTTCAGGGCCTTCATCCCCCCAGGCAGCACTTCCTGCCACACCGCCACGGTCCCAGCCCAGTGTGCCTGGCAGTGTGCCTGGCAGTGCCCCCACCTCACCTGCCTCACCTTCAACACCCTCAAGGTGATCACAAGCTTGTTTTGCCTCACACATTCAGCAATATAACTTTTCCCGCATGTACACCTGTTTCATTTTATTTTTTGTTGCATTGGAATCGTTAAGTTGGAGGGCCGCTGTTAAAATCATGCTAATTTTGTACTTATACAATGTTCATGCCTCTTTAATTTTTAGAGATCAATATAATAACAGCACTGGAGAAAGCACCCAAGGAGTTGAAAGAAGAAGCAACTCATCAGCAAATGGGAATGCCAGACCAGCTCTATCACCTCTCAACGGTTCACCCTCACAATCTCAGCCAGCAAACAAACGACGATCAAGCCGCCAACGAGCTTCTCAACAGCATCAACTTTTACTTCAACATCAACAGCAGCTTAATGGTCGAACGCACAATGTGGGACAGCCCGGTGACTTGCCCCCTGGATATGGTGAGGAGTTTTGCTTTCCGTTTTTGCCTATAACCATGTTACATTTCTTTCACTTTGTGCTTCCTCTCCATTACAGAGCTCCGCACTACACAGCAAGGCCAAGTCTATTTCTACCACATTCCAACCGGTGTTAGTACTTGGCATGACCCTCGAATACCCCGTGAACTAACCAGTACAAGCTCAGCAAACCAAACAGGAGGAGCTGAACTTGCCTCAATTATGGGTGTTGACCTTGGTCCTCTACCACCTGGCTGGGAGAAGCGCCAAACCCAAAGTGGTCGTGTTTATTATGTTGATCACAATAATCGCACAACACAGTTTACTGACCCAAGATTGTCATCAGCAATCATACAGAGGCTTTACAAGTATGTCATAGCTTCTGGGGATAATAAACTTGCATTGAAACTAATGCACTTACATAAAAATAAATTTCTAACTTCTTTTTTTTTTGCAGGAGACAAAATCAGCAAAGCCAAGCTACAAGTCAAGTTTTGCCTCAGTCAACTGTTATTACCAATGAAGCAGTTGTTGATTCTGTGCCTCCTATTGGTACTGCAGCAGATAGAGATAACATCAATACTACCAACAACAATACTAATGCTTCTTTAAACAACAGCAACAATTCTAATAGCAGACCTGCTCAAAGCCTTATTAGAACCCCTGGTGATGGGGCCAGTGATGAGTCTACTGCAACCACTGTACCAGCAACCCCAGTCATACCTATTCCACCTGCTGATCCAGATAGTGAAGGATTGCCCAAGTATAAGAGGGATCTAGTAGCAAAGCAACGTATTCTCAGAGCTGAGTTACAAGCTTTGCAGCCTCAAAGCGGTCACTGCCGTCTTGAAGTATCCAGAGCTGAAATATTTGAGGTTTGTTGCATACATTTAATTATTTCATTGGTCTTTTAGAATATGAGAGACTTAAAATATTTGTATGATTAAAAAATAATTAACACTTTGTAGGAGTCCTATCGCCTTGTTATGAAAATGCGCACTAAGGACATGCGGAAGAGGTTGATGGTGAAGTTCCGAGGAGAAGAGGGTCTAGATTATGGTGGAGTTGCACGTGAATGGCTGTTTCTTCTTTCTCATGAGATGCTAAATCCACAATACGGTTTATTCCAATATTCAAGAGAGGACAACTACACTTTGCAGATAAACCCAGACAGTAGTGTTAATCCGGTTGGTGTCTCTCCTTGAGAAGTCAATGTTTTGAGTATTGTGAGATGGTTAATTCATGTATCTGTACTTTTGGCAGGAACATCTTTCATACTTTCACTTTGCTGGACGTATTCTTGGTATAGCAGTTTTCCATGGTCACTATATTGATGGTGGATTCACCACACCTTTTTATAAAATGCTGTTAAATAAGCCCATCACTTTGGAGGACATTGAAGGAGTGGACCCGGAACTGCATAGAAGTCTAACTTGGATGTTGTAAGTGCTGTCTGACCTCACCTCAACAAACACACGCCGCTATTAAAGCCCTAATAAAATTAAACTTTCATAAATTGTTTGCAGGGAAAACAAGATTACTGGAGTAATAGACACTACATTTGCTGTTGAGCAGAACAGTTTTGGTGTCCTGAAAGTTCATGAATTAAAGCCAGGAGGGAAGGATGAACCTGTCACAGAGGACAACAAAGGCCTTTATGTCAAGTATGTGTTCATGATATACAACAGCTGTACTTACTCAAAGCTTTAAATATGAAACTTTGCAAGATTTGTTGATCTTTTTCAGACTCTATGTAAATTATCGCTTCATGCGCGGAATCGAGCAGCAATTTTTGGCTCTCCAAAAAGGTCTCTTGGAACTTGTTCCAGCTCAGCTATTGCGCCCTTTTGATGAAAGAGAGCTGGAACTTGTCATATGTGGCCTTGGGACTATAGACATTAATGATTGGAAGGCCAACACCAGACTAAAGGTAATGAATATTCTTTTCTTGTCTGTCTTTAAAAATTAGTCTTTATTATTAGTTTGCATACTAATGCATTTGTTACCTTCCTAGCATTGTACACCAGACACACCTGTGGTGAGATGGTTCTGGTTAATTGTTGAGTCTTACAGTGAGGAAATGAGAGCCAGGTTACTACAGTTTGTAACTGGCAGTTCAAGAGTGCCATTACAGGGTTTCAAAGCTTTACAAGGTAACAATATAATTTTTATCTTGTATAACATTTTGCATCTATCAAAGTTTGCATTTGAGTCAATCTGGCTCAGTACTCTTGCTGTAGAGTTCAAATCATATTTTGTTTCTGTAGGTTCTACCGGTGCTGCTGGACCTCGTCTTTTTACCATTCATGTCATTGAAGCTCCAGTTGAAAATTTGCCTAAAGCTCATACTTGTTTCAATCGGATTGACATACCCCCCTATGAATCATATCAGAAAATGAATGAGAAGCTCAGCCAAGCTGTCGAAGAAACGTGTGGATTTGCCGTAGAGTAATGAATTAGGAATTAAGCAAGATTTCACTTGCTTCTTGCATTTTGATGTGTAGATTATTTGCTTTTCTCTTTGTGTTTTCTTTTCCTCAGACAGCCATTGTAAATTTGTTAACTTCCTTTCCAGCTTGTTTTTTCTTTTGTTGTTTTTGAAAACTTTTGTACTTTTATGATGTTTTTCTTCTTTGGAAAAGAAATTCTGTGATTTAGGTGTGGTGCCTTTTCTATTTTATCAGCTACTATTGTAACACATTTACCCAATTTTAGCATACCTTTCAGTGAAATAGCAAATGGTTTGCATGCCTGGTTTTCAATCTTTTTGACAGTATTCAATTTTATTGACTTGTTACTTTATAGGACTTGGGCAAGGCCAAAGATCCCTTGTCAAAATCACTAACATTTCTGTGTCGCGTTGCAGTTCATAATTTTAATACTGGTGAGTTGTGCTCTGAAGTTCTATTCTGGAACCTAGGTCAGCAACAATGAACTTTTTTAGTTTCCTTTCTGTCTTAGATTTTAAAATGAGTTTGTACCCTATCACCCCATCTTATGTTTCTCTCTAAAAAAATTTGGTTTTTACGTCACCTTTATTTGCTACTATTGAAATCTGTATTTTACTGGTTTTTATTTTTAACCTTAATGGACGTGCTTGTAATGAGTACATCTATCAGGCTTTTATTCCTGAAAATATTTCTTGTACTAAGGCCATAGTCATGTCAAGAATGGGAAGTGAAATTTTGTTTTTTGGGAAGGAGCAGTTCATGACAAAGTCTCCTCTCTATGGATCCCTTTATGTAGTTAAAAAGGTTTTTAATTCAGGGAAACAATTATTGTTTCTACTGATGGTTGTGCAAGGATGGCTGTGCTTATAAGAGGTAGTTTACTGACTTATTTGGTCCCAAGAAACGTATCAATTCCTTTAGTTTGCTCTGTAAGTTTTAACTAATGATTGTGATGGCACAAATCGTTCCCATCAGAAGTGATTTCTCCACTAACCTATTTTCCTCATATCATCCATATAGTAATTGAAGTGGATCAATTAACCCCTCCTGTATTGGGTTGTTTACGCCTACTTAAATGTAAGACTGAGTACCATCACTGCCACGTACGATTCCCATTCTTAATTGCACATCATCCCGTTTGTTACTTCCCTTTATGTAATTAATCCCTTCATATCAATTTGTGGGAAATCAGGATTTCTTATGTGTTTTCACTTGAGGCCTTAGTATTAAATACATATGATTTTCCTCATCTGCATGTACCAAAATTATTTATTTACTCACTTTACCATTCTACATTTCATGTATATAGTGTATTGTTTGTGTACAGATGTATCTTTCTTAGTTTGTACATGACACCCTCTTGTTTAAACATATCTGAGACTTTACCTTCTTGTACCACTGTACCGTGATATTTTTATACTTTAAAAAAAATGTTGAGTGAATGACGAGTTTCTTGTGGTCTCTTTAAAAAAGACCACAAAGAAAATTTTACAAAGCAGTTAAATTTGTTATTATTGATTCTGTTGGAGATTTAATTTACAGTAAATTTTCATCTTTTGAAGTGATTGAAGCACAACTCATGTTATTGTTTAGCTGTTACAAGTTTTTGAAAATGCCCTGTATTCCCTGTACTAAATCAAGTGCTGATCATCCTATTTGATTGATTGTGCATTATAAATTGCAGCATACCACATATCATTGTTTTTGGTGACAACTTTTTACCATATATTACAGTTATTTTTTTATTTATTTAAGTGTTATAACTAAAATATAATGTTTGTATATAAAATAATATTGCTTGTTGCGAGTTATGAATGGACACTTGCTTATTGTTTATCAACGTTGTTTAGCTTTCAAATTGTCATGTTGGGCCAATGCTCGTATGCATAATAAATCTAGTTTTTATTATATTATCAAATTCCCTTGGTTTCTATTGATTGATTGATTGGTTGGTTTGTTTGTCTTTTAAAATCATGTGTGGTGAGTATTTTTGCTGACATCTTCAAATGTGCTCTCTATTGAAATGGTAGCCCACTTAGGTACATGAAAACTGGAATGGTCATCTCTGAAGTGATCTTTGCTCTGCGGTTTTAAGTTGTATATCATAAATATGTTTTGACTTTTTAACTTGTTGGGACGCTGCAAGAAAATTTAAGTGTTGCTGTATACCTTTAACAGGACTAAACTACCTGCTATCCCATTGTTTTAGTGTAGGAAATGATATGAACTGAATCTCAGTCACACAGAATCTTGTTTCTTATCTCACGTATTATGTCTGTTATATTGCACTGGCACATCAAGAATGGTCTGTACCAGTCTTCAATTAACCTGTCCACTGAATATCGCTAAATTGCTCATGAAGGTTTTGTTGCTTGATTTACATTAGTTCATCTTCAGGAGATGGTACTTACATAGACATGTGCTTTGTTACCAGTGTCGTTTTCAGTATTTCTCATTTCAGTATTAAGCTTTGTTGCTATTGAAAGCACTTTGAATGCTGACATGAAGTGTAATTTTTGCAATGTGCTTGGTACCAGGGTAATGAGAAAAATATGATCATCTAATTCTATTGTGATATAAAAGTGTAAATACAATCATGTGTTTAAGAGTGGACTTTTCCTGTGAGCAATATATGTACTGTGGCTTGTGGACAATACAATGGATTCAAGTGATATATACATATGTAAGTTTGTGATTTTTTTGGAATGTATCAACCACTATACATGTCATCATTGTGAAGCCTTCATCATATTGAACGAGTGTTCATGTAATAAACAGCTTCTGATATACATATCATCTGAATTTGAATTATTTGTGTCTCTTGTGTGAAATAGGTGAAAGGTTTGATAACAGACAACATTTGAAGTCACAATGTAGAAATTTTCTACATCTTAAAGTGGATGGAGGTCAAAGGTTAAAAGATGAGAAGTCAAATTTTAAAGTGGATGAGAAATTTATATTTTTCCCCTGTTATTCATAAGATACATTTTATACAGTTTGATGCAGATAACCAGCTAACTGCTTGGTCCTGATCATAGCTTACAATCCATCACTGGCTAAGTACAAAACTTTAATTGATTTCATTTAATTAGCATGTTTGAGACTTCTAATTGTACTTTTCAACCTGACTTGGCAATGTGTGGGCATGCTGGACATAATAATTTACTCAACAAGCATAAATAGATGCTGGTTGAACATAGTTCATAAAAACCATTCATTGTTGGTCTATCGAGGTATCCAATGTAGTAATGACAAATATTACAAAATATACCATGCAATACAAAGAATTCCTTGACAAATTAGCACCTCCACAAGTAAATACCAGAAGGAATTCCATAAGAAAGCTGGTACACATTTGTGGACTTAAAATAAAATGGAATGAAATATCCCGAATATTAAAATCATGTGGAGCAAAACAGAAAAGAGTGAAGAAACATCGGTGTTACATATGACTGAGTTCAAATTGTGCAGAAAATTAGGTAAATCCATATTTTAAAAAAAATCAAAATCAAAATTTACTACATAGTCAGGGCATACAAAGTCTAAGCACATACTTTGACTAGAACCAAATTTCAACAAACAACAAAACTGCACATCCTTGGAATTACTGTGATGAGGCTTGCCTTGAGACACAATCATTTTTTTCCTGTTTGTTTCAAAGTTTCCTACAATAAAACAGTATGAAGAACCACATGCAGTACATGAAACAGGCATTACTCATAAAGAGACTGTCAGAAGAACAATTTTTCAGACTGCCCCCTGATTTGCAGTTCTATAGGGCTTACTTAATGAGGTAGCAATGAAAAACTCATAATTCGATTGCTTGCTCTTTGCATTGTAATTTCCAGTTCAATAAACACACATTACTGAAATGAGGGAGAGTTGGTTAACTGTCCAAACTTATAGCTTCAAATGTTGGAATATAAATGCTGTGGTGTAGTTCAAATAGTGAGAGTAGTCATTTAACAAAAATCAGCACCACTTTCAGCAGCGAAACAATTCTCCGTTCTTGGTGGGTACAAGCCCCAGTGAAAGATATTGAGAATCAAAACAATGCTCTGAGAAAAAGAGGGCACCAAATGTGATACTGATTTCATTCAGTTAATAAGAAGGATGGTTTAAGAACACACGATTTGACGTCAAAGTGAATTGGCAAAGACTATTTCAGTTCATTTTAATACAGGAACTACTCAAACTCCGTTGGCACATAAAAGTTCTCATGGTTTAAAGAAACTAAACACAAGTATTAAAACTCTCATCTACAGCTGGAATGTGAAGTACATCTCTGAGTACTTGAACTGTTTATAGTAGCAATAGTAGCCTCACCAGCTGTACTCCACATGGGAAGATCAAGCAAAGCAAAGCAAAATATTCCATGTCACAAAAGTACTCAAAACAGATTGGAAATGACTTTGTGGAAAAAGGTTCCATTTTGTGCCAGAGAACTTAATATAAGAATTGTACTAGAAGGCAGGTAAAATGGAAAAAATAAATCAGAAAAAGAAAATTGAAAAATGTAGGAAAGTGCACCTTGCAGGGTTGGAACTAGGTAAAATAAACATTGTTCAGTAACATTACAACGGTCTTAGTCACTAATCTGGAGTCCCACCATTCACAGAGTCCTGAAGATCACTGGCAATACGTATAGAGGCTTGTAAAAAAAGAGAATAATTCAGGGAAAAATAGAGGAAACTTAACTTACAAATGACTACGCCCCAACAGTAAACACATACCATAGTAACAAACAATGGCTGTAAATTTGTCACTGTAGCAAGAGGCATTTTAAATAGGACTAGTTACTATTATCTCCTTTGTGTCACTGCAAGCTGGCAAGGTGCCTTCCATGTCTTTTATACTCTGACAAGACCATTGCTTGCCTTTCCTTGTAAGGTTCTTGTCATGGAACCTGTTCACAATTGTTCAACAATTATCAGTCTAAGATAGCAATTATCAGCAATTGCTAGGCATTTTGTTGGACGGACAAAAGTGAAACCCTGCCTTTAGTGGCATGAGGGTTAATATACATTTCTGGTTACAATTGGACCCACACTTCATATCATTCCAAATTTGTGCAGTTCTTTTATAAATTAAACAATGGCTTTGAAACTAAACTTACGCATACGTCTACACACTGACAAAATTGCACAGTTATTTCACAATTCATTAAATATTAATGCTAGAATTTGAATTCCTCTATACAGTACACAAAATTTGATATTAAATTATGTATACCTTTTAATATAAATATAAGCTTTGAAAGTTAAATTATACAAAATACAAGTGGCAAGGAAACATTTTCCAAAACCCACAAATACGTATTTAAAAGCCAGCATAAAAAGTTTGCATCCAAAAGGGAGCATTATCAAAGATGTAGCAGTCATGAGATGAACATTCAACAACATATTTCCGTACCCTGATTGCTATCTTCTCATTTATTAAATTACAAGGAGTTTAACTAAAAAGCTTCAATTCCAACTGTTCCAAATGAAAAACATAATTAGTTTGGGAAAATTTTGGCTTAGTCTTTTCTGAAAATTTTTTAAACTTCTCATGAAACAATTAGTTGATGGTTATAAATGGAAATGTTCTGGAGAAAATTATGCATGGATGTAGCGGTTTGTCCTGAATAGCTGGTATAGCTCCCAATCACATTTCGATCTCGTAGCCCATGTCAGGCTTGAAACTTACAATTAAAAAATAACTTTCAGTCATTGACATAAATTGTTCTATGATAAAGCCTGGTTGCAGCAATGATACATTATTTTGTAGTATTCTAATTGAATTATGTTTGTAAAATCTACTGAAACAAAAAGGTAACATCCAAAGAATAAAAACAATTTCCTATGCTTCTCTTCTTGGAAGAAATAGCTCGAAAATGTCATTCTATAAAGTTTCGAACAATCACAGTAATAATCATCTTCTCCTTCTCCTCTGCTCTTCCTTCGTCCCATGGGCAAATGCTTGTCGACAAAACAAAACTAAAACACTTATGTGACAGACTTTTGTTTCTTTTTTAACTTTAGGAAGAGACCAATTCTACACCGGTTAAAAATAAAATAAACATAAATGACAACATCAACAACAAATAAAACAAACTGCATCTCCTCAGACGAAATGTTAGCGAAAGTGAGGTTTACACAAACTTCACCCATGGGCCCTTCTCTTCTTCTTCCTCCTAATAAGTAGGATGAACAAAATGCATGGATTCTTGTACGGACGGCCGGTGCCGCGTCCGACGCGAGCAGGCCGATCCGCTGGGGAGGCGAGGGGGCGGGAAGGGGGGCGGGAAGGGGGCGGGAAGGGGGGCGGGAAAGGGGGCGGGACGGGGGGTGGCGATGGGGACGGGGCGGGGATGTCACCTACACGGACTGAGCAGAACCTCGATCCAGCAGGGGCAGGCCGTCACCTCCTGCCGGGAGTACTTGGGACCCCAGCCCTTGGCAAAGGAGATCCTCACGGCGTTGGGGTCCACGGGGCCCGAGTTGGTGGCCTCGTTGAAGCGCCGCCAGCGCTCCCAGTGCTCGGTGGTGGTGTCGGCCCGGAAGACGTTGAGGCAGTGGCCCGGGGGCACCCGGTACACCAGCAGCGTGCGCGACTCGGGGTCGTCCAGCGTCGGGGAGTTGACGAAGATGGGGTTGTCCGACCGGTTGTACGCCCACACGCCGTCCTCCTCCTGAGACAGGGTCACGCCTGCAAGCACCGGCACCGCGTTAGGACACTGTTTCAACACAATCCACGCAGCCGATGCCGAAGTAGTGTCATGTCGTGACTTACCAAGTCCGATTTTGGCGCGAGTCCTCTCGACGGCGAGGGCGGGCGGCGTGCCGGCCGGCCGGGGCGGCGCGTGGTTGGCCAGGGTGGCGAGGCACAGGCCCTGGTTGGACGGCTCGGCCGCGGCCGACACGTTGATGAAGGGCGGGTGCACTTCGTAGAGCCTGCCGACGCGGTCCGCCAGCTCCCAATACGCCAGCTGGCACCACGGCCGCAGCTCAGGGGGCAGCCCCAGCCCGGTGGCGCCTGCAACAAGCATCAAAACAGCACGTCAGAAAAGCAGAGCGTGGCAATGGCAAAGCAGTGCGGATGCGGAGACCAGCGCCTCGCGGTCAGACGGTGTCCAACGCCGTCAAAGCGAAATGGCGCTGCATGCACCCTTCAGGGATCAGGGGCAAAGGGAGCAGCAGCAGCAGACCGATTCCCAGACGGAGGTCTGTCTCTCTCGCAGCCACAGGGGAAGCCCCGTGGGCGCGACGAGGCCTCGCAGGGGGTCTCGAGGGGCGTGGGGGCGCATGCCGGTCGCGGCGACCCGGTAACCTTCATCCGGCGGCCTGTGACGCGCCTTCAGCCTTTGCGCCCCCACCCACCCCGCGGCGTGACCTGAAGGGCCTCTAGGGCCTGATGGCCTGGCGCGAACGGCGCCTAGCCTCGCCGCGGGCCCCCGGTGGGTAGGCAACCCATTGCGCAGCCGTGTGCTGCAGCGTCGACCGAAACGGCGAGCCGAGCCGAGCAGAGTCGAGCCGAGCCGAGCCGAGGCGGGCCGGGCCGCGGCGAGCGCCATGTGATGTGATCCGCTCACGCCATGCCGTCGCGACGCCCCGCCGGCCCCGCCCCGCGCCAGGCCGGCGCCTTCCCTAGATGTTCGCTGGCGCCGCACGCAAGGATGGCTGGCCGCGAGTGCCGTGGCGGAGTGCCGCGGTGGCGGCCATGGCGGGGGGGGAGGGTGAGGGGGCGTAAGGCAGTGCTCCACAGGTAAATACACGTACGTACGTGCCGGATCAATGTAAATACCGGCCTGGCCAGTGCACCGCCAGTGCGGCCGCGCCCACACACGACGACGCGTCAAAGTCGGGTATTTTTACTCGGACCCTGTTCGCGTTGGAGAGCCGGGGTCTACACCAGCAGACTGATTCCGAGAGTCGTTTTCGTCGCTCTGTCTCCCTCGCTCTCGTGGGGCGTCTCGTATGAGTGTGAGAGAGACGGAGCGACGAAAACGACTCTCGGAATCAGTCTGCGGAGTCCGACAACGTGGCGGGGGGCCGACCACCGGCGACCGGGCGTCCACGCCGTCCACGCCGTGCGGGCGCACCGTCAGCGCGCGGACTCCACTTGCACTGCGCCGCCGAGCGGGGCCTAGTGGACCGCATCGGGTCAGGAAGGAGCGTCGGAAAAACGCGTTTTAATTTTAATTCCACCCCAGACTGTGACTGTATGCAGTGCAGCACTCGTACGGACCCTAAGACCAGAGGATCATTTACGACCCAAGCTAAGTCAAGTAATGTCTCTCCAGTCGAGCAGACGAGCCCAGACGAGCCCACCCGCGATCCTGGGAGACGTCGTCGGCCGTCGCGCACTTCCCCGTCCCGTCAAGGATGCGTGGCACGCAATACGAGTCCCGTCCGCCGCGGGCCGCCACACTGTGCGCCGCCAGCCGAGCCATCAGACGACCGGCGCGATACCGATTCGCGGAAATGCAGGCCGGCTTGCAACTGCAGCCGCCGCAGCAGCAACAGCAAAAACAGCAACAACAACAGCAACAAACAAACAAAAACCGTCGCAGCAGTGCGCGACGCGAGGCTACACGTGTGCATCCCGTCCCGCCCCGCCCCGCCCCGCGCCGCCCCGCCGCAGTCGGCACTGGCGCTGCGCTGCGCCGCTGCGCTGTCGGAGTCGGAAAGGGTCAACGAACAGCAGCGCCGCCGTGCCGCGCCGCGCCGTGCGGTGCAGCGGGCGCGACTGGCTCTGCGTCGGGCGCAGCCGCACGGCGTGGCGCAGCGCGGCGCAGGCAAGGCAAGCGCAGGCCGCAGATGGCGGCGCGTCGCGTCGCGGCCGCTGGACTGGACGCGCCGGGCCGGACCGACGGGACGGGTCTAGCTGGAACGGCCAGGACGGCCGCTCACGCCCACTCGGGCACTACGCCGACGCGGGCCGCGGACAAGCCGGACCGTTTTTGTGAGTCTCCTCGTTCCGGGGGCCGCGCCACACCGCGCCTCGCCGCCGCGGTCGGACGATTTATGTAATGCATCGGACACACTGGCAGGCGCCGGCGTGCGACGGGTGCGGCGCGGGGGCGGGGGGGGGGGGGGGGGTGCATCGACGGTGCATCAGACGGAATCGCCAGACGGAATACGTTTGAACTCCTTCGCTGTTTGCGGCGTGGGCAGGCCAGGGGCGGCCGGGGGGAGGGCGGCAGACGGCTTCGAGGCGCCGGAGTGGGAGGGGGAGGGGGGCGCTGCGAACAGCGAGCACACACCAAAGGGGACAATGGCGCCGTCTGATGAGGCGGCGCCGGGCGGGACAGGCGGGGGGGGGGCGGGCGGGGCGGGGCGGGGCGGGGCGGGGCGGGGTACGGGCGACTGGCCGGCCCGTCGGGGAGGACGCCGAGGACGGCGAAGGGCACAAGGGGTGACTTCAGCGCAGGGCAAAGCCAGGCCCATTCAAAAGCGCGCGCGGCACGCCACGGCGGCACGCCACGGCGACAGGACAGGTGGACGTCCCGTCCCGGTCGTTGTTGCTGGCTGGCTCACTTTTCTGCTTTTTTCTCGGTGCTCGTGGTATCGCGAAGCTCGCGAGGCAGCACGGGCTGCGCTGGGCTTTCGTTGGGCTCCGCGCAGCAGATCCTCCATCCATTGTTTACCCCTGGCGCGGCTGCGCGGTGCGCGGTGCGTCGCGGGGGGCAGGTTGACGAGAACCAGAAGGCGTTAAGTGACCTAAACGCCAAACAAATGCGAAGACGAAGCAGGGCGCACCACCAGAGGGCAGCCAGCCCAGAGGCCAGAGGGGCGTAAACAAGTGGCGGCTCCTCGGCTTGCTTGGCCAGCCTCTCGGCTTCGCGGCCTCTCGGCCTCTCGGCTCGCCGCACTCAACTTGATCGCCGCTTTGGCCTGCAAATCCTTGACGAAAACGAAAACCGCGCGACGTCGCGGCGCCGCTCAGCCCGCCGCTACGTACGCCAGGCCGCAACAGCCTCGCCGGCCGCCGCATTCCGAAAGATCGTTTCGTCTCCGTCTCTCTCGCACCGTTACGGGGCGCCCCGCGAGTGCGAGAGAGACGGAGCGACGAACGGTATCGGCAGCAGGGCGCCAGCTGCTTCGCGGCCCTCGGAAAGCCGCCCAGCGCCGCGCCGCCCTCACGGTGTTCCAGGACAAAAACGGAACCGAGTCGTTACCGCCCGGTCGTTACCGCCCCAATTTATTCCGACCACCTCGCCGACGAGACGCGTGGCTGACGTCAGCGGATTTGGAACGCGCTTCCACCGCGGCATTATCTGTAAACGTCTTCTTTGGCACGGCGCAGGCAGGGCGAGCAGCGAGCGCGCGACACTAACGCGGACACTGTCGTCAGAGAACTGCTCACTCCACTTAGCGTTTGATGTAGCAAAAGTGCGGCCGGCGGCGCGGGGTTACGACTTGCGGTGGAGCGGCCAGCCGACTTTGTAATTCGTCACGTCGCCGGCCCTTCGCTGCAGGCCGGATCACGCTAGGCCGCGTGCCTACACTCGAAAGGCCGAAAGCGAGTGCGGCGCCGCATTGCGACTCAATGTAAACGGCACGCGCCTTTACGCCCTTTCCTTTAATCCCTTTAAGCCCTTGTTTGCCCATTGTGGAGGCGGGGCGGGCACAGCCATGGGCACAGCCGGGCAGGGCGTCACGCGGCGCTGTGGCCGCTATGGCCCTCGGGCTGGCTGGCTGGCGCGGCGCGGCGCTGGCCGGACGGCCAGCCGGACGCCACGGGGATGGCCGACGCCGGCGCCCCTCCGTCGCGACGCCGCCGCCGCCGCCGGCCGCTGTGGGTGCTGTGGGACGCGACGCCGCGCCGCGCCACGCCACGCCGCGCGACGCAGCGCTCTGAGTAATGACGGCGCGCGCGTGAGAAAGAGCGAGAGGGGCGATGGCGCCTTGCTCCGCCGTGCCCCCAACGCCAACGCCAACGGCGCCAAGGAAAAGCACGGCATGTATACCATACACAACGCGCCGGCCGCCGGCTCCACACTCAAAAATGCATGATCTAAATTTGGCGATGACCTCAGGGCTGCCATGGGGACGGGCGTGCCGCGCCGCGCCGTGCCGCGCCGTGCCGTTGGGGCAGCGCCAGCGGGCGCCAGCTCCGCGGGGGGAAGGGGCAGGGGAGGGCATTGGGACACACCCCTGCCTGCCCTCGCCTCGCCCCGACACCCTGCCCGCCTGCCCGCGGCACTTCCCCTGTCCAGACGGCCCCGCCTGTCCGGCCCTGCGCTCTGTCTCTCTCGCACCCGCACGGAACACCCCGTCGGTGCGAGAGGGAGAGGGAGAGACCGGCGACTCGGCATCGGCCTGCTGCCCGCACAGTGCCCTGCCCAGCCCCTTGTCGGTCGGTGCGCCGGGAGGGCCAGCAGGGAGGCGGCGAGCGGCGACAGTAAGCCCCTGTCCGTCCTCCGTCCGCAAACACGGCGGCCTCTGGGCCCGCCGCACGGCACGCACGGCAGGCACGACGGTGCAGTAGCAAAGTAAACAAATGCCGTGTGTGTCTGTGTGCGAGTGTCTCCAAATCGGCGTCGAGGCGCGTACGGATAAGGCAGGACGGCGACGGCGGGGCAGGGCGGGGCCGGTGCAGGTGCACGCCCCAAACACCGCGCGGCCGCCATGCCATGGCCATGCCCGCCGTGATCTTGGTGACGTCACTCCGCGGTCGCGTCCGTCGTCCTGCGCTGCCCCCCGATTCCGAAGGCTCGTTCCGTCGCGGCTCTGCCTCTCTCGCACTCATGGGGCGTCCCGTAGGGGCGCGAGAGGGACAGAGCGACGAAACGATCCAGACCGGCCGCGGAGACTCTGACAGGCGCGGTAAACGCGTGGCTAATTGAAGGCAAACAGACGCGGCGCCTGAGACGTCCCGAGACCACGAACCGGGACTTGGACCAGGGCGCGGCGCGGCCCGGACCAGCGGCAAAAATAAACCTGATCAAACAGCGCGCCGCGTGGAGGTGCGGACGGCGTGGACGCCGCGAAGTACGTCGTGGAGGTAGCAAAGCAGCAAGGTGGAGCCGCGCCGGCCGGCCGGCTTCACTTCGCGGCCGAGGAAAAAAAAGACACACGCGAGTTACGTAAATAGCAGAATAGTACAGCGTGTTTGTGAAAGCGGGCGGCCTAACTCGCGAAAGCAGCGAGCGCGCGTGGCGTGGCGGGGCGTGGCGGAGTGCCGTCGCGCCAGGAAAGGCGGGGGGAGGGGGAGGGGAGGGGGCATCGAATGGGGGTCGGGCTGGCGCCACTCGGGGGGGGAGGGGGGAGGGGGGGGGCAGTCAGGGGGGGACGCCAAAGGATGTGACAGACGAACATTGGCACGGTCGTCGCGTCGTGTCGGTGCACGGCCACGTCCACGTCCGCCGCGATGCACAAATGACCCTGTGGGGCAGGCCGCACAGTGGGCCAGAAGACCGGTGGAGGTGGCCAAAACTCCAGACGCGTTTTGAGCTCCAGAGTCGCTAAATTGGACTCGAACCGAACGTGTGACCCCACCAATGGGTTGCTCGTTCGGAGAGCAATCCATTGGTGGGGTCACACGCTCGCTTCGAGTCCTGTTCAGCGACTCTGGAGCTCAAAACGCGTCTAGAGTTTTGTCCACCTCCACCGGTCTTCTGGCCCACTGTGGGCCGGGCCGGGCCGGCGGGACGACCCGCCAGGAGGACGGCGCGTGAGAACTGTCCGGGTGTCTCTGTCGCACTCATGGACAGTCCATCCATAAGAGGCGACAAGGGCAGGAACGTGAAGTGGCGTGAGGACGTGGACGACCCCTTTCGGTTTCGTCCGCCCTCCGCCCCGGGCTCGCCGTCGCCGGCCGCCCCCACGTGGGGCGTGCACGTGCCGCCTCCTTGTCGCCTCTTGGCATGCGGCTGCGGCGCCTAGGCCGGCTGCCCGATCGCAGCCAATAACAGGCTTGTGCAAGGCTGCTGACCAAGCCCCGCCGCGCCCCGCCGCTGCCGTGCCGTGCCTCCCGACGATGTACTCCGTGAAATATCTGCTATGCGCCACATGACACTCACGCTCATGGCGCCAGTCGCGGGCGGCGGGGGGCGGGGGCGTCCCGCGAGGTGGGCGTGGCACGGCGTGGAGCGGCCGGCGCCAGTCGGCGGCACACTATGCGACGCGCGGCGGCGCTCAGGCGGAGGCCGTTTCACTTAGATCTGTAACCAGCCGTGGCCGTGGCGGTCATCGCGGTGGTCGGCGTGCCACGCCGTGCCACGCCGTGCGGGTTGCCTACACCGCGCCGCCCACGCCGCCACACAGTGGGCCAGAAGACCGGTGGAGGTGGCCAAAACTCCAGACGCGTTTTGAGCTCCAGAGTCGCTAAATGGGACTCGAACCGAACGTGTGACCCCACCAATGGGTTGCTCGTTCGGAGAGCAATCCATTGGTGGGGTCACACGTTCGGTTCGAGTCCTGTTCAGCGACTCTGGAGCTCAAAACGCGTCTAGAGTTTTGGCCACCTCCACCGGTCTTCTGGCCCACTGTGCGCCACGCGCCTTCGCGTGTTGTGTCTGGTCGTCTGGCGCGGTAAGGCGCGGCGACGATGACAATGGGCGCCACCCGAGGGAAGAGGGATCCGCGGGGAGAAAGACAAAACACGCGCCGCCGAGGCGCACTTCATGTTTGATGAACCCGGCGCCACAGCGCCACGGCACCGCAAAGGGGGAGGGCGTCGCGGCGGCGGCCGGCGGCGGCACGACGTCGGGGCGGGGGCGGCGCGGCGCCGAGACGGAGCAGAGCAGGGGTGGGCCCGGCCCGGCCCGCGCGACCTGCACCTCGCACATCGAGGCGCCGCGCGATGACGTCGTCGGCGACGCCGGGGGACGTCGGGGACACCGTCGCGGCTTAACTGGTTTTAAGCAGGCGCCGCCTGCAGGCCGCGGCGCAGATCGGCGAGGCGCGACGACGCGTCGCAGAGCCACGGCGGCAGCGCCGCAGCCTGCCACTCCGAACAGGCGTCGCTCTGCCTCTCTCGCACCCATGCGGGACGCGCCGCGAGTGCGAGCGAGACGGCGCGACGAGAGCACCGCTCGGCATCAGCCGGCAGCGCCAACTCAAGCGGCGGCAACTCATCTGCCGTGTTTATTCCGGCGCCAGCCGACTCATTCCGAGAGTCGCTCTGTCTCTCTCGCACCCATACGGGGCGCCCTTGGAGCGCGAGAGAGACGGAGCGACGACAACGACTCTCGGAATCGGTCTGCAGGCGTCGCAGCCACTCGGCTCGGCGCGACGCGACGCTTTGCCGCCTCGCTTTGCCTCGCCTTGCCGCGCCTTGCCGCGACGCGTCTAGGCGATTATAGCCAACCCGGCCATGCCATCCCATCCCGGCGACCGCGACCGCCGCGCCGCCGCGCCCGCTGCCGGCGACACGCGCCAAAACCGCGGCGGCCTTCGCCCTGCCTCGAGCTGCTTCGCGTCGCGCTGCGCGCCTCGCGCGTCGCGGCGCCGGTCTGCCGGTCCGCGGCGAGCGAGATGGAGCCTGGCGTCTTCCTGCCGCCAGGCGCCGCGCCGCGTCGCACGCCGCGGTCAGGGCCGGCCGGGGCGTCGTCGCCGTCGTCGCGGCCCGTCCGGTATACTGCCGTCCCCGCGCGGCGCAGCGCGGCGCCGCCAAACAGCCAAGCAGTGGCAAGGCGCCGATTTGACGTCGGCCGTCCGAGGAAGTGCAGCGGAAACAAGCGCTAAAACCGTCGGGGGATGTATGGCCTCGTGAGGCAAGAGGCCGCCGTCGGGCCGCGACGGCGGACACGGCGACGGCGGCACGCTTGGCGGCGCGACGGCGCGACGGCAGGGGTCGACGTCTCGCCGTCTGGACGGCACGGCACGCCACGCCACGGCACGCCACGCAATGCACCCGGTCAATAGCTACTGCCCTCCGCAAACAGGACCGATGGACGAATAGAGCGTTGCGCGGCGCGCGGCGCGGGCGGCAGAGAGCGCGGCGGGAGATCAACGCACTTTGCTCGTGGCGCTGCCTTTATCAGTGTTGTTGTGGCCCCGAGGCCCGCCAGCCCGCCGCGGCCCACACGGTCCCGGGCCAGGCCAAGCAGGGCCGCCGGCCCACCGGACGACGCGACGGCGGCGCGGCACGGCGAGGCACCGCCGGCGCTAGCTGGCGCCCACAGGCCCCACTGGGCCCGACTTGGCACTGAACGGCCGCGCCGCCGCTCCGCTCTGCCAGTGCGATGGCTGTCGCTGTCGCCGCTGTCGCGCTAGCAGATAAGGCGGGGCGCCGAGCCATATTGAGGTCACGGCGCCAGGGGCCAGCGCCAGCCCGCCAGCCCCGCCAGCGCAAGCCCGCGGGGCCGGCCTAGCCGCAGTCACTGCCACGGCACTGCCACATCAGTAACTGCGCCCCGGCTTGGCGCGAAAAAATAAAACGCCTGAGAGAAATTTGAATTTGATTCGTATCGTTTACTACATTTGACGGATGCTTCCTTGTCTGTAGGACAAAAGAAAGGAGAGCATCCGAAGATTCAGCGTGTTTGGAATCGTGTTCTCTGCTGCTGCGCGACGGAAGGGTGCGCGGAGTATCTGCGAAAGTTGCAAGAAGCTCTCGGAAGGAAGCGTGACTCATGATGCGCGGCATGGCCGGGGCATCGCTGATACAGCGAGGCTGAGGGCGCAGGCCGTCTCATGCCAATGTAAGAGAGCCGTGTGTTTGTGCCGCGACGGCGCTGCCGTCGACGCGGGGTGATAACCGCCGGGTCGGACGCTGCAGAGGCGAACGCATACCGCGGACGGTGAGTCGCGTCCCGCCCTGCACTGCTAGGCAGAGAGTTCAAGCTGGCTGACGTTTTCACGCCGCCCGCCAAAAACCTCGGCGCGGCGCGGTATTCGAACCCGCGGACGATCGCTTATCGTTCGCGCGGATAAGCCGGTCGGGCTGAGTGGGCCCACGCGCCCGCCGCGCCGCGCCACGCCCCAGACTTACTTCACCTGAGGGCAACGGCGAACGAGGCGGCGGTGGCACACTGCGGTGGCGGCGCGCGGCCGGCCGCCCGGCCCACGTGTTTCGGACGTGAGTCACTGGAGGATCAGAGAAATCAAGTCGCTTCGGGTGTCCTCGGGTATCTTCGGGTCCGGGCGACGGGTGCCTACGGCGGTGCCGTGGAGGTCCGGCCGTCCCCTCGGCTTTCACTCCCCTTCATGTTCATGCCGAGCGTGGATCCAGTGGAGGGGCGAGACCCCCCCCCTTTCCCTTTGGACTCTGAGAGGTAGGCAAAAAGCTATACTTTGAGCCCCCCTCGGCCAGCCCTGGATCCCTGAGTTGAACTTGAACTTGAGAGGCTAGACCACAACTGATCCTTTGCCGTTTGCCTCCCCTTCATGTTCGTGCCCTTCCGCTCGACCGCCGGGATCGCCAATGGACTTACCTTCGCCATTGGTCGTGAGGGAGCCCTGCCAACTCTGCCAGTCCTGCCACCGCGGGGGCGTCCGCCCCCAGGCGGCGGCTTTGCAGGGCTCGGCGTGTCCGTCGTGCTCGTCGTGGGACAGGGGGTCCAGGGGGTCCTCGCGGGGAGGCGAGGGCGGCACCCGCTGCACCGCATGGCCGCCTTCACTTGGGGCACAGTCTGCGAACAAGAACACACACGTTGTAAGAGCACTGCACGGGTGGGTCAAGAGGCGACAAACGAATCGGGCCGGTTTACAGTGGCGTGCGCAAAGAGGGGGGGGGAATCAGGACCCCCCCCCCCTTTGGCCACTAGACAGCCGCCTGGAAGGTAGGCAAATTGCGTCGCTTTACCCTGTAAGTAGGCAAAAAGCATGGCCTGGCCCCACCCCCCTTTCAAAATTTCTGCGCACGCCACTGCCGGTTTAGTTGTTTTCCCGCAGAGCTTTCCCGGCCGCGGACTGATTCGGCAGCGAATGGTCGCGCCGTCTCTCTCGCACCTTCACGGGCCTCGGGGCTCTCCAACAGTGGCCGCCCCAAGAGTGAGAGAGACAGGCGGTGCTGGGCGGCGATTCGCAGTGGGCCAGAAGACCGGTGGATGCGGCCAAAACTCTATACTCTGACCAGAAAACGAAGAGCCCTGGGTTCTCGCGGTCGAGGGCTACCTGCAATGCTATCCAAGGCGGCAGATGCCATAAACCGCGAGGACTCAGGGCTCTTCGTTTTCTGGTCAGAGTATAGACGCGTTTTGAGCTCCAGAGTCGCTCAACAGGACTCGAACCGAACGTGTGACCCCACCAATGGGTTGCTCTCCGAACGAGGAATCCATTGGTGGGGTCACACGTTCGGTTCGAGTCCCATTCAGCGACTCTGGAGCTCAAAACGCGTCTAGAGTTTTGGCCGCCTCCACCGGCTTCTGGCCCACTGTGCCCGTGCACCTTATCGTCGACGGGCACGTCGTCGGGGGCGTCGGCGGGCCGCTCGTGTCGCGGAGTCTCAGCAGCCATGAAGAGATCTGCTTTAAGGCCATCGCCACCCCGGATCCGGAGGCACACCCTTAAAGGGGATGCTGCTGTTGGTCCTAAAGGGGAGCGGCCCATCAGCCCCGCGACACTGCGACGCGCCTCGCGGGGACTTCCCTCTCCCTCCCTCCCTCACTCATTCATTCATTCATTCGCCCCTTTTCGAGCCGACTTTGCAGATTCGCCGAAGAGCACGGCCGACGACGACAACAACAACAATTCACTCAGCACTCTTTCCCGCTTATCTGCGGCGGTCGGCCATGCGGCCGTTCGAGTCCCCCCACGGTGCGGCGACACCAAGCCAGCCGCTCCCAGCCTCCTGTTGGGGCTGCGGAATGAATGAATCAGAGTGACAAGGTGTGGGCTCCACCGCTAAAAGGCGAACGGCTTGAAAGACGCCAGTCAACCGCCGTGGGATCGGAATCTGCGACGGAGTGCCGCTTGTCCATGGGCCATCCGTCCCCGTCGAGGGGCCCTTTGGCAAGCGAGGCGCCGGCCGTCGCCCCGCCCCGCCCTGCCCCGCCTTGTCCGTCCCTATATTTCACCCCCTGGGCCACGGCGGCCAGGGCGGCCAGGGCCTCGCCACCACCGTCAGCTGCCACGGCCTTCCCGCCCTGCCGGCGCCAGCGTATCTCCTCTATCTGACGCGCCCCGCCCCGCCCCGCCCCGCCCCTCCCACCTCCGCATTAGAATAAACACACACGGCCGAAGGTGAGCCGGCACGGCACGGCCGGCACGGCCAGCTGCCGCCTCTCCGTCACCCTCGGCGAGGCTAGCGTCCGCCGTCGCGCCGCGCGGGGTGCTGCAGACTGCAGACGAGAAAAACAACGAAAAAGGCGCGCCGCCGCCGCCGGTATTTGAACTCGGGCGGCGGTTCAGCGGCGGTCGACATGGCGCAGGCAGGCCGCGTGAGTGAAGTGAAGGAACAGGGGGAGGGGGGCAGGCCGGGGGCAGGTGAGACAGGCAGTGTTGGAGTGGGTCCAGCAGTAGAGCGGTCCTTCACCCTCGCTGCCCCGGCCAACTTCTGCAGTAAAAATCTCGGCTAAAATAGTTGCCGACTTTCCCCGCACGAGGGCGCCACAGCCACAGCCGCACCAGGGCGTCGGACAAAGGACGCTCCCCGTGTTGACCCGAACAAACGGGACGCGCGCCCAAAGCCTGACCCAGCATGCAGCCCAGAGGCCTTGCAGCCGGCCCCGCCTAGAGCCCGGCCCGGCCAGCCGCGGTTTCTCTTAGAGTATATTTGCGCTCAAGCCTGTCGCGTTCTATTCCCATGTTTTTCCACGTCCCGAACGGCCGGCGGGCCGCGGCAGTGCGGCGCCGCGAGCAGGGAACGTGTCCCAACGGGCCGATGCCGAAACGGCGCCCCGTCGCTCTGTCTCTCTCGCACGCCCGGGGCGTTGCCGTAGGCACAGTGGGCCAGAGGACCGGTGGAGGCGGTCAAAACTCTAGACGCGTTTTGTGCTCCAGAGTCGCTAAATGGGACTCGAAACGAACGTGTGACCCCACCAATGGATTCCTCGTTCGGAGAGCAATCCATTGGTGGGGTCACACGTTCGGTTCGAGTACCCATTTAGCGACTCTGGAGCTCAAAACGCGTCTAGAGTTTTGGCCGCCTCCACCGGTCTTCTGGCCCACTGTGGTTGGGGTGCGAGAGAGACGGAGCGACGAGGCGCTGCTTCGGAACCGGCCCGCAGATGGGCCGAGGGCGCCGAGGGGGTCGACGACGTTTTCGAAGAAGCCGCGGCCGCGGGCTGCCAAGGTGCTCCCCTTCCCCTCCCCCGGCGGGTCTCCGTTTTCCCGGCAGCCGCGGACGTAACGAAGTAACACGGAATGGGGTGCGCGTCAGCGGCAGTGGCGTCCACGGGGGTGGCCCGCCTCGCCCGCCACCACACTGATTCCGAGAGGCCTTCTCGTCGCTCTGTCTCTCTCGCACTCGGGGGGCGTCCCGAGTAGATTGCGGGAGAGACAGAGCGACGAGAACGACTCGCGGCATCACTCTGCAGCTCGTCCTGGCGGATATTAAGACGCCGCTTGCCAAGCGCTACAAATTCAGCAGGACAAGCACGGCCAGCGCGGGACAGGATTAAAGCAACATTGTGATGGACTTGGTCACTTCGCGTGCAGGGCCGCGCGTGCAGCGGGCCGCGGCCAAGCGCCGGCCGCGACTCCCAAAAGGCAGGCAGGCAGGCAGGCAGCCAGGCAGCCAGCCAGCCAGCCAACCAGCCAGATTGCCGAACCGAGCTGGTTCCTTCCCCATTCATGCACACTTTGTCGGCCCTGGTCCGAGGCAGGCCTGGGGCCCTGTCGACGCGGCGCTATCGCAAAAGGACACATTTCGTAAATGAAAAGAAGAAGAAAAGAATCTGGAAATGATAAAAATGAACGACCGGTGCGACAGGCTCGGCCGGCGGCGGATCTGCCGTGCCTCGGATGAATGCATTAGAGGGCATCGCGAAGCGCAGGACGCCCCCCCCCCCTCCCTCAATCGCTGATAGGCCCGAGGGGAAAGGGGGGGGGGATTTATACCCGCGAGGAGGAAGCGTATGCCGCGGCGCCGATAGCCTATCGCCTTACACACCCCATTTCCGAGGCTTTTAGCACCACTTCCTCCGGGCCGGGGGAAGGGGGAGGGGGAGGGGGCGGGCCGGCGGGCTGCTTGCTGCCGCTGCGCGACCGCTCGGCTGCCCGTCCTCTTTCCTCTCTTGCTGCAGCGCCGCCGCCGTGCCGCGCGACGCCCTGGCGACGCCAAGCCTGGCCCGGCCTGACCTAGCCGCCAACCGGGACGGGACGGCGCGACTATGCTACAAAAGCAGTGTAGCAGCGCCCCTCTGAACGCCCAGTGGCAGCCGCCCCGCGCATCCAGTAACGCATGCACACTCAAACACACTCACACGCAACACAGGCACACACACACACACACACACGTGCGCACACACCAACACACGCACACGCGCGCCGCCGTGGCGGGGGCCCATTACGGGGTATCCACACCAGTCCTGTGCCAGTCAGCCAGTCCCGGGGAATAGAGTTTTTATCGGGAACCTGTTGGGCGAGTCGTTCGTGCCGGCCTGCGCCAGCCTGCCCAGGCCGCCGCCGCTCCAGCGTCCGCTCCAGCGGCCCAGCAGCCCCGGCCGGCAGCCCAGGCCGCGCTCCAGCGCTTCGCTGCTCCGCTCCAGCACAGCGGGCCACTCCGGCGGCGGCGCTCCGGCAGCGGACCGGGCGACATATAAAGTCCATTTGAATGAGAGAAGCGAGGAGCTAGTCCGCGGACTGCGCGCCGCCCCGCGGGAACCAGCGCGACCGCGACGACCGCCGGCGAGGGCCGCGGAAAACTCGCGTAGCCGCGGCGCGGTCTCGAACCCCAGCCTCCTGCCTCGCCGACGAACCCCGGCGAGAGCCAGCCAGAGGAAGTGCGCGGAACTGTACCGGCGTCGCGACACCGGTCCGCCGGTCCACCACCGGTCCGCGCGACAAGGATATACAAGCGACGGCCGCGCGACACGCAACGCCGCAACGCCAGTCCAATGTCAACGATTCCGGTTTCATTCAGTTGGCACCGTGAGACTGGGGCCTGGGCCCGGCCACGCGCGCGCGCGCGCGTGTGTGTGTGTGTGCGTCTGTCTGTGTGCTGGTTCGGATACGGGTTGGGCCGGCAGCAGCGCCAGCGCCAAAGCCGCGCAGCACGCACACTGCCGAAAACCGGCGCCCGGAAAACTGCGAGTGCGCGCGCCGCTCCGACCCGACCCGACCCCACGCGCGCGCACACACACACAGACACACACACACATTAGCACCACGCCGCGCTAATTTTACTACGGCACGCCGCGCTAACGCCGCCGTCCTCAAACGGGAGCCGAACCGATAAGGCGCCGCGGCGGGCGGGGCGGCGGGGCGCTGGCGGGGACGGATGGCACAGGTGGCGCGGTGCGGTCCCCGCGCGTGAATGGCGGCAAGGCGGCGGCAAGGCGGCACGGGCGGAGGAGGAGCACCATTCATAGGCAGCCCCGTGAGTGCGAGTGAGACAGCGTGCGTGCGTATGTGTGCGCGGACTTTCACCGACTTTGTCCCGCCGGGGCGTGGCCGGGGCGGCGTGGCGCGGCCACTGTGAACCACTGTGCGGCCGTTGCCGGAAATAGGAGCACGCCGCGTCACGATTCCGACACTCCGCGCGTGGCGTTCCCAAGCCCAGCGACTCCGAGGCAGCCGTCTGATTCCGAGCACTGCTTTCGTCGCTCTGTCTCTCTCGCACTCATGGGGCGGTCCGTAGGGGTGTGAGAGAGACAGAGCGACGAAGCCGTGTTCGGAATCAGACGGCAGCGTCTCGTCGCTCTGTCTCTCTCGCACCCTGACTGGTGCTGCTCGAGTGCGACGGAGAGACAGCGACGAAACGACTTTCGGAAGCAGTCGGCCGGGGCCGGGCCGGGCCGGCGATTGCGTGGCCGAAGGCGGCATGGTGGCGCTACTCGCTACTGATCTGCATTTCTGCGGAACGGACTGCCAGCCGCCGCCATCACCACCATGATGGCTTTGGTCTTCAGCCGGCTAAGCCCCGGCCGAGATAAGAGCGCCCGTATTTCTGGAAGGTCCGAAGCGGGGCGGGGCGGGCTGGGGTGGGCTGGGCCGGGGTGGGGTGGGGTGAGGGGCGCGGCGGTGATATACAGACGTCGCCGGGCCACGGCCCGACAGGTTGAGTGCGGCGGCGCTGGCTGCGCTGGCGAGGGCGGCCAGGAGGCCCTGATTGTCCTAATGCTGTCACTAAAAGCCTTACATCCCGAACCCCATGAGTCATCGCGCCAGGGCGGCCAGGGCGCCCACCGCCACCCGAGCCGCCACCACCAAGGCGGCCCCGGTGACGTCCCCGACGACGACGGCGCCGCCGGCGGCCCGCCGATCCGTTTGTTTTGACACGCGCTGCTGAAAATTAGCCCCGGCGCAGAGTTTACGGTGTGGACGCGGAGCGCGGAGCCGCCAGCCCTTGCGCCAGCCCCGCCAGCCGCACGGCAAACGGACTGCCTGGCGCCGCCGCGCCGAAGTGTGTTTGGGACACAATGGCCGTGTGTGTGTAAACGTGTGTGCGTGTGTGTGTCTGTGTGTGTGTTATTTTCAGTCCCATTACCATAGCCTTTTCCTGTGGCAGCCCGGCTCGCAACGGCCAGTGTCTTTCGAAATTTATCATCTACTCAATAACCCCGGCGGGCACGCCCCCGCCTCCGCCGCCCCGCCCCGGCCGGCCTCAGGGTGCCCCCGTGGCCCCGGGCGCCCCGGCCAGCCGCCACAGGCGCCACGGACGCCGCGCTATCTGCATTTATCGGCACTCCACTGGCGCCAGCCAGCGCCAGCCAGCCAGCGCCAGCCAGCCGAGGCCCACCGCGCGCACCGCGTCACCGCCATGCCGCGGGCAGCGGACAGCGGCCACCGTCGCGTAACGGGCGGGGCGGCAGCGCGGCCACCGCCACGGCTCAGCCGAGCGGCCTAGGAATAGGCATCCTGGAGGCCAGAAAACCTGGACAGTTCTAATTTTGACGCGGCGCAAGCGGCGGCGGCTGGTATCGGCCGCCACCCGCCGCCACGGTCACAGATCGGCCAGCTGCGGTCAGCGCCGGGCATGACAGCACCGCCGCCGAGCCTGCAAGAGTGTGGCGGGGCGTGGCGTGGCGGGGCGTGGCGGGGTGTGGCGGGGTGTGGTGGGGTGTGGCGGGGTGTGGCGGGGCGTGGCGGGGCGTGGCGGGGCGTGGCGGGGCGTGGCGGGGCGTGGCGGGGCGTGGCGGGGCGGGGCGTGGCGGGGCGTGGCGGGGCGTGGCGGGGCGCGGTCGTGCGGCCCGCAGCCCCCTACTGCTCCGCGGCGGCGGCGGCTTTGCAGGCGCCACAGCGTCGCCGCGGAGTTGCCAAACTTGGCAGGAGGGGCGGGGGGGGCGCACTGCTGGCAGGAGGAAGGGGTATACAGACGGCGCTAGCAACAAGCGGAATCCGACGCCCGCCGCGCCCGTGCCGTGGTGCCCGCCTTGCCTTGCGGTCGTGGCTCCGCGTGGCGGCGTGGCGCGCCTGCACTATAATCGTCGTAATGGCACACAGTGGCTCACAGGGCACCACCCGGGGGCAGCCCAGCCCAGGAAGTGAAAGGCCCCGGGCCGATTCCGATCCGGGCGGCCGCCGGACAGACTGACGGCCGGCAGACAGTCGTTTTCGTCGCCCTGTCTCTCTCGCACTCGTGGGGCGTCCCGTATGGGTGCGAGAGAGACAGAGCGACGAAAACGACTCTCAGACTGACGGGCTGGCCGAGCAGGGTATTGTGGCGCGGCACGCCGGCGTGTCCACGACGTCCAGGACGTGGCCATGCACGACGCGAACACGGCCGGCGTCGTCGCGGCGCCCTCCCTCCCCGAGGGCCCCGCCGGGCCGCCCTGCGCTGCCCTGGGGCGCGGAGTGGCGTGGCGTGGCGTAGGGGCAATCCCGGCCCAGTTATTTTTACTTTGGGGAAACGTCACTTCCTCACGCTCGACGGGGAGGTGGCAGGCAGTGCGGGCACTACTACTACGCCCCCTCCTCCTCCTCCTCCCCCCTCCCCCAACCACCACCACCACACACTCCGTAAACATCACCCACCCGCCGGCGGCGATGATCAACACACTCCCCGAATCTCACCTTCAGGTTTCAGCGGCTTTTCAGGGAGGCGACCGTAGGGTGGCGGGGGTGATTCTGCAACAGGAAAAACCGCGGACACGATTAGCCAAGTCTATTCGCAGACGTTCCAAGTCGGGCCGCGCGGCGCGGCACCAGCATCCGTCCGCCCATTGTGTCTCGTTTCTGGAATCCCTGGAATTGGATTTCGTCCGCGGGCGGGCTGGCGGGCTGGCTGGCTGGCTGGCTGGCGGCTGCTGGCGGCTGCGCGGCTGCGCTGCGCTTGGTCCCGCTGCGGAGCTGGCTGGGGTGGCTGGCGGGGCTGGCTGGCTTGCGCGGCTGGCTGCGCTGGATGGCGGGTGCTGGACTGGCTGGCTGGACTGCTGCGCTGGCGCGCTGGGCTGCGGCTCGCGGCTGACTGGGGCTGGGGCTGGCGCTGGTGGCGGGGCTGGCTGGCTGCGCTGGCGGCTGGCGGCCGGCTGGCACTGCGCTTGGTGGCTGGCTGGCGGCTGGCTGCGCTGGCCCTGGCGGGGTGGCTGGGGCTGGCCTGGGGCTGGCTGGCTGGGGTGGCGGTAGGCGGGTGGGCGGCTGGGGGGTGCTGCTCTTGCTGGCTGGCGGCGCGCCCTGCGCGGCGTGCCCGGCTGACTTCGTCCCATTCATGCCCGCAGGCGGCGCCGCGGCTGCGCGGCTGGCAGCTGGCTCGGTTGCTGGCCGATCGCGGGCGCCGCCGCTCGCTCCGCTGGCGCCAGCTGAACGGCGCGCGCTGTCACGCTGCGTGCCTGGTTTCCAGCCATAGCACGGAGCCATGGGTGGCAGCGGCCGCTGCATCGACGCGGCATCGACGCCGCGGACCACCGCCAGCGATCCGGACCACGCGACACTGCACTGGGGCCGACTGGGGCAGGGGCACGGCATCGCGCGGCACGGCGCGGCCCGGCAACCACTTGTTGCCGCTGCCGCTGCCTGGACCACTGGGGGGTGGCCGGGGAGGCCGGGGCGGCACGGGGTGAGTTAGAGGGGTGGGGACGAGGGGGTTGTTTACTCCGCCGCCCTGCCGGCCGTGCCCGGAAACGACTTCGTCCCATTCATGCCCACCCGCACGGCGCGCCGCTCCGCTCGGCCTCTCGCGGCGTCACGCCATCATCGGCGTGGCGTTTGTTTTCGCGGCTCCGAAATCCGCCGAGCCGCGCCCCGCTCCGCTCCGCTCCGCGCTGGCGACCCAAAGCTAAATAAAAACAACGGGTCGCGCAGCTTGATTGCCGGCTCGTTTTCTTTGATTTCGCGCCAAAAGAAACGTTTCTCTTGTCAAATTTATACCCGCGCCGCCGATAGGTCCCGGTTGAATGACGCCGCGTCGAGCCGGCCTCGCCAGCAGACTGATTCTCAGAGTCGTTCTCGTCGCTCTGTCTCTCTCGCACTCCTATGGAGCGTCCTGTATGGGTGCGAGAGAGACAGAGCGACGAGAACGACTCAGGCCAGGCAGGCAGCCAGGCAGGCAGCCAGGCCGCGGTCAAGCGTAAGGCGTGCTCGGCGTGCTGGAGCAGCACAAGGCGGCCGTGTTTGTGTACTCCCCCTGCTCCACCCGCATGGCCGCGGCGGCCGCGACTTCCTTGTCGGGGAGGCCGAAACGCCGTCGCCGCCGCACAGTGGGCCAGAAACCGGCGAAGGCGGCCAAAATTCCAGACGCGTTTTGAGCTCCAGAAACGCTGAATGGGACTCAAACCTAGCGTGTGACCCCATCAATGGATTCCTCGTTCGGAGAGCAATCCATTGGTGGAGTCACACGTTCGATTCGAGTCTCATTTAGCGACTCTGGAGCTCAAAACGCGACTAGAATTTTGGCTGCCTGCGCCGGCTACTGGCCCACTGTGCGCCGCGTCCGTCGAGTGTAGGCCCCGCGGCCCCCGCGCAGCCCCGCGCCCCGCGCAGCCTCAAGGGCGAGTGGTGGAAATATGATGCGAGAGTGGCGGCGCGCGGCGAGACGCGGATGGCGACGGAGGAACTATTTATGCTCCAAGAGAGCATCGTCTGGGTAAATAAGACTCGCTGCAGGCTGATTCCGCAACGGCGCTTCGCCGCTGTCTCGCTCGCACTCTCGCGGACCGCTGCACGAGTGCGAGAGAGAGAGAGAAGCACCGGTTTTGGAACCAGCCCCACCGCGAGCAGCGCGATGCTCGCCATAGGCGAACACAGCCAAAGAGCGAGCGTGAAAACTTCCCTGCGGAAATCCGAACGTGGCTGCCAGCCTCGCGAAGATGTCGTGCCGCGTCTCGTTGCTCTGTCGCGCTCTCGCACACTGTCTCTCGCACCTGTGCGGAAAGCCCCATGAGTGCGAGAGAGACACAGTTCGCTCTGCTGAGCCCCGCCCACACTGCCCACCTCCCACGCCGCGGTGCCGCGCCCCGTCTGGAGGCTGTGGACCCCGTCCAGTCCAGCCGACTGATTCCGAGCGTCGTTTTCGTCGCTCTGTCTCTCTCCCACCTGAAGAGGACGCACCATGAGTGCGAGAGCGACAGAGCGACGAAAACGACTCTCGGAATCGACGTGAAGTCGGCTTGGTGACTCCAGTCGGGCGGCTCCAGCAAGGGCGCGGCCGCCGGCGCCTCAAACTGCACGTGTCCGCCGTTCGCCGCCGCGCCTCGCGTCGCCTCGTCTTGCGCTGAGTGAGACGCGGCCGAACACATGGGCACACGCACACGGACACGGGAACCTCCACCCGCATGCTCACGTCCGTGTGCGCGTGTGTGTCTGTGAGCGAGGCGCCGGGTGCCCGCCGGTACCCCCCGTCTCGACCCTCGTCCGCGCCACGCCACGCCACGCCACGCCACGCCAGGCCGTGTTTGTTTTCCCCTAATTACAGTTGCAGGTGGGTCCGGCCAGACAGACGGCGGCAGGCAGGGCGCGGCGGGGCAGGTCTACGTGGCTCCACGCCGTGGCACGCCGTGGCGGCTACATGCTGTACGCCGTGGCGGTAGGCTACACGCCTGGAACGAATGTAATGCAGACGGGGCACAGCACGCCCCACGCCACGGGGTAAACTGAGTCTACGTGACCTGCCTGCATTCAATTCATCGGCAGAACATTTGAACCACCGCGCTTCACGTCGATGCGCGGTTTATCGCCCCCAAGGCGAAGCTCGCCGTCAACAACATGATCGCTCGAGTGTCCTGGCGGCCGATTAGGCGGCCCTGGACTCCGCCTGGATCGCGGGGGCTGCAGCACACTGGCACACTGCAGCACGGCGGTGCAGAACCAAGTGGCTGCGTTATTTCTGGGCGTGTACGCCGACAGACAGGCCCGGGGCCAGCCAGCCAGCCAGCCAGCCAGGCCGGTAGAGTGCGGTGCTCCGTGCCTGCCTACGGCACGGCGGGGGCCAGCCGGCGCCGGGCCGTGCCGAGCCGAGCCAGGCGGGACGAGTCGAGCGGACCGAGCGCAGCCGAGCCGGGCGCCGGGCTGCGGGCGGAGTCAGGGCCGAGGCGAACCGGCGCCAGGAGGACAGGCGAGGCGTGGCGGAGCGCGGCGCGGCGGTGCAGGGCGAGGCGGGGCGGGGCGGGGCGGCCCCCTCGGCGCCCTCGGCCCTACAGGGCGCCAGGCTGCGCCAGGCACAGGCAACGCCACCACGTTACCTGGCCAGCTAGAAGCAGCGCAAGAGCCTCAATGCAGCTCCGCAGCTGCAGCCATTCAAACGGTGCACTCGTTCGGAAGGGCATGGTGCTCTTCATGGGGAGCACGCCGAACCTTGGCCTCGGCCTCGGGGTGAGGGTGTGACGGCGACGGCCGGGGCGGGTTGCATCCTGATCTTGGTTGCATCGACGCGGTGCTCTCGGGAAGAGGTCTGAGGCCCGGCTGTAGACCGATTCCGAGTCGTTATCGTCCCCTATGGTCCGAGGGAGACAGCGACGAAAACGACTCTCGGAATCAGTCTGCTGGCCGGCTCGTCCTCCAAGACGCAGAGGCAAGTCCAGTGATAACCGACCCCCACGTCCGGTCGCAAGGTCCGCGTCGACGGCGGCGGCGTCGCGGAGGCAGGAGGCGCCAGCGTCCGAGTCCGCCGCGACGGCCCATGCCTGGGGCAGGCGATAAAGGGTAATCCTGCAGGCTGACTCCGAACAGTGCTTTGTCACTCTGTCTCTCTCGCAGCCATGCGGGACGCGCCGCGAGAGCGAGAGAGACAGCGCGACGAAAGCGCTGTTCCGAATCGGCCTGCAGGTGGCGTGCCGCGTGACGCGGTGAGCGCCGATCCGGCGGGACTTGGCAAAGCCGTTGCACGACGGACATCGCATCACGGACGCGGCGCCGAAAGAAGGAAACGAGACACGCGGTCCTCCTTGCTCTTGCGTGCGAACACCGGCTGGCGCCCACCATTTAGCCCTCGAGAAAGAGAGAGAGAGAAAGAGGAAAAAGAGTGCGGGAAAATTACGGAAAAATGATGGCACCCTCCTTTTTTTTGATATTATTATTTTCCCTCTGGCCAATCATGGTCCGTGTAAAAATGAGGGGGTTTCGCCGGATGCCCCTCCCCCTCCCCCTTACCCCTGCCCTCTCCCGCACCTGGCACTGAAAGGGATCGCATCGCAGCGGCGAGACAGACGATCAGTGACAGAGGAAGTGCCGAAGACACACTGTAATTTGGCGCCAGCAAACCGTTTTTTTTTGTCAATTCCCACCGCGTGGGGAGGTGGCGTCATACAATGGCGCGGGCATGGGGTGATGTGATGGGGTGCACAGCTCACTCGGGAGGAGGGTAATCGCAGAACAGCAGAAGGCGTCCTCTCCCATGCAGGCCCTGCCACTGCCAAAAATGACAAGAATTTGTACGAACTTGGTGTCTGGGGCCATTCAGTGACCGCCATACGACAAAATATTCAATATACAAGAACAAGTAGATCTGTGGTTTTACTTTGGTTTCAACTCGTTGTCAACAGTGTGCTGGCGTGCTGGCTTGAGACGGTTATTTCGACAAGCACTTCATAGAGGCGGGCGGGACCCATCGCGTGGTACCTACCCGCAGTGTACCCACCCACCCACCCACCCACCACTGCAGTGCCCGAGGCCGTGCCGGTGCAGGCAGCCGTGCC